CGCACACTAGACAGCACTCCAGCACTGGGCCAAAATCTTAAAATAATCAACTGCCATCTTTCCAATAATAGGAAGAAAAAAGATGATTTACTCGAGCACCTCTTCCAATATTGTCCCAACCTCATTGCAATCTGCTCTTCCCTAACTGATTTGGCATTTTGGACTCGTCTCAATTGTGCTGCCAAAAATGGTTTATTAAGTAGAATACAGGAACTTCCAGAACCTCATGAAGATAGCATTGAGACCTACGTGTCTACCGTCTTGGCATTTCGAAACACACTCAACTGCCTTACACTATGTGATCAAATCGTGCATAGTCGAGTTATGGAAAAAATTGAATTCGAGGCATTTGAAACACTTGCCGGTCAATTACACACTTTTACAGCTTTAGATTATCTTAAGATTTTACGCCACAGCCATCAGAATCTGTCATTTTTGGAAGACATCATTCAAGCATGCCCAGAACTTATGGGTTTGGAAGTGACATTCTATCCTTTGCCAAACTCGGGTCATCCTATAATACCACAGCTTCGAAGTGATAATTTTGTCATAGTGCCTCGTCCCGATATCATACTATTCCGTGGCTCAGGGGAAAGGATCATGAATAGTGATCAATCGCTGGATTATTTGATAAGGAAATTACCTAAGCTTGAAGAGCTTAGAATTTTCCATGTTGGACTTTATAGCGATCAACATGAACATTTTGACTTTTATCACTCATTCGACGTTTCTTTCGGCACTCTGGTCCGTTTCTTTCATTACATGTATCATATTCCCTATCTAAAGGTTGAATGCAACTTTAGAATACAAGTCCTGCTTGACGCTTGGGTGGAATTCATGACCGTGTCAAAGATGAACGACATCCAGCTTCGAATTGTATACGACCCGGATAGTTTCGAGTTTGACCCTCAAGGCCTGCCTATTGTATTTTCGACCGGCTTGAAAAAAGTCTTGACGAAAATGATGGTTCGAAGTTTATATGATGTTCCACCACATACAGTGCTTCTTCAGAGGGTAGGGCGCGCGGTCCAAACTCTCAGTATTGAAAATATGTGGAGAATAAAGGAGCTACCAGATTGGAGTGAAGTAATTACAACAGATGGACTACAGTTACATCAAGACCTTCAATTATGTCCAAACTTAAAAGAACTTAAAGTTATCGACTCTGGTGGTAGTTTCAGTACTGATTTACCCCTTGTCAATCATGATTCGTTGGAGTCTTTGTCATTTAATTATACGTCTAGTAAACCAGACCTTGCTACAAGAGGTACATTACACTTTCTGCTGCCAAAACTCAAGTATCTTAATTTGAAGGTTCAAAATGCGCATGATATGGATCCCGTATATATGCCTAGTACACATTTGGAAGTCTTTAAATGGGAAATTACATCATATCAAGGATTAATCGATGTCAATTGGAAGTTCTATCTCAAGTTTACTTCTGAGAAAGGCGAACATTTTATTATGGGTGATACTCACAAGTTGTACCCGTGTACGAGAGAATTATACGCAGAGGCATTGGTAACTGAAAAACTGTGCTTGGACATAACGTGTCTGTATATAGATAAACTCGAGATTCTACTATATAAACCTCACTTACACCAATCATATACTTTTCCAATTGAAGTCTTATAAATTAAATAAAAAATAAAGACCATTTGTAACAATAAAATAATTAACTGGACATGGTCTCTTTTACTTCCACGTCCTCCAAACACCTGTGTCAAAAATGGAAAGTATTAATGAAATGATGAAGCTTCTTTTATAATTGCACATAGTAGATAAGTGTGATGACTATAATTAGTTGGTGGACACATAAAAAATCGGGCTTAAATGGATAACTCGGCGAATCCCCTTATGATGTTTAGTACGGATCAAAAGATATAATTAAAATAAAAAATGTTTAATTCTATTAATCAACCTTGATGGATGAATAAATTCTTCTAATAACAAAAAATGCACTCAGGAACCCAAGTGTGCCAGTACATAAACCAATGACACTGCAACCCAAAATCAAATTGATAGTATAAATTGATGCGCCCACCAATCCCTTAATTTTTGTACTCTGAAAGTAGTAAAGACCATATAAAAACATATAAAATGAAGGAGATGCTCCAATAATAAAGGATTGCCACCACCAATGATGATCCTATGAATATAAAAGGATTAGATTCGAGACTTTTTTCATGACAACATCGCTTTTTTCCGGTGTACCTCTGCACAAAGTTGTAAAAATATCAAAACAATTGTGATCCCAGATGTCGCTATAAGCATTAAAATGGAAACAGCCATAGTATAATCAATAGATAATATATACTCTCCTTTACTAACAGAAGTCAAGAACTCGTGCCAGTTTAAAAAGATGATGGCAAATGGAATGATACCGCCTAATAGAATACTATAGTACAGAACATTAATTAGATCTTGGTATCCTCATATGACAATGTAATCTACATACCGAATCAAATTAAGCTGGTACCAACGCTTAGCAGGCACCATACGTGGCATTTGTGTGGTACGAGAAGGTTGTTCCATACGTTCAGATCTTTCACCAATATAAGCCCCGATGCATACAAGTGGCAAAAGAACAAATATCCAAATTGAGAAAATGGAAACCCAGCCTGAAAATGAAATTGCAAGTGATGATTGCTGGGACCATGTAATCATACAAAGTACAAACAAAACAAAAAGAACTCCAAAAGGTACAACAAATGCGGTCTATGTTTCAGTTTAGTATCAAAATACAAAAGAAATAAATAGATACTTACAAGGATACCGTTTAAGATCCATGACTTGCCACGGAAGACTTTATAAACTCTAGCACTTGCGTAACCGGCAGGTACACTGTTACATTTGTATAAAAATAAATAATTTGTGTTAGAATTTTGGCTTGAATTCGGGCTCTGATTCTAGGTTTATTTACCCGCCCAACAAGTAAAAGAATGTAAACCAACGTGTCAAAGAACCAGGCTGAGCAGGGTGGTACCATCCCATATAAAGAGAAACTATATTACATTTAACGACTTTGTTGATCCCCCCCCCCCTCCGTATATCATGTAAAATCAAGCTTACCAATTAAACCAATGGATACAATCAATAACTGAATACCTGATCCCATAATTGGGGTCAAAAGGCCACCGTAAATTGGACGTCTAAATACATCGCGACTAATCAACTTCCAACCTATGAAATCATCTGCATCATCAAATAACTTGAGATCCTTATCATCCTGGCTGGTGTCCTTATAAACTGTTTTCAAAATAATAACAGCGATGATACCAAATACCATAAGAGTAGCAATCACACCATTCAATAAAGTATAATAATGTCTCTCCTTATTAGGAGGCAATAAAAATGCATCCCAACGGTTCATTTTGTCTTTAACCTCTTTCCATTGCACAGAATAAGTGAATGCGACAGTCGTTCTCTTTCCAGTGACTTGTTGATATGGGTATTCTACGTTTTTCTTGGAACATTCACCATCAGCAATACTTTTTGTAGAAAGAATTAGTATCTGTCATGGTAGTTTACACGATACTTCTATTACTTACGAATCCGGGTACACCTCGAATCCGACAATATCATATTTTCCAATTTGTGCAGGATCTGAGGTATAAAGTACTTGGAATATCACGTGGTTATTGATAAAAGTTGAATCTGCCTTTCATTGTGATGGTATTAATGATATAGTGCAAATTCTCTTGGCAAAAAAATCCAATTATTACCTTTTTAAAACCCAATGGAAATCCAATTCTATAATTATGTTCGGGTGCTTCGTTCGTATATGAGACAGTTGCACCAGGCATGCCATCTAATTCCCTATCCTATATGTTAGCTTTACACGTATAGAATGAATAACATGGAGGGCGGTTTACCATTCAACGAGGTAGTCATCTGCAACTAGCTCCTCTACTTTAATGGCATCTTCTATGCTCCATGGTTGTTTACATAATACTTTACATTCTTGATTTTCGAGAAAGTTGAGCTATACGTGGTCAATTAGTAGGTGCTCTATTAACAGAAAAAGGGTTTGCATACTTTATAGTCACTCTGTACAAATCTGTCACCTCTGAGATCTTGATCAAATACGAGTAAGCTTTTCTTTCTTGAATGTTGCTGAGTTGGACAGATGAAAGAAAGTGATTGATAACTATAGGAGAGCTGGTTTTTTAAAGAGAATATTTTGTTATAATATAAATGTACAGGGTCACCTTGTTTATATCCAGAAACAAGATGACACCATATTAGACAACAAAATATTAAAATGACCCGAGATGTCATGAAAATAACAGTAGAAAGGAGAAGGGAGTGAGACGTCAATATAGGAGGAGATTCAATTATAATTTTGTAACCGTTTTCGTCATAAAAAAAGAGGCTGAGATTGTGTAACTGTCTCATTGTATAAAAAACAAAATATCAGCCCAAAGTTTTTTTTTTTTTCTTTTTCTTATTGTTTCCTTTTCTATTCTCAAATATTATAAAAAAAATAAAACACGCGTATAATGGGAGGCTTTAAACTAGATTTACCGGTCGATATGTCCGAGAAAACAACCGATAAATTAGAACTTATAAAAAAAATCCTTCATTTGATCACGGTGGCAACGGATCTTTTGACTATTTGTGTGGCTGCTCCGATGATTGCTATTGAAGCTCGTTATCTTGTAAGCCGGAACAAAACAAACATAAATAAATGTATATTAACCTCTTGTTTATCAGGGCGCAGGAAAACCAGCTCCAAACTATGCTTTATTTGTCGCAATCACAAGTTTGCCTGTTCCCTTCTTACTAGTCTATTTCCCTTGGATGTACGAGAAATACAACAAGTTCAAGCGTCTTGGCAAATTCTGTTTGAAGAACCGTACAAACATCATCTTCTGTAGTTTCAATTCTTTTATGTGGGCAACCGCTGGTATCGCTATTACCGTTCATTCAAATGATGCATCTAATTGTACTTTTAATCCGGATTATATTGAGGACTTTGGAGACGATTATAGTAGCTCTTGGGGAACACAGGTAAGACATCATAAAAAAAAAAAAAAAAAAAAAGGGAAAGACAGAAAAATTGACAAAAAAAATTAGTGTAATTTAGCTAAAGTAACTGCTGGATTTGCTTGGATTACATGTATTTTATGGTTAACTACATTAGCTATCACTTTTATTCATTTCTGGAAAGAAAAGACATTAATCCAAGAGAGATTAAACGAGCATCGTTTAAGCAAGCAACAAAAATTAGAAGAGAGACAACAGGATGAAGAGTATCACAATAGCCAACCCGAGTACGGTAGAACACACGGATACGAGGAAGAATCACCCTTTGCTGATCAATATCAATCAAAGCACCAAGAGTCATCACCATTCAATGATCCTCAACCAAGCCCATATAATCATGGTGATGATTATCGCCGTACCTCTTTCACTCCCGTGTACGATGGTAACGCTATCCAGCCTGGTCAGTATGTGGATCACAATCCCATCGGATTTTCACCAATGCCAACACCCCAGCATATGCCTCCTCATATGTCGCCTCAGAACGTACCTGGTCAGCACACACCTCCTCAGCATATGCCTCCTCACCCAGAGCCAACCTATTATAACAATAACTTTTAATTGTATCTATATCCTCTCTCCCCTTTATCAACTTTACATAATTACCTTCGTAAATAAAAACCCTCTTCCTATTTTAAAACATATAATTCGTACATAGTCTAAAAAGTTATGTCATTTTTAATCCTAAAACCAAAAGATTAAAACCCTGTTAGCCAAAAATCTATTAATAGAAAACGTGACACAACCAGAAAGACTTTTCGCATTGGCGGAAGAGAGATTTATCCCCCCGGCAGTCTTGGCTTTTTTTTTTTTTTTTCATCGCGTTATGCAAGAATGTCTTGACATTAAGCATTTCAGTCCAATGATAGTAATCGTTTCTTAAAAGAAATAACTTGATCATTTGTACCAGAAATTTACTTTTTACTTGCAGGTTTTTATTGTTACTGATTGATGTCACAAGGCATAACCGGATCAAACCTTCCTTTTTAAGCGTTCATCCGTAGAATTTTACAGTGTTCGTACTTTCTTTTTTTTTAAAGAAAAATCGGTCAATATAAGCAGTAGAAAAAATATAAACGTGCTACTTATGTGTATCTATAGTTGATTTGTAATAAAAGGCCCTGAAATTTTGAATTGAGACGTTGCTTAGCTAAAGATTAAGTATCATTTATACCTATTTATTTTTTCGATACTTTCGTCCCTTTTTTCCTTCCTTTTGGTTAGCAAAGGAATAAAGAAAGAAAAAATCAAAAGAGGCTTTTTTTATAACTTGAAAAATAATAATATATCAAATCAAATGCTGTTAGAGACGTCAATTTTGTGGATTAAGGGGTTTCGACGACAAGTTGAGAATAATAATTTCTCTACCTTGCGATGGTAAGAATTACGTATAAGTTGAGGAGTAACTTTAGAGGTTACAGTGTACAAATTCCATGTGTGTTATGAAAAGCCAGGTTTATCAATTTAATATTGATGTGTATGTTTTACACGGCTCTAAAAGAGGTATTTGTGGATATGTTACTATTAGGATCAATTTCAGGTTTTATGTTTTAGTTTTAAGGTTCTATTTAATTTTTATTTGTAGAGGAAAAAAACTATCTGTCTTACGCTTCCAGGTTCTTACCAATGGTATTATATAATTGTAGGATAAAGTAAACACGAGACTGTGGATCACTGACTGAAAATCGAAATATCTTACAGATTAAGTTGGTGATTTTCGACTTGAAATAAAGAAGCTGACTGAGAATCGAAAACTCTTACAAACTAAGTGATTGACTGACTGAGAGTAAGTGGCATATGTAAAGTTTTTATTGGATATTAAACTTTATAGGGACCAAAGGCTCATCCAAAAGACATAAACATTAGATGGCTTTTGATCTAACGCGAGAATAAATGTAGTCATTAGCTTCAAAAACCACTTAAGAAGCTCCATAGTTGCTTTTCCCATCAAAAATCTGTAGCCTGTTCCCGTTTTGTTTTTCTTTTGAAATGTCATATCTTTATGGACATATAAAGAGATATTCTATATTGATAAAAAAAAAGAACCCGATATCTAAAGCCATAGTAAATACTCTTGAAATGTAGTAAAGAACACTGTATGGCATCGATAATTCAACTTGGTACGATATAAGCCTTTGGTGATATTTACTTTTGAAAGCAAAGTTTTGATTAACATAATGGATATTTGAAAGTTATATTTTTTATTGCATTGTACATGATCTAAAACCCAATCGGGCCCAATGACAGAATTTATAAAATTTCCTTTTTCCTGCAAGTCTAACTAATTTTTCCTTTTCCAACTTACCTTTCCTATTATTTGAATAGAATGTCAATGGGACATCCAAACTTGTTGTCCTATTCATGTTACTGTAACAGTTCCTATCGAGACCTACAAACCTGCGATTCAAAAATCTGTTTCCAAACATGGTGTAAAACTGGAATTTTAACAAACATTAAGATGCCCCTACTGGATACTTAAATGGTAGACAAAGACAGCCAACCTATGTCTTCAGAAAATACTATGTATGTCATCGTTTAGACTCCAAAAGAGAGCATACTGGTGTTGTTTGAGGTGGTACTTCCATCCAGGTACGCGGTTTGCAGAAGAGAAGCAAGAAGATCAAATGCCCAGCTGCTCTAAAGGTCGTCTGTTTGCCGGATAGTCCATCAATGGCTACTGCAAGCTCGTAGTGTATGTCTTGACGCTACCCACAGCACTAACAGTTTTTTCCAACGGAATCCTGTATACGATTGTCATACGCCATTCCTTGACCGGCACTGGCTGTCCTGTTGCCATTTTTTTTCTTAATCAATCAATCAATGGGTCCATTGGCCAACTTATTGGGAGTTCTTGAGAAATAATGTTGGGATCTTAAACATTGAGGAGATCGCCATCGATGTCAGTAGTACCGAGTTGGGTGTGATTCAAGAAGTATGCCCTTTGGCAAGTGTACAATGGTATTTGTTTCATGTAGCAAGAGCCTGGTGATACCCACCACAACAACACCGTCCAGAGCAAGATCATCGCGGATCTAAAGGCAGTGATGTAAGACGTGATAGAACCGTCTTCACGCGAAAATTGACAGCGTTTATCACCGAAAACTCTGTATATCCTGCCTTTTTTGCAGTATTATAAAGCCGGTACCTGGAAAAAGATGCGTTTATGCGATGGTCTGCCGCATACCAGCCGCAAGTTTACACCAGCATGGAGACGAACAATTATATAGAAAGTTGGCATAAACAGTTGAAGACAACATATCCTGGTAGAAAAAAGAAATCGTAGAGTTGATCGATTGGTGTTTGTTTTAGTGAAGGGTGTTCTGCCTGAGCACAACCATAACATCAGTCGTATCATTTTGAAATTTGGAAGAATGGGTCTAGAAGAAAGACGACATCGTACAAGAGAGATGCAGGCAGAGGCTACCGGTGCTGATGCTTTGAAACAAATAATCGAAACTGCAACCACTAATTCTGATGGTAGGAGTGTTTATGTTGCTTCTTCTTTCTTGACTTCTGGTGTAGGTTATGATGTTGTGGTGGACGATCTTCAAATGATCACTTGCAGCTGCCCTGACTTCCGCTTTATCAATATCGCATGCAAACACATGTATTTGTTGATGTGTGATATGTCTTGGTTGTCTGTATTTGAAGGTAAACATAAATACTATTGAATTCTTTACGGCTTCATTTCTTTTATTTTTACTAACCTTAAATCGAATAGTTTCTTTGGACCCCACTTACGCAACCATTCCCCAGAACTCGTCTGATAGCTCAGCTCTTCTTACTCCAAATGAGCAAGCTCCTCTCACCGCTCCAAGCAATTCTTCAACAGATTTTGACACTTTGATTTCTAACATTCATAAACTTAAACGTCAGCAATGTACTTTTACTGAAACTGAGCTCGAAGAATTGACCATCTTCAATCACTGGTTTCTCTCTCGTACAGATTCTACAAACATTCCTTCCAATTCTAATTTTACTATACAAAGATAACAAAAAAAAAAAAAAAAAAAAAATAAACGCGCCCCTTCCCTCAAAAGCAAAGCAGCCCTCTACTTTTAAAAACCGCGTATAAAGAAGTAAACGACGTCATAGGCAATGCTACAACGTAACGTGACCGTGCAATCCTTCAAAGGTTTTTTTTCGAGCGCGAACAAAGAAAGGCTGTTTGATTTTCTTTTCTTCAAACACAAATAATATAAACGAATAAAATGCTTGTTAAAGTTAAGGTACGACAATCAGTAATAGTTACCCACATTTTTGTCTTGGAATTAATATTTGTTTGGACTGAATAGACCTTAACCGGAAAAGAAGTAAGTTTTGTGCCAAAGTTTCTTCTTTAGTAGAGCGTTATGTTTATAAAGCATTCAAAAAATAGATTGAAATCGATATCGAGCCCAATGACAAGATCTCCCGTATTAAAGAACGTGTAGAAGAGAAGGAAGGTATTCCCCCTCCTCAACAACGTTTAATTTATAGTGGAAAGCAAATGTAAATATAAGTCAAAACTTAGAATCTGTGAATACCATTGCTGAGGTTTTTTTCTTTTCTTTTTTTTTTTTTTTTTTTTTTTTTTTTTTGCTTTTGTAGGGCTGATGAGATGACAGCTAGTCAATACGGCATTGAAGGCGGCTCAGTTCTTCATCTGGTTTTGGCTCTTCGCGGTGGTCAATAAGCCAACTGACAAAGACTTACAATAGTTGAAATAAATTTATTGAAACAAAAAAAAAATCACTGTATTTTACGGATTAATTCAGGTGCTTCTTCTAAAGCTACCATCATTCCCATCAACATGTGTGGGGTATTGTGACAGTGTACAGCCCATACACCTGGATTGTCCTATTTGAACAAGAGAAATGTCAGATTAAATTTATTGGTACTAACCAAACGCACTTACCGCTACAATACGAATTTTTGACCATCCGCAACCTACAGGAGTTGTAACCTTGGTTCCATTGTTCATGAATAAGCTAGGATCGACGTTGGGGTAATTCATGGTGATATCTTTTTGGATTGGGTGCTCAATATTTCTAATATCGCCATCCCGTTCTTCGTCGTATTCTCCTTGGCCGTTCGCTATTTCCCAATGAGAATGACCATGTGTATGCCATGGATGACTGCGGCACGGTTCAAAAGCCATGTGAGTATTTTGTATCACGATATCTACAATCTCGAAATGCTTGAGGGGATATGTTCTGAGATTGGGATCATATCCGTTAGACTTTGAGGTATCATACCTGCCAGGTAACATTCGTGTATTGTTGAGGATACCATGCAGAATAGGCTGCTGGCTACTACTCATACCTTCAGAGTATGCTACACCATTTACTTGAAATCTTGAAGTTCCGTCAGGAAGGCGACGCTCAACACTTCTAAGTTTGATGGTTCTACTTGCTGGTTTGCGCACGACTGGATCCACGCCATAAAACGGCTCAAGATTATTCCAAATCCAATACGGAGATTCTTGTGATGCCTTTTCAAACTTCGGCCGGATGGATGGGGCTTCGAGCATGACTGGCTTCTTAAGTCGTAATATTCCTCGACTATTTGCTTCTGGAATAGTCTTGCTAAGACGAGACAATAATTGAGGGTAGTGTAAAACAGCAAGACCATTTGTAACTCTTTCGACATTGTCAGACCATCGACGAACCACTTGAATAGCATAATCTTCAGGCATTTGATCTGTATGTAATAAAACAGAGAAACGCTGTCCGGGAGCAACCTCTAACTGACTGACAGTATATGGTTTAATCATTTCTCCGTCGACTTCAATGATAGTTAAATTGTGATTTGCGATACCAAAACCAAGTGTTCGAAATGTTGTGGCTCCAATAACACGGATACGGTATGTTTTATTAGGCTGGACTGGTATAACTTCGTACCCACCGCATTTTGCAACAGTTGCACGTCTTGAGCTGTGCAGGGTATGACCATTTATCAAAATGCTATCGGCTTCGGGTAGAAAAGTAAAGTTAGGACCCATAATAAATTTTTCGAATTCGAGGTGAGGTCTATGCCACCATTCACTAAGTATAAGCGTCCTCTCGTCATCATATTCGAATGGCCCGCCTCTAAGCACGGGTGGAGTAAATCTGGAAATGGAATGATTTGACGCCACTATTTCTTTGCCTGTTGGATTTATTAAAACTTCCGGATTTGCTTCTTGAGACTCATAGACAATGAACGGACCAAAGACTGTTTCTTCTTGCAAACCTACATGTGCATGGTAAAAAAAAGTTCCGGCTTGGTTGACTATACGAAATTCATGCACGAATTCTTCTCCGGGACGAATGGGTAATTGAGTTAAATAAGGAACACCATCAGCTTCAGAGCTGCCGTATTGGCGAATTCCATGGAAATGAATAGCCACATTATGATGGTGAGTTGGTACTTCGGATAGCTGGTTACGGATCCGGATATGTAATGTGTCGCCTTGATTTGCCACTATGGCGGGACCTGGCATTTGTTGATTTATGAGAAATACAGGCGATGTATGGTCCGAACAGTCTGGATTGATGGATTGTTGCGTAACATTGAACTCGTAGTAGCGGGTTATAGGATTGGATTGGACAGTAGACTCTGCTCGTACCACATTGTTCGCTAATAAAGCCAAGCAAACTAAGTGAACTAAACGTATTAGTCGGGTCATTAATGTTTTAAAAGGCTGTAAAAAAAGGGATTTTTATACGTTGTGCTCACTTTCTGTCCGAAACTAATAATCCTAGTCAGAATTGCTACATTATAAGGTTTCCCTAATTTGCCATGTTACATCGTTTACTTTTAAAAAAAACAATATATTAAAGTTTAATGTTACACTGTCATCCCAAAGATTTATATCGGTTGCATTGAACACGATACCAAACAAACTTTTTCGTGATGAGGAGCATTGCTTGAAAGGCAATTCTATTCCAAATTACATTGCGATAATTCATTGTATTCTTCCGATTTTACGTCATACCAAAAAGCCCATATAGAATTTTCGGGCAAAGTGTGGGAACCTAGTGCAGGAAGCACCATCATTTCCAGTCATTGGATTACCCAATTAACACTCCGTTTCATTTCACCCCGCGTTTCTACCCCATTTAAATACCAGCCTATGCTTGCTGGTCTTGATTTTTTTTTTTTTTTTTTTTTTTTACCATTTATCCCTTTCCCTTTTGCCCAAAATAAAAACTTTATAAATGAGCCAAGATATGTCAGACACCGAATGCAATACCACAGAACAAATCAATGATATCTTGTCGCATACACCTCAGCCGCCTATTAAAATTAGAAAGAAGCCAGGACGTAAGCCCAATCCAGCTTCCCCGGCACTGCGTAAAGCACAAAATAGAGCCGCACAAAGAGCATTTCGAGAGCGTAAAGAGCGACACATGCGAGAACTTGAAATAGCCATCAAGCAAATTCGTGAACAGAGAGATAAATTACATTCAGAAAATGAACAGTTCAAAGCCGACCAAGAAATTATGCGTTCGGAAAACTGGTATCTGAAAGGAATCGTACTGACTTTACAGTTGGTATGTTTCCAGCACAACCTAGTCATTCCCCAGCACGGACCTTACATCAATGAACAGGCTTTGACTGTACTTGCGCAATCGATTCCTGAATCTATTTCTACTTATATTAGCGTCAATGCTAATAATAAACTGCCAATTCCACCGAAGTTATTCGGCCATACCCATACAATGAAGCAACGTGACCGATACCTCTCATCGGGCTCAATAGTGATTACTAAAGGTGGCATTCACGCTGTACCAGATGTCTGCAATTCTCCACGGCAAGAAACAGGCGATTCAACACCCGCACCAATGACTGAATCTACCCCAACTGAAACTTCGACTACTACCCTGGAGGGAACATTTAGCCCTGATGTTCCCACTGATGAAAATCTTGTGCACCCATTTGACGAACGAGAAACAAGCATACCACCACTTTCCCCGGGTTCTGTGCGTTCAGATTCTGAATCCCGGGAGTCGCCTATTCTAAATTCGTTACATACTAACAGTAACAGCAATATTCCTAAACCAGTCATGCTAACTGAGGAACCACTCACTTCAAACCTTGCTGCTGTTCAAGCACTCCGACTTCGACTCAGATTGCAGTCAGCTTGCGTACGAATGGACGCAGCGCCATTTGCTATTCAACCTACTATTTTGCAGGTAAAAGAAGATAAAAGAGAAAAGCAAAAGACAAAGACAAAACAAAAACCCTGAGAATATATTAACTAATGCGTTTTTGTTAAAGTTGACAATACCACATGACCCTCGTATTGATTTGATTCCAACCGCCCACATGCGGGATAGAATGATTCTTTTTAGAGACCAATTTGATTTAGATGACTGTTTCCGATGTCTTTTAGGCCACTCTGTGTTTCACGGCGGGGACCCAGCTGTTGCAGCTAACTGGCAATTACCTCCCGAATTTTTTGAAAAGTATTGGTTTTTGACTATAGACTATGACCTTCGTCGAACTACCAATAAGTGGCGACGTCTTCAAGGCTTAAATGACCTTGATTTTAAGCAGCAACAGCAACAAGCAGACGGAAAGAAGTCTCAACCTGACTTGGAAGGTCCTCCTACGACGCAGAAATTGGACTTTACAGATCTTTCTGCACTCTTGGGTATTGACTTTTGGAAAATTGCTCAACAAAAGTGTACACCCTCAAATAAACCAGTGGAAACCAATGACGATTTCTCCTATGCTTCCTCACTTTCATCAAGCAATTCATTCAACTCGAATCATTCGGCACTGCAGGTACCACCAAATACAGCACATGAAGAGGATTCTGCGGACTCTTTCCAACCCGTCCGTCTAACCAATGGCTATACATTTCCCCCGAAAATTTCAAAAGAACCGTCTCATCAAAAATCGCCAGCGAAACGCCACCATCCATATCAAAAACCAACCACATCCAAACCGTCTGTCACTTTTACACAGGATTTAGCTAGCACATGTGATCCATGGGATACATTGTTAATAGATCCATTGTCAAATACAGGCGACGATTACGACATGTTAGACCTGAATTTCTACTAAAACTAGCCGTAAAAATTAAGGCCCTCAATGTTGGCCTAGCCGTTTCATCCCACTATAAAGCTATATATTTTGCACTGTATCATGTCAAAATTTAAATTTTTTTATTATACCAATTTCATCAACTTTTTTCTACAAAATAAACTATTTGTTGTACAACGCTCGTTGTGTCTCCGCAAACTTCATTTATAATCTATTAAATTTACAAAAAAAAAAAAAAAAAAAAAAAATCCGTACTTGTGCCCCCTCTTTTATTATAGACATTTTGACATTATTGCTTAGTAACTGTATCAGCTGGGCTTTCAGGTGATTTTGGAGTAGAAGTCTTGGCAGTACTTTCTAAGAGGGGTCCTTCCTTGGATTTCTTTTCATCCTGAACGCCAAATAATTCGTCTTCATCAATATCAACAAGGTCATCCGAGTCGGAATCATCATCATCTCCAATGACATAGGGAACTGTATTGTTTTCTTCTGGTTTGTTAAGAGTAGATGGTGCTGTTGTCAATCCAATACCTTTTTTTAAAAATGTGTTAAAATTGACATTCAAAGCCCCAGTTAAGTGTTACGTACCTTCATAATCAGAGTCCCCATCAAATTCAAGTGGTGATCTGGGTGCTATAACCACAGTTGGAGTTACACCTTTTTTGACGGGAGGAGTAGAGCTTTCGTTAGCCAACTGTCTTGCAAAATCTTCATCGGCCTTTAATTGTGCTTCAGGTGTTGATGTCGGCGGCGATCCCGCGACGATGGTTTCTTTATTCTTTTGCCTGCCACCCGTCTGTGCGTATACATCATAATCGGATAAATGAAGCGCAGATATATCACCGGTCAAAAGATCATCCCCGTCATCACTAGGTAGCCCTCTGTATTGTGCATGCGTGGTTGGGATGGATGAAGTGGATGCCGACTCATGTTGGTTAGGCATATTATTATTTCGAGTGTTCGCTTTGAGTTGGTTGTAAAAGTCCATTACTTTTTTTTTCGCGGCTATTTAAAGACGATCTCAGTACGACATGATTATATATATATATAAAAAAAAGAATCTGTTAAACTGTTTTACCATTCCCTGCCTCAATCATCTTCTCTTTAATAATAGGTAGCTCCTCTAATTTCAGCAGTTAGCTATGTATTCATCTGGACGGTACTTTATGCAAGCTTACCTTGAAGGTTAAATAACGAATCTTGGTCCATATCCTGCTCACGTTTTTGATACTGCTGCTGCTGCTGCTGTTGTTGTTGCTGACTATGTTGTTGTCGACCTAATAAGCATAATCTATTAGTATTACGTATACATAATTTTTTTTTTAAAAAAAAAGAAAAAGAAAAAAAAAACGTGCGCGACACTCACGGTTATTAGCTCTCAATTCGTCTTCCATGGCCAATTTCTTGGCAAATTCCTCATCCATCCGGAGTTGGTCTTCGACTGTTATAGGTGCTTGCTGAGATTGTTGTTCCCAATAAGCATAAGGTGCATGACCGCTATTTGTTCTGGACCTTGGGTTGTCTGATAATTGAGAGGAAGGTCGTGGTGGCATAGTGGGGGTTATTTCTTGAGTTTGTGGTGGTATAGGTGTTGAGTTATAATTAGGGTCAGACATTCCCAGTAATATCTCAAAGGATGGCTCGAGTTTGTCATTTTGCGTCTGAAGAATAGCTTCAATGACCTCTACGTCGATATCTGGAAAGGCTTCTTTTAGGATGCGAACATGTTCGGGTAATTTACTATAATCTTGCTCAACATTAACAGCAGGAATAGTTTGTTGTTCAACAGCTGTTGTTTCTAGCTCTACCTGCAAATTTTCTGTTGGGTTTACCTCCTTGTCATTTAAACTATCTTTCTCGGAAGCAGTGCCTGTGGTAATGTTTTGCTCTTCCTTTGAACTAGACATATCTATTATTATTAAAGTTAAAAAAAGAAGGTCATGCTTTTTATGCTTTGTTCGGAACACGTCGGAGCTAGCTTTGTATTGAAGCGTGCGACAGTCACTCAGAAGGAATTCTAGCCCCGCTTTGCTTGCTTTACCAGATGTTGATATACCTCAGTGCCGAGTTCGGGTTGATTTTGTTGTACGTCTATTCCAATAGGACTTAGGGCTTATACCCCCATCAATTCCAATTGATAAAGAAGAAGATATAGATCTGTATATGCTGGTGAAATATCTTGATGACTAATCCACAGCGATAATTTGTATCTAGAAGAGTAGCTCTTGCGATTGCAATTTCTATTTTGCTTCAAATGTTCAGATGAATCAAATTTTAATCTCATAGAACAGCTATGTTTATGAAGCCACATTTTTACTTGTCCTGAGGACATTTATTGTTTTATCGTGAAAGCTAGTGTTAAATAGCATTATAGTCTTATTCGAACCACTGTTTAATCTTTACATTTTATGCTACAATTATTTTTGTATAGTAAGTCAATCACTTATTTGATATTATATATTGTCCCTGTATCGATCGCATGCGCGCAGATTATATGTAGAAAAAAACAGCTGTCTTTTGTCCACCACGGCATGTTTAGGGATTTGTAAGACCGATGAGGCCGCCTTGTGGTTTGGGGTGACGTAGAATTTTCATTTTTTTTTTAAACTAAAGCAATCAAAATTTTCTTCTTTACTTTGCCTCTTTTCCCTCTACTTTTTGTAATTTAGATAATCAAAAACATTATAATCACGATGGATATTGACGTTGAAGCTATGCTTGATGCTCCCTATCAAGAAAAGAGAGTAAGAAATTTCGATATTTTTTGTTGTGGGAGGGGTCTTCTCACGATTAAGTAAATACAAGCAAATGATAACTGGGCCTAACAATTTTATTTTTTTATTTTTTCGTTTTTGACAGGAAGAACAACCTAGAGAAGATGATCAACGGTAAAATATCTAAGACTAAAAAAAAAACAAAGCCTTGAACGTTTATTAACGGGTTATTTTTTATTGATTTAGTAGTCCTAGACATCATTCTTCACACTCTCAACATCGGTCTGATTCTCGTCACCATTCTTCTCACCCCCGATCACATTCCCGACACAGTAGTAGGAGATATCGCCGCTCCTCTCGATCAGTCAGTAGAGAAAGAAGACATCGACGTTCTCCTTCTCGTGAATATAAAAGACGTAGCAGAAGTAGAAGACGCGGTAGTCGAAGCCCACCCTCTAGAAGACGTAGCCGAAGCCCACCCCCACTTCATGATAGGTATAACGATAGAAGAAGGACTAATAATAGAAGAGGAGGCAGATCACCTTCACCTCCAGTCCCTGAGGAGGACAGAGATAGAAGAACGGTCTTTGTGACTCAACTTGCTGCTCGTTTAACCACTCGTGAACTCGAGGACTTTTTCTCTCAAGCAGGACGTCTCCGTGAAGCCAAGATTATTACAGATAGAAATTCAAGAAAGTCTAAGGGTGTTGGATATGTCGAGTTTTACGAGGAATCCTCTGTCCAAAATGCGCTCGCATTATCAGGCCAAAAACTTTTAGGTATTCCCGTCATTGTGCAATTATCTGAAGCGGAGAAGAATAGATTGGCCATGCAAGCTCAAAGAAACGCGTAAGTGGTAGAATCATGCTAGTCATTTTTATACTAAATACACAATAGATTGGGAGTTACAACTGAACCTTTATACCAAAGATTATATGTAGGCTCACTTCATTTTAGTTTAACAGATGATGATGTACGCCAAATCTTTGAACCGTTTGGAGCTTTGGACTTTGTCAATCTTCACAAAGGTACGGATTATTCCATAATCAGACTGATCAGGCTAATCCTTCCTTTTTTAAAATATAGATCCTGAGACTGGCCGTTCAAAAGGGTTCGGTTTTATTCAATACAAAAATGGTGAAGATGCAAAGCAAGCATTAGAAAAGATGAACGGCTTTGAATTAGCCGGTAGAAATGTAAGTCCTGTTTGTGTATTTGCATTTGCGTGGTAGACTGAACCTTGTTTTTTTTTATAGTTAAAGGTGGGTCTTGTTACTGAAAAGAATACTTTAGCTTCTGGAGGTAGCTACAATCTCGACGACGAAGGTAAGACAATTAATACCTAATTATGTATTAAGACGACTCATATTTTTGTACATCATTCAGAAACCGAGGGGGTTGCTTTGAACTCTCTTTCAAGAGCCGAACTAATGGCAAAACTGGCTGCTAGAGATCCTAGTGACGAACATGAGGCGCCTCGTCGTGTGGCACCTGCTCCTATTGCTCCGTAAGTATCTAATAGAACAGAATAAATCATGACTGTACTGATAAAATTTTATAACTTCTAGTCGCAAACCATTTATCCCAACAAGTTCTTCTCGCTATGTCATGTTAAATAACATGTTTAATCCTGCAGAGTAAGTGTTTGATCTATTTATTTCTCTTTTAAGTATTCTAACATTTATACAATAGAGAAACAGAGCCAGATTGGGTAAGCGATCTTGAATCAGATATTAAAATAGAATGTGAACGTTACGGACCTGTCGAACATATCAAGGTCAATGCTGATTCAATGGTAAGTTATATAATATTTTTGATTGATCATCAATATTAATGATTACTTTAGGGCGAAGTTTTCTTAAAGTTTGATACGGTGGAGTCTGCAGAAAAGGCGATCAATGCATTGAATGGCAGATGGTTTGGTGGTAAACAGATTACTGCTTCCTACGTCTCGGAGGCCATATTTAACGCCAATTCGATGTAAAATGATAAGGAAAAAAAAAAGTTTACTGAAACAAAAAAAAAAAAGAGCAACAAAACACATACAAAATAACTTTATATTTCTATTAGTGTTTTACTATATTATCTTTTCCATCTTCCACTCCCATTTTTGTTTTTTATTTTATTCACCCAAAGTTTCTATAATAGGTTTCTTCAAACACCAATTGCCTCGCTTAAAAATAAAAAGGTTGCCAAAATGAATATGTTATGACCAATCTCTCTCTTGTGTGTTTTCTATCCCCCTCCCCCTCCTCCTCCCCCCCCCCTTTTTTTAGGTAAGAATGGGCTGTTACCCCTCCTCGTCGCTTATTTTATAGCAGTGTAGACAATCGAGCCGGAACATTATTTCTTCCAGTTTCGATCCTCAAAAATAGAGATGTCTTTTGTACATTTTCGGAATTAAGAACAAACAAAAACAAGGAGGTATTTGACACTTTTATATATTCATCCCACATGTCCTTAAACCTTATGTAACGCATAAAAAAGAAATAAAGAAGAAACGAAACAAGTTTTTATTTGTTATTGAAGTTTTTGATTGGATCTCCCTCCCTCGAGCTTATTATATATATTACAAGGCTTTTTATTAGCTGGCAGTGATTTTTGGGGTTGAAGTGATCATAGCCTCCTTTTGTAAACAAATACACATATGTGTAACACGCCCATTATACACACACACAATACCGTATTTCTTGATTCATACACGTGTGTGTCGTGGTAGTAATTCTTTTAGAAATTACTGTCTTTGTGTTTGTTATTAATTAAAACAAATAATTACAGCGAAAATCTTTGCGCATTTATGTAATGTATGGTTGACAGAATTAGCCCCCCCCCCTCTCGCTCAACCTATTACGTATCAGCGCGACCTTAGTAACACTACAAACACATGTATTTTACTGCTTTAAAATGTTCTTTTTTTTTACGAATATAACAAGGTTAAAAGTGGTTGTTGTGTATTCTATATATAATATAGAGTTAATATTTAATAATAAATGTAAACAAAATAAAACTACTCCTTGTTTTTATATTTACCCCTTCGATTATTTTCTGTATATATATCATACCGTACTCAATGTCTTTTTTTTACTTTCTAGTCCTTCTTACGTCCCTATATCACTATTAAATACAAAGAATCAAATCTGGGTTGAACCAAGGTCTTTCTTTTTCTCTCTCAAAACTTGTTTATATTTCATACATACACTTTACAATTAAAACGCGGCTTGCCGGTTCAAATTTGTAACATACATCATACATATCCCTTTTCCCTTCATTAAACAATATAAATTTATATAAACATACCCGGCTTGCTGGTTATTAACTTATTTATTCACCCACCCTCCAAATTTTCCTTTCCTCTTCCCCTCTTTTTTTTTTTTCATGATTTCCAACATTTATCCAGATATGAACTTTGCCCACCAGACTCCATTTTATCACGGTACTCCAATCTCTTCTGGATCAAAACACAATCAACGTAATGATTCAATGGCAAATAGTACACACTCTTTCAACCAGTATCACCCACAAACATTACCTGTAATGTCAAATCATCAACAATATCCCATATCATCCTTACCGAATAATTATTCATTCCTCCCATCTACCATAAATTCTCAACAACCATATCAGCATCAACCATGGAAATCTGGACGTACTAGTAACGAACTTATGTTATCACATGAAATCATGCTTCCCTCATCCGCACCTTATCTTCAACGTAATGTTTACAATAATGAGTCCAGCTTGTCTGTTGATTCTTATCGTCACCAATTGAATAATAATATCTATAACCATGGAAGCAATGACAATCGTTATCTTTCCTCATCCCCTACATTATCTACATCACCCACCACATCCATGCTGATGTATAACAGTCAACAAGGTATGTTATTTACACTTTATATACTCATTTATACTAACAACAGAAGAAAAATAAAATATTAGGCAGTAGGATGTCTACTCATGAACATAGTCATTATCGCCGCTCTTCAATGAACACATCGCGATCTTCTTCCCCTTCATCCGCATCTTACACTACAGCCTATCATGAACATACAAGATCACCCAGTCCCGGAAACAATAAACGATATATCTGTCGCTTGTGTCACAAGCGATTTACTCGACCTAGTTCACTTACAACCCACATGTATAGCCACACAGGAGAAGTATGTATAAACAATAACGCAATGGGGATAGATAACTAATAGTATCATTTAGAAACCCTTTAAATGTACTTTTGATGGATGTGGTCGTAACTTTTCAGTCGTAAGCAATCTTAGAAGACACGCAAAAATTCATGGAAATGGCAATCCAAGCATCTCCACCTCCTCCTCTACCGCTTATTCGTACTGATTAAAAAAAAAAGAAATAGTCAAAAAAAAAATCCTCAAGTTCACATGTACGAATAATGATTTAACCAATGAATTAATAAATACATTTTTCTCCTTATAAAAAGATGATTTCAAGTGATGAAAGACTCAGCCCTAGCCCCCATAAAATTTGCATGAAGACATTAGTTAACAGTGAGTAGCCGCGGATCTGCATAGGTCATTTGTTTACCCTTACTTCCATAAAAAGACTAGCCTGATTACGTAAATAAAATCATTGAATAAATAAGGACTGTCATAACAGTCAAAAGCCAAAAAACATTGGATGGAATCCAATTGAAAACCGCTAAAGAATATTTAACGGGTGATCCATGTACGTGTTTATTTCCATAAATCTGGTTTTTTAATAGTCTTGTGCTATGATACACACTTTCTTTAGAGTTTACCTACCATTTGTAATTTTAATGTTTAAATAAAAGATGGGAGTATAATGAATCAGTATGGAAGTATCCTTAATCGGTTCAAAACAATCATTTCATTTTACATAACAAGAGTAAACATTTAGGCTGATTGATACCCTCTGTCATAAATTTTTTGAAAATACAGTGTTGGAAGATTAGATATTTTTTTTTTTAGCTCCACTACAGTTACCTACTGAGAAGATAATGTTTTGGTAAAAGTACCACTTATTGTCATACAGTAAGTTGAGTTACTGTCCAAAAGTATAGGCGAATATTCGTGTGTGCGCTTGTATTGTTTACTGTACATATATCCACATGGACATTTTGTTTATTAGATGCCAAGTCTATGTTTTCATCAGTGACGAAAAATAAATTTTTCATTTGATCATTTTAATGCCAAAAAAATTTCCATGATAAGTCGTAATATTTTCATTAATTGTGTAAATTGACCGTAATTTGATCAAAGAAATTCGAAATACATTTGGGAAATACATAGTTTGTACAAGACAAATTGATATGTCTAAATTTAATCAAGGACTAGCATGTTATAACCCATGAATAACTGTGAAGCGTTTATCTTGGGCTTAACTGTTTCTGGATTGTAACCCTAATTGAACTGAGACTTTCACCCTCTTGACAATCTCTTAATTTAAGTCCATCATAAACTGCAATGCACTTATAAGATGCTTTTGGGAGGACTGAATGTATGCTTATATCCATGATTTAGCGACGATACATGAGGTAGAAATGAACACACACACACACACTTTGTTACTTCCATCATAATGCCCCTGAATTATCCTGAGATTTAAACTGCAGTAATCTAAAAATATAACAAAGTTGTTTTTGGAGAGTCAACTTTAAAGCATATAAGACGTACATCTCGTTATTGCTGACGATGATTTTGCGGTTTAGTGCACTTAGAGTTATTAATGAATAGGATACAAAGGTACCCGGTATTTTTAATAAATTTAAAGCCCACTTGATATTAATCACGCTTTCAGCAGGGTAAATTCGTCTACTCTTTAAGATTATGGCATATTGTGTCAAAACAGAACAAAGGAAAGGTTGTTCTATATTACGATCTATGTGCGTGGTATTGCAAACTGAATTGATTGTTTTTTTGGATAGTAATCATAAGAAAATATGTATCTAGTAAACCTTGAATGTAGTTGACAATATACGCTGGATCACCTCTTAAGACTAGTTGGAATAAGAGCGTTATTTTCTTTTTTCTATTAAAATTAATTCCGGAGTTTGATCCGAGAAGTGTCTAAAATTAAACACAGGCGGTAAACATGGGGAGATATATTACGAATGAGAGCTGATCAAACTCAAATTGGTTTTAAGTTGTCCGTATACATCTGTTCTATATTTATGATAAGGAACAAAATAATTGTGTATAGTACATATACTATGACAACCGAAATCGGAAGCAAAGATATCAATTTAAGAAGTGATTGCCGCAGTAAAAATACAGCACCCAGATAAAATTTTATATCACCTAAATTGTTGATTAAGTTAAAAAACAAGCCTTAAGCTATTTGGAAGATGAAAAGTTAAATTTATGGTTCGACAAACTCATGAGTGGTACAATAAATCTTTGTATTGGAGTAAAATCCTTACATTGAAAACGTAGTTTTAGATAACTGTTAAAACTGTGTTGGGTCATTGAGTATAAGAATGGTGGTATATTGTTCCCCCGAAATTGCGAACACTTATATTTTAACTCTTCTGTTTAAATCCAGCTTAGCTTGTAAACAAAAAGGTTAAAAGACGGTTTCACAAGTAATGATCGGAAAAGCTTCACAAGCAGAATTGTTCCTGAAGGAATGAAGAAAACAAAAAAAAAAAACAAAAAATACAGATTGGGGATATTAGTGAAACGGAATAAGGCCAATGAGGTACATGAGTTTCCAGTGTTTTTAATATTTCCTTTTATATAATGATCATAAATAGAATGACAAACAAGGCAGATTCGAATCAAATTAAAAATGATCGTATACGCTAAATATCAATATGAAGCCAAAAGAGTTGACAATGGAATCATTAAAAAATGTCATTATAACTTAGTTTAAGAAGGTTATCCAAAGAGATAAGTCAATTATAAAGCTTAGCATTGTGTATATAAGTTTATAGAGTCCAAATACAATATACTAATAATATTCTACTAAATTAGATGATAATTGGTAAAACAAAAGCAAAAAAAAAAAAAAAAAAAAAAAAAGCCTAAAAACGTGGCTCGGAATAGAGAAAAATAGGAATATCTTTGATTGCCGAAGCTCAGGGGGATACCCTTAATTTAGGATAAGGTAGCATTTTTTACCATCATTGTTTATTGTTATTGTTTTAGTATAAAAAATAGAAAACCAAACACGTATAAATTGCTCTATGGTCATGGGAATCACTCATTTGACATTTTATTCACAGGTTCATATTTCTTTATTATTTCATTATAATTAATGTATGTTATCGTGTTTCTTGTGATTTGCTTGAAACGTGTTATGTAGTAAGAGTAGCAGTAATAGGGAGTAGTAATAGTAGTAGTAATAGTGTAGTGTAGGTATAAGCAGCAGTAAAATAAAAAGCATATTACATATGTGTACATGTTATATAATCATTTAGTTATACAACCTGGGGCAATCTCTATAATGATATTAGATAATGTTGTCTTTCAATACGAGTATACTACATACCTTGTCTTGTGCGAGAATGAGCCACAAGTACAACATTTACAAGCAGCAGTATTAACGGGAAGAGTAATAACAATTGATTGAGGGGTAATAGATTCCATTGGTGATAATTATTTAGCAAAAGATGAAGGAAGAGAAGAAATAAAAAAAAAGGAGGGGGAGTATATATACTTTATTACAATAATCGCCCAAACAATTCTGTGTTATACAGCATGACAGATTCTGTCAATCCTTTCTTTTTTAAGGTAGGTCGATCCCAAGCCATTAGTGATTTTTGTTGTGTATCCAACACGGGTCTAAAGAATCCATCATCGTTGTTGTTAGTCATATTGAATAATATATCCTTTTTAAAGAATGTGTTGCATCTTTTCCATAACCAAATTGACATGATGTTGTTTTTTGTAAATAAATGTAAGTCCTGCAGGAATTCATACAGTTCAAAAAAGAGCACTTGTCTACCACCCATATTTTTCCTTATCAACAAATACTCCTTTTCCCATTTCTTTGGCTTGGTGTAAAATTTCATTGTTTCTTCCAGAACTAGAAAGCTCTCAAACTCTCCGGTCCCGATCCTTTCATTACAAATGTCAACATCGACAATGGTCCACGAATCGTCCGACACACCTACTGCTAGTTGGATAGGCTGGTTTTGTTTTGGTATATGGCATAACAGTTTCCAAAGTCTAAGCCTGTTGAACTTCGAGTTTTGTATAATATAGTTGTAAATAGGGCGATTGAGTAAGAGTAATTGTGTTGTTGTCACTTGTCTTGTCCATTTGAGAATATTCTCGTTGTCATTGACATCCGATTGAATGCACAAGTCAACTATTTTTAACAGTAATTCAATCGGCAAGATCATTTGAAGTCTGCTATATTTTTTTAATTTTTTTTTTTTTTTTTTTTTTTTGCCTTTTTTCCCGCACCTGATTGAGCCCATATTTAGTAATAGGTTGATCGGGTGGAGTCTCAGATGAAAGTAAAGAGAGGGAATTTCCAAACACATGATAAAAGACAATTTATACAAATATGTTAGTATCCCCAAGGAACCAGTTATATCTTTTATTTGTAAGTAAGAGTTTATGTACTGTGCCTTATTATCCTTAATGACTACATTTACAGTTAACATTTTTTTTTTTTATTATTATTATTTTTTATTTTCTTTCAGTTAGAGTAGAATTGGGATGATATCTTTTTCTGTTATAGTATAAATTAACTCTTATCAGTTCCCTTGTTATTTTCTTTATTCTTTCTTTTTCAAAATAAACACCTAAATACTATACTGACAAAAGGTGAAAAATGCATGACTTGCATTTAATAGTGTTTGATGTGCTAAATGTTTCTAATCAATTTGTTTGCTTCATGCTGCTTCGCTTAATATACAACTCGTGGGGCTTTGTTTAAAGGTGTTTATAGGTTCCTGCAGCATTTAGTGTTTCCTTTTGAGTAAGAAAATTCAATAATATTTTTACCCCTATTTAGATCTGATGAACATATCATCACCCAAACCGATCTTGAATATCAGCCATTGCATCATGCTCTAACAATAAAATATACATACATACATACACACACACAAGCAGCATCTACATTGATAGCTAAATTTGCAAAGTAGACACACTTAAGGTCTACTACCAATTGATTACTAAATTTTTGTTTAATTACATTTGTAAATTGATCGCTTGTTTAAAAGTTGATTGGATTGTTTAAACTTTATTTATACAACTTTGTAAAGTAATTTACAGAATGTAAAACGCCCAATTTGATTGTACATAGAGAACAGCATTTGTATCCTTGGAAGACAACAGGTCTGTTGACAAATATATTTAGAAGACACGGATGCTGATTCCGCATAATTTAAGATGAATTGTTCCCCCCCCCCCCTGTTGCCATTGGGATAAGTGATTTCCTAGTAACATGGACTGTAATTGGGAGACACCATCATTGGTTTTTATGTGATGAGTCATATTATCAACAATCAGAAGAAAGATGAGTCAGGCAGGAAATTATCAAAAAATAAATACAATTGAATCTGGAGTTGATTATAACATGGGGATTACTCCATCTCTTAGTCCGTGTCTTATAATTCAGGATATTATTTCGTTGCGTATTTAAATGATGCTTCCTTACACAGATTATAAATTATGTGTGTAGATTATAAAAAAAAAAATTCACGGGTCTATGCAAATAAATGCCGGATGTGTTGTTTGTCCGGAATTTGCGGTGACAAAGGCTGTGCACAGTGTAACACCTTTGTACAGTTTATAAATAATGACATACGTATCTTTAAAAATTTGTGTCATTCTATGTGGGAATGTAGAAAGCTCGAAAAATATAACTCGATAAAGATTTTTTATTTTATTTTTTTATAATATATACGAACTCTATGGATAAGAATTTGTAATGAGACATATTATATTGCCCTAACTCATGAATGTTGTTGAAACAATCGATTTGCTTCTTTTAAAAATGCTTTGCAAATATGTTCATCATGACAACTTGATACAATATTGCTGATTCAAAAAATATCTACAGCCCACTAATACTAATAAAGACGATGGTATGATACCGTTCTTATTATTATAAATCAGGTATAAGCATACTATATGTAAAATATCGCCCTGACGGCAACATAATGAGTTTATTGTTAACGTTGATACATATCACTTGACTTTTTTCTAGACCACATGATGATAGCTCTTGTCAGCTTTACAAGCTTCTAACCAACTTTGCAAAAAAATAAAATATATGATGAAACTATTACCATGCCGGTGAAACGCTATATTATTTTAGACTCTTTTTTAAAAAACATATGTGAAGTTTACATGGATATCCAGGAAGGATATATGTATATATATATATTTTTTGAGCCAAATATGTTTACTTTGCCTACAAAATCAGCTAGCGTACTACAAATTTTTGTCATCCAGCCCCTAGCCATCTTAAAAAGCGGGGCTCCTTATTGTAGAAGGTAGCTCTTACATAAGAAAGATTTTATTTATGGCTTCTATTAATTCTAATAAATAATCCTTTTATAGATGTAATGGCCACCAAATCAGATAAATAAAAATGTTAGTTGCAATGATATCAACATTGTTTTCTGCAATTATGAACCCTCTTCGAAACAGGTTCATAATGTGAAAAAAAGCTCGATTCAGAGACTGAAAAAAAAAAACCAGTTCTGGCTTAAAATTGTATATTTAAACTTGGCACTCTAATTGATCTATGATCGACCTGATATGGGCTGGTCTGGAATAGGTTACGACATTACTGCCTGAAATGTATTAAGTCTACTTGGTTATTTTGAGGTTTTAGTTATACCGTGTCACTGTTAAGAAACTTTGTCCCGAAGAGATCTATGATTTTTTTTGTTTGTGCATAATAAGAGCGAATATAATAAATATCTTATACTTTGAGCGTTATGGCATGGCACAATATTTTCATCTGTATGTCGTTTTAAATAGCCTGTAAATTTAGCTTAAACATCAGTGCTGCTCATGAAGAACATTATGCATTTTACTAGAAAAACAATTATAAGCGACGTCTTTTGTTAAGGCCATGCCTCACAGTATGAAAAAGTTGCTCTCGTTATTAGCTACCTACGTCAACAATGAAACACAAAGTGTTTACCCAAGAACACAATTTTTTTTTTTTTGTGAATCAGGGCAGTATTGGTTTGTTTGGAATCTATTCGCTTTTTGTATGCTTTAAGCCAAGGAGTGTTATCGGCCCAAAGACTATTGTGTAAGTAGCTGACTAGATTCCCGTGACAAAATAATATCATTGCCAAAGTTTCAGCTAAATCCGAATTTCTTGTTGTCTAGTATACGTGGATAGGCGTAACGTTTTTTTTTTTTTTTTTTTTTTTTTTTTTTGCGTGTGTTGGATGGACCTGTGTCATGTCTTCTTATCAACAGCACATGACGAGGGCTGTACAATGATTACACTATTGAGCCTTCCTGTCAGATACTCTTTATAGTACCTCCAGTTTGTAGAAAAAAAATTATGATCAAACAAAGTGTTCTGCGCCCGTCATTTTTGCTGAGGTTTCATATCTTTTTGGGATTCGATGGGTGCTGTTACTTTTTATTTTCTTTGACCTATCCTGATACTGTTTGGTGTATTATTATTAGGACTTTAATGTGCGATCAGTCGTGTAACTCTCTTTGATACGACAGATCATGCTTCTTCTTAATGACATATTCACCAGATATTTTGTGAAAGCTCTATTATGTGAGCTGTGACTAATGTGGAGGGTTTGCTCATCATACAATATACCTGTATTTACGACGGACTTTTTTTTAAATGGGCATTTAATGACATCTATTCCACTAATCTAAAGCTCCTCGGTACCGGATCGCACCATTCCCTTCCTGGTGTATCGCATCATGTGAGTTTGCGTCACTCCCCAATAGTAAGTGTTATTTGGTTCACAGATGACCCAGAATAATTTTGGCATGAAATCTTGGAAATCGACTGTTTTGTTACGCAGTGAGACCCAGTTTGGTTTGAACGAGAGACAAGTCATTGATGATACATCTAATCTAATAAATTTACAGGATCATGTCTGAATATATATATATTGTTATGCTCAACTAGTCTGAATGCTTAAAATTGTAGCAAATATCATCCCCACAAAAACAAGTAATTATGCAGTGATATGAAGTGAAGACCTGACAGACTTTTTTTATGGTGTAATCAAGAAACCAATCCTCATTCAGTGCAGACCCGTAAGATGATATAGTGATTGTAAGTTGCTTTAATCATGTTGCTGACCAGATTAGTTATAATAGTTAAAAAAAAATAGGCTTGTTATATCTCTAATTTCGTAACTCAGTCTTAAATGTACTCAATTTGACATAGAAGATACATATATTTGATAAAAGATATATGTGCTAAGATTTCAAAAAGTAATGTCACTGAAATATCTAGGCACGAAAATGCAAATTTCACTCCAATGAAGAAAAAACAAAGAATGGGCAACAGCTTTTAAAATGGAGATGGAAAGACCGGGAATGAAATTAGAGCTCAGTTGGGAGTTTCGGCGTCTCCGTGACGCATCTTACAAAATAAAATAAAAAAAAGGGACTTTATTTTGTTTCGTCTCTTAGTTGCTAAAGAAAACACACACCCACACCCACACACACACACAAAAAAAAGAAGGATGGCTAGCGCACTTAGTTTCAATGAGAATGATGGTTACATTGATGGTATCTTGAGAGGTTATTACTCAGGCATCTTGAACTCTACTCAATACCTTAATTTCAGTCAATGTGAAACTCTTGAAGGTAAAGTTTTTTTTTCTTTGTTAAATGTATACAATTCAATATGGTATTGAACAAGATGTTCCTTTAAAGATCTTCGTCTTCAGTTGGGTGCAACCGATTATGGTTCCCTTTTACAAAACGAACCTTCCCCTATTGCCACCTCAACCATTGCAGAAAAGTTGACGCAAAGTCTTGTTGAGGAATTTGACTATGTTCGTAGCAATGCTGTTCAACCTTTGACCAAGTTTTTGGAATATATCACGTAAGAAAAGAAAGCAACAAGTGTGTAAAAAAAAATAGTTTACTAATGACATTGTATGTAGCTATCAATACATGATTGATAATGTCATTTTAATTATTACGGGTACACTTCATGAACGTGATACGCACGAACTTCTTGATCGTTGTCATCCTCTTGGTGTATTTGACACTATGCCTGCTCTCTGTGTTGCCACTACAGTTGCTGAATTATATAACACTGTCTTGGTAGAAACTCCCTTAGGTAACATATTTTTCTTTGTTGGATTTCAGAACAAAATTAACGCGATTTTGTGTAGCACCTTATTTTGCCAACTGTCTCAGTGCCCATGATTTGGATGAGCTCAATATTGAAATTATCCGTAACACTCTTTACAAGGCATACCTCGAAGATTTCTACCAATTCTGTCAAACTATTGGTGGAGCTACTGCTGAAGTGATGGGCGACATTCTCCGTGTAAGTCTTTTTTTTTTTTTGTAGTGCGGTTATAGAACAGATAGAGTTTTAACAAGTATTTTGTCTAGTTTGAAGCAGATCGTCGTACGATTAACATTACGATCAATTCTTTTGGTACGGAGTTACCCAAGGAGGACCGTAAAAAGTTGTTCCCTACTATTGGTCGTCTTTACCCTGACGGTAACGCTCGTTTAGCTATTGCTGATGAGATGGATCAAGTTAAATCTACTTGTGAGGTATTCCATGAATACCGTGGCTTTTTTGATAGCAGCAGCAGCAAGACGTTGGAAGACAAGTTTTTTGAGACGGAAGTCTTTTTGAACAGACAAGCTTTCCAACAACAATTCAACTATGGTGTATTTTATGCTTACATTAAATTGAAGGAGCAAGAAATCAGAAACATTGTTTGGATTGCTGAGTGTATTTCTCAAAACCAAAAGGATAGAATCAACAGTTATATTCCCATTTTGTAATTTAAAAAAATAATAAAAAAAAAAAGTTGATTGCTTATGATTTTTTCCGATTGCTAAAACAGCATTAAAGCAAAATCCCGTTTTTTCAAAACCCACCCTCCCTAACTCCGTCAAATGGATCCAATACAAAACTGGCTATTCTTTTTTTTTTTTTTTTTTTTTTTTTTTTTTTAATTCTTCTTTACCTTCTTTAATAACCAAATGGGAAATGTTCACTCCAAAAAACATAAACATAGACCGAGTGTTATAAGAACTGATAGTACACCAGATAATGAATATTCAAATACAACAGCCACTTCAATTAGCTCAATTCTTGTGAGTAACTCCAATAATGCACCTATTGATATATCACAGCAAAAATCCCCAGTAGCTCCAGAATATCCTTTCCCCAATAGTATCAATAGTGTCCACTCACCTACCAATGACGACACTCTCCATTCATTCAACCAACTCAGTTTGTCTTCTGAAAACCAGTTAACTGCTAATTCTATGCACTCATTCGGAAAAAACTTGGATGTCGACGAATGTATCAGTCGTTTATTGGAAGTAGGCAAAAGCGGCAAAGTTTCTAAATCCATATGCTTCAAGAACTCTGAAATTGTCGCCATTTGTAGAGCGGTGAGCGAAGTTTTTATGAGCCAACCTGTAAGTAACAAGTTTTATTATTATCTTGAAAAGAGGTACTAAACCCAAGAAAATAAATAGACACTCATTGAGTTGAATCCACCTGTCAAAATCATGGGCGACATTCATGGTCAGTACCACGATCTAATTCGTTTATTTGAAATGGGAGGCTATCCACCCGATGCCAACTACTTACTCTTGGGCGATTATGTTGATCGTGGCAAACAAAGCTTGGAGACCATTCTATTGTTGTTTTGCTATAAAATCAAGTATCCCGAAAACTTTTTCTTGTTGAGAGGCAATCATGAGTGTGCCAACGTCACCAGAGGTAAAATTAGTAAAAAAAAAAAAAAACTGGATGATTATAATGAAATAGACTAACCATATATTATTTAGTGTATGGATTCTATGATGAATGTAAAAGACGAACCAATGTCAAGATTTGGAAGACATTTATTGATGTATTTAATACGCTGCCGATTACTGGTCTGGTAGCAGGAAAGATATTCTGTGTTCATGGAGGCATCAGTCCTTCATTGAATAATCTGGATGATATTCGTACCATCATTCGACCCACTGACGTGCCTGAGTTTGGATTGTTGAATGATTTGTTATGGTCGGACCCAAGTGACACTGCGGTGGATTGGGAGGATAATGAAAGAGGCGTATCGTATTGCTTTGGAAAGAAGATTGTGAACGAATTCTTGTCTAAATTTGATTTGGATCTTGTCTGTAGGGCACATATGGTGGTGGAGGACGGCTATCAATTCTTTAATGAAAGAACCCTGGTGACTGTATTTAGTGCTCCCAATTATTGTGGTGAATTTGATAATTTTGGTGCAATCATGAGTGTCAATGAAGAATTATTGTGCAGTTTCGAATTATTAACACCAACAGAGCATCCACCTATCCACAAGATGCAACAGGCTAGCAAAGGAGGAAGAAGACAAAGGTAAACATCATCTTTTTATTAATATAACCATAACTAAACTCTTTCTTATATCTAGTCCCCCTATGATGGAAATGGCAAGTTCTTTAGAGGACTACTCTCAATAACACAACACAACTGTAACATATATCCTTTAAGCACCCTCACTTTTTTTTTTAATTTATTAATAAATAATCGCATTCTTCCTTTTATGTCTGATAGCGTCACGTGTACACTCCACACACACACACACATCTATACACAATCATGTAAATATTTTTAACTGACCTCTTTTTTTTTTTTCATCTTTTTCTCTCCCCTATTTTTTTTTCTTTTTTTTTATTCTTCTCACGAATATATCAATGGAGGAAGTTGGCTCAAGTAGGCGTGATAGAAGAGTGCAACCCAACTCGATTCGAGTTCTAAGGGAATTCGCAAGAAATAAAGAGATGGCAACACCCGTACCTTCTTCTGAACACCATCGGTCCCGATCCTCACCAAAAGTAACCGACCACCCTTGGATGCATACCAGCTCACCTTATACCGAATTTCAGTCTTCTCCAAGCTCTTCTACCGAAATGAAATCCACCGCTTATAATAAAAACTTTGGTCAAACTAACCATAGTGATAATTACATCAACAACAACAACAACAATAATAATAATAATAGTTCCAAATATGACTGGCGAATGCATTCTCTTATGCTTTGTAGACATATATTAAGAAGAGGACTTTTGGACGGTGTTGGCAGTGATGTGAGTGTGTATATACCCGCATGGGATAAATCATATAATCTACATCGTTTGGTATTGGATCAAAATCCCTACTTTAAGTTGCTTTTACAGGGCGGATTTCGGGAAGCCGAATCAGATGGAGTGACTTTGCATTTTGAAGATAATCCGTTCATCACACTCGAATCATTTCAGTTTGTCCTCGAATACCTGTATGGTAAAATAGACGATCCATTTATCACCCAAGACAATGTACGACAGATTCTAGCCACGAGCTCTTATTTTCAACTGGATGTGTGTGGTATTTGTATAGATTACATTCTCAAGACACTTGACCATCAAAATGTGGTTGACTACCTGTTATTTGCGGATGAATTAATGGTGCAAGGAAGTGAACGTATATGTGATGCTGTATTTACTTTTTTATGCAGAGAGGCACATGGTATGGACCGTGAAGTATTGGCTTCTCTGCCCTTGGATTGGTTACAAAGAGTCATTGAAAGTGATGCATTCTGGGTTCCTAGTGAATTCGAAAGATATAGCTTTACTCAACAAATCATTCAAGCAAGATATGAAGCTTATCTACTTGCACCTTCTTCATTTGTCTTGACCGAACTAGACACAAACCCGAATTGCCACATCTTGTCACGATCTATCCACTACATGCACATGACATTTGAGCAGTTAGAGTCTATACAAGATGATGTTCATCCTCTCACGAAGCAACGTCTCGTGGCTGAAAAAGTACTAAAAGAGGCATTATGGCTTCAAGTCAAATTAAGATCCAAAATAGAATCGGCTTCAGAAAAAGATACTAAATTAAACATGACAATTCCTTCTACCTGTGTTCGTTCTCGTCGTACAAGCACTGTGACAAGCGATAAAGAAGAAGGGTATGATGATTGTAATGCCGAAGAGGAAGAAATTGTTGAAAAGAGACCCTTATCAGGTAAATATTATCCTATACCGACGGATGATACAACAACCTATACGAGAGAATCGGCTATTGCCATGTCCTCCTCATCTGCTGCTGCTGCCACTGGTGGTGGTGGTGGTGGTGGTGGTAAAAAGAAATCCTTAAAGCAACAGAATACAGTGCCAGTGGAACACTTTTCAATTTATCCTCCCTTTCGATTTAGTGTAGAATTTACAAATGTCAATGCTCTTAAACACGATATGCGTGTTTATTCCCATACCGTCTTTTATGCAGGGTAAACAGTTTTTTTTTTTTATGTAATCTATGGCAACCCAAGTCTGCTAACTTCATCTTTAGATCGGACTGGAACATTTACATCCAAAAAACAAAGTCATTGCGTAAAGGTGTGTTACAATTAGGTGTTTATCTTCATCGTCAATCTATTTCACACCAGGTTCAGTCACATCAAGGCCACACTTGTTACTATCCGGATGAGATACAGCAGCAAAATGAAGGGAACACAAGTGCCGCTACCTCTACCGCTTTCAGAACCAATCCGACGGCCGAATCTTGGTCTTTTTCAAGATATCCAGATAAACGACAGGTGGTGAAGACATGGTTCAAGATATATTGTCCATCCAGAGGACCGAAACATGCATTAACCTTGTTTCAAAGTAGCCCTGATAACTTCTCCGTGACACAAAGCTGGGTAAATTATAGATTGAAAAGCTATTTTTTTTTTTTTACGTGGGACACTGCATTAAAAATTATAATTAGGGTTGGAGAAGTACTGCTTTATGCACCGATGAAAATAGTAGTAGTGGTACTACTACAACAACAACGACAACGGACACAACAGCTTCCTCATCGCCGCCACCACCCATGCTTTATACCCCACAGACTTCGAATCAATTACATTACCTCACAAGCACTTATGATTTGCGAACGATCAAGACAGCCTTAAATACCGCCCAACCACAAAAGAGTGATACTAATTCAGGACCTTCCTTAAAATTCACAATCGTCATGGGCCATGTTTAAATAACATGCAATAATTAAGAAAAGACTTTACGAAAAGAATGAATCCCGGGAAGGACAGATTTGATGGGGAGAGTGATTTTTTTGTTGTATTTTTTTAATTAAAAAGAAGTATTTAATAAAAAAAAAGTGGGAAAAAAAATTTAAGCAGAAGCAGACTTTTGCATGGAAGAAGTACGACGACGTTCAATCTTCTTATCCTTGGTCTCCTTGACACGCTTGGCAAGCAATTGCTTGTACTCGGACTCAGCCTCTTGAGAAGCCTCGGCTCTTCTGCGCTTAAGAGCTTGTCTGTGTCTCTTACGTTGGAGGGTAAGAGGGGTGACAAGACGTTGGATCTTGGGAGCCTTGGTGTAAGACTTCTTACCTTCACCCTTGGGGGTGACTTCACGACGAATGACATACTTGCGGACATCATCTTCCTTGGTCAAGTTCTGTAAAGAAAAAACAAATAGTATTAGAGTCACGGGTTCAGATTATTCATTTTCTTTATAAATACGTACGAAGAACTTTCTGATCTTGGAAGCACGCTTGGGACCGAGACGCTTGGGGACAGTGGTGTCGGTGAGACCGGGGATCTCTTGCTCACCTTGCTTAACAACAACGAGAGACAAGACAGAGAGATCGGAACCGACGATACAACCACGGACAGACTTTCTCTTACGCTCACCGGTACGGCGGGGACGGTAACAAGAGTGACCCTTGGACATCAAAAGCTTGACACGGTAAGGTAAAAGGACACCTTGCTTCATGGGGAAACCTTGCTTGTCGTTACCACCAGAGATACGGAAAACGTAACCCTTGAACTCACCACCGAGGGAGTCACCGGAGACCTCTTGGGCCATACGCTTGTCATAGAAACCACGGCTAATGTTAAAAACAAGTGTTAATATTGCAATTCTATTAAATAATTTACCCTTTGTCCCGCTAATTTTTTTTGTAAGGAAAAGGTTTTGCATGGAGAAAGAATTTCATCGTGTTTGTGTGAGGGCTTCCTTTTTCGTGTAAAGTGAATATCGCATCTGAAGGACACACACACACACACAAAAGTTGATTCGAACTGTTCTTAATTTAAAACTGCCTGGGGTTGATAAAAATTTCTTTCTCCAAAATGCCTTTCACATACACAACAAAAAAAAAAAGCAAGGAACCACGGCACATGTGATTACTTACAGACGACGCTCATCCTCGATTTCAATCAACTTTTGGCAGCCAGTGGCTGGGTTGGCGATGTTCAACTATGAATCATTAAAATGTATAAGTAAGAAGAAAAAAAAAATTATTTTTGACATGCTCATTCTATCCCTCCCCCTCCTCCCTCAAAAAAAAGAAGTTGATGTCTTTTATCATTCATCCATCTATTTCATTGCTTGTTGAAATAACATCCATCGGATGATATGTCTTCTTCTTTCTGTGGGAGGTTTCCTTCTTTTTTTTTTTTTTTTTTACACACCTTCATGACTCGTCAAATGGGGAAAGACAGATCATCCATTGCAATTGTTTGCCCAATTTATCGCACACTGCTGCGACCGAAATTGGGATGCGATTGGGACATGCTGCTCCTACAGCCAATTATCCCGGACTGGATTACGATGTGTCCGGTCCGCACTTCTTTCGGTAAGCCACTGCCCTTTTTTTTTTTTTTTTTTTTTTTTCAAACACAACCCCTATTTTCTGGACAAAGCGTAAGCAATTGTTGAATAGCTGTTGATTGCGTATTTATATGAGCTTTATTTTAAATAAAAAACAATAATTGCTACTTCACGATACCTGAGCACAAAAATATCTCTGCCAGCATATATAATTCATCGCATAGCATGGTTTGCCATGCAAAGATCTTGTGTAGTGTCTAGCGATTACACAATATCTACCTTTCTGATGGTATTTATGTTCCTCACTCTATTGTATTGGGGTGCTATCTTCTTTTTTTCCCAGACATAAACGAGTTATTCCCAAATTTATAATGTATTTATAGTACACAATGAAACAGGAAAGTATCTATCAACTTGACAACACAGACCCTTTTTTCATGGTATCACCTATCCAGAATGAGACATTTGACAAATAAATTTAAGGGATACTGGACCCCCAGATCATTACTTTTTGATATAGTGATTAACAGAGCATCGGTCTTTCGTACGAACCATCCAAGATATTTATTACATTTGACTAAGCTTTGATTCAGCTCCATATAAAAAGAAGTCTTCTTGGAAACAGCAACAAAATATGACATTTTGAACATTTTTATTTAATACTTTTTAAAGTGTATCAGTCAAAAGTTCGCTGCCATTGACATACAAATCCATGATGCAGCGCTCTTGACGGTCACGGAGATAATAGAGAGCTGCCGCATAAAAGCTGAAATTGTCTTGGATGAGAAGATAGTCTCCTCTGGGGACATGATACATCCGAATGCTATCACCGGGCTTGAATAGATCCCCAAGTTTGTCTCGAAGTGCATCAAAGAATAAATAATCCTCATCGAAAGAGTAAATCATCGCTTGTGTAAGTTTTTTACCTTGGCGAGGAAGGACAAGGTAAAATATGCCATAATGTCCAACGTTCGGCAACTAGAAAGGTTGTGAAATTCGTTACTGTTGCTTTTTTTATAAAATAATATGATTCTCTTACGTTTTTCATTTGTAGAACAACTTGTTTCCTAATAGCTTTTAGTTTTATTAATTCTGTTATATCAGTTGTCATTTGCTTTCGTGTCGGTTTGGTATAACGAATATTGAAAGATAAATGTGAAAGTAAAGGGGAATGATGTGATCAAAACCAAGTATTTATTTATTTTTAAATTTTAAATTGGTTTATAGCTAACATAAAGCATTTTGATGCTAATACTAGCGGATTAAGTAGGTGTCACAACTACACCGTTAATGTAAATATCCATCCCACGTCGACGGTCAGATATCTCTGTCACCGTGTCATAAAAATACAGAACAGCTATATACAGGTCTTCATCATCTATGAGCTGCAGATGTTTTGAGGTAGCGTGTATGGTGGCTATTTTGACACCTTGGTCCACTTCAATTGTCTGCTTTAATCTGTCAAGAATATCTGATTTCTCACTGAAATCGTGAGGTCTAGAGTAAGTCTCGATTCTGTTAAATCTATTGCTATAATAATGGACATTAATCATAAGAAAACAGCTATCGTTAGTGCTTATCCGTATTGATTGCAGCTATGATTTAAACAACTTTTAGTTTGTAGGTAAACAAATTAAATGTAACAAATCAATTTATATGTGGTTACTTCTTTAAAGTGTTTATGAATTGTTTCGCCAGTCCTTTGATATGTCATAATGTAATCAGATATAGGATTGTGATTTGACAAAAAAAAGTCTTTAAATGAATTGAGACTGACCATACTGTCTATTTTTATAGTCATCTCGTTTATCGTCAGTTTCTCCCCCCCCATTGTTATGCAAGTACAAAACAAGTTAAAAAAGCAGTCAAAAGGACCGAGAAGGTGGATCTACCCCATTGGATCACCATTTCCCCATGCCATTGATTTCTTTACGAGGAAGAGTCCGATTTTGAAGACGACTTCTTGGCTGATGAAGATGTCGAGGAGGACGATGATGATGATGACGAAGAGGATGATGCTGTAAGTTTTTTTTAATAACCAAGTCACCCATGATTTGCTCTTTACTAACCATTCCCTTTCTTTAATAGCCTGCCAACAAGGCTGAAATAACGCTCCCGAGCGAGTGTAAGCAATCTTAAATCATCATCTCTCTCTCTACATTTTTTTTATATATAAAATCTTTTGCAAATACAGTGCATCTATTTTACAATGAACAATTTTTGGCTCCGATTTTTCAAAAAAAAATAAAAACTCTATCTCCTCGATGAATTCAACAGGTATCCAAAATCCGGCTCTATTACATTCTTTATTAGAGAGTTTTCCACAAACTAATAGAGCCGGAATTTTTTTTTTCACACAAAATTTTTTACAGATGGCAAAACAAAATTGGCCATTTACAGTGGGGAGACCCAAAGATGTCCGGGAGGTGTTTTACAGTGCAAAAATTCATAAAAATCCAACGGATATATCCCGGTTAAACATTTTCCCGCGATAAATTAGATTTCTCTGTCAAAAAATATGAAAATCACCAGTCTAAAAATCCGACTTTTAAGTTCTGAAAATGTCCGTTTTAACGAAAATTGTTCATTGTAAAATAGATGCACTGTAACTCTCTCTCTTTTTTTTTATTGTTGTCACCGACTAGATTGTCTGTGCACGCTTTGATTAATTTATCTTGATTTTGCATCGCTTATTAAAAAAAAGAAAAGTTGCTAATCACATCTCTCTTTTTTTTTTCCTCATAATTCATAAACAATGATTCAACAGAAACAGGGCATACTTATTGTGCAAAGTATCTACCCTTGCTACATTTGTGCCAAGGAGTTTATTAAGGCTAAGGAAGTCATTCGTCACGTCAAGAAAGCTCACGGTTACATTCTGGTAGCACAAGACCGCGGTCATCGTGGTCCTGCCGATGAGCTTTGTGCGTACGCGATGAGAGGAGACGAAATATGGCGGGTACAGGATCAATGTTGCCCCTCTTGCTGGTATCATGCGCCCAAGATCAACGGTATGGAACAGCTCATGGAACATATCATGGAGGTACATGAACCAGAACGCGTTGAAGGATTTATCAATCCTGATGGGGAAGAGAATGAACTGATGGACATTAAAGAAGAGGAAAAAGCACCCGTAAAAGGAGAGGAGGTGGAGTCAGAGGCCAAGGTCAATACCAGCAAGAAAGAGGCGTTGATACAAGCCATTAAGCTAAGAATGAAAGAAGCCGAACGCTTGCTCGAGATCCTTCGTAATGATTAATCATACGATAAATAAATTTAGGAGGGGAGGGGGTCTCACACACAAAAATTATGTATATTTTTTTTGTGCTTACTCTACTCAATGCAATAAACATCATCATTCACGTATTTTTAATATAATTATTTTTATTCCCAGTAAGGTTCATTCTTATTATTTAGTTATACAATGTATAAGAACGTTGAAGGCCGTTTAAAAAGGTAAGCTTAACATTAGCATGTCTTTTGTGTGTTCGTTAGTCTGACTGTATCAAATGCAATAATCTGTTTTGTCTTTACTGGCGCTCGCTGCAAATACGCTATCATTCAATTTTGTCAGCACAAGCTTTTTATTATTTTAATAAACTATTTCTTTTTTTGGCATTTTTGAGCTCTCCCCCACAAATATTTTGTCTATTTGTTTATTTGTGTAATCCTTTTTTTTTTGCATGAAAATAAAATCATCATGACGAAAAAAAGATGCACACCTTTCCTTTTTTGGACATACCAACGTCATGTTTTGCTCATTGTCTATTTTTTTTTTTTTTTTCTTGATTTTTTTTGCGTCTATATAAAGGAGGATCACAAAAACAAAATTAATTTATCATTATTTGAAATAACTCACTAAACAAAAAAAAAAAAAAAATGTCATCTCCCTCAAAAACCGAAGCCAAGAAGGACCAATTTGTTGGTAACGTCAAGGAAAATGTTGGTAGTGCTGTAGGCAATGAATCTTTGGAAGCCAAGGGTAAAACTCAACATAATGCGGGTGTTGTACAAGAAACTGCTGCTACTGTGCAAAGCTTTGTTGAAGGTGCTATGGATCAAGTCTCAGGTGCTGTCAAGGGTGCTTATAATTCTGTTACTGGTAATACCACGGGTGAAGCTGGTAACAAGGTTCAAGAAAAGAAGGGTGAAGCCCAAAAGAACCTCAATTCTTAAAATCCCTATAACTAAACAAAATTTTTGTAAATAAAAAAAAAACCAATACCTTTCTACTTTTTTATATGCCCCTTTTTTTTTTCAGTACAAAAACAAAAAGAACAATTTTTCTTTTTCTTTTTTTTTATTTTAATTTATTATTTACAAAAAAGAATCTCTTATTCCTCATCCCCTCACCAAATTTTTTGTTTTTTTTTTTTTATTGAGTCATGGATTGAGTTTCGGCAAACATTTGTAATGCCTTGATGATATGCATTGGATCCATATCCACTGCATTCCCTAATCTTTCCAACACACTTGCAAAACTACCCATTTTTTGTAAATACAAGGAAGATACGGCATTCTAAAAAAAAATTGAAAAATAAATTGTTTAAGCAAAAAAACCCTCCCTCCTCTTTTTTTTTTTTTTAAAAAAAAAAAAAACACACAAACCTCGACTCTTGCTACACAATTTTCCATCATGATAATCAATTCTTCATCATTGGCATCTTCACGTATATGTCGATCCAGCATGAGACCCAAACCCGATGGTGCGGTACTGACGGTGGTTGAGACCATTTCTCCATCATTGAGTGTATACTGACGTTGAATGGAACTACCAGCCATACTACGCGATAACATATTACCCGATGTCAAACGTTCGAGACGGATCGCTAAATTACTCATGGCACAGACCAAGTTAGGGTCGATGGTACGTACTGTCTTTCTTCCGGGTAGATGGGTGATACTACGTGCTGACAAATAATCAATGGACCCTGTTGTTGTATTAATCAGGGTATCATCGCTCAAGGGTGAAAGCAAGTTTTCTACCGCTGCTGCTGCTGTTGCTGCTGTAGGTTGGGGCGACATGGGATTAGAGACAGGTGGAGAGACAGCCATGATTTCGCTCTTGTCAGGTTCGATACGACCCAAGAGTTGTTTCGAATAGACCAAACTTAAGGTCTCGGGAGTCTCCAGACCTTTCAAACGTCGCTCACCCAATTCAACCACATGGAATCCCAATCGTTTCAATTGTAAAAGATCGCGACTGACGGGGAAACTACCGGAGAAGGAATCATTGACATCTGTCAAATTACTTACTTGTTGATCGGGTTCATCATCAAACATGCTTGGAAAATTTCGTAGTGCAGCAATGACATCGGAGGAGACACAAATTTGTCCACCATCAGCCGCGTTACAGATACGACTTGCTTTATTCACAACGGGACCGAAATAATCCATACGTTGTGTAATGGGGTTACGTTCAAATACAGGTGTACCCCAATGAATACCCATACGAACCGAAAGACCGTTATAGATGGTCACAGCGTCCTTTTTGATTTCTCTCCCTTCTTCCGTATCCAGAATACCCGCTGGCCAATCTGCCTCCAACAATTGTAATTGGACGGTGAAACACCATAAGAGAGCTGCCGTGATATTTTTGAAACAGACCATGAAAGCATCTCCTTCTGTTTTGACTTCGTAACCACCTACACTACGTAAAGTACGACGCATGATGGCGTCATGGATCTTGATGGCGGATCGCATATTTTCCGGCTGTGTTTCCCAGAACTGGGTGGATGATTTAATGTCGGTGAAGACCAAAGCCAGTTGACTGACGGGGGGTGCGACTTCCCTTTCTAAACGAGCCAAAGTAGAATCTCCTGGTACCTCTTCTTTACCTCTGCGTTTACTTTTGACGGGTAATCCATCCTCTGTGGTATCAGCGGACCCCGTACCACGACCGGGACCGTTATTATTTCTGTTATTTCGGAATCGTTTGTCTCGTTTATCAAAGATATCTCCTACACCAATGACCATGACCATGAGATTATCCGTAGCACCATAGGTGATGGCGAAATCACGTAGCTTTTGAGCAGCTGCCATTAAATCGTCCTTTTCTGTACGAGCGATATCCACAGCGGTTTGATAGGTCATTTTATCCCAAAGGCCTCTGGAAGCCATAATAACAAACTCGTCATTCTCTGCTAAATCAATGGTGGAGACAAAGGGATTACAATTAACGACAGGTATCAGATGAAAATGACCAAAGCTTCTGGACACGGCCAATTCATTGTTGAGTAGACCTGAATTGGAGACGAATCCACCGGCAGCACGTATACGAGAGACTTCACTTGGGTTTAATGGAATATGCTTTTGAGTGATCTCAAAGGCTTGACCATTATTTCGGGAGATGACGGCTAATGTATCACCTACGTTAGCGACATAGAGCTTGGTACCGGAGATATAACAGACAACGGCTGATGCACCTGAATCTTTATCAATATCCTGCGATACACCCAGACTTTGTTCCAGACCCAAGAAGACACGACGTACAGCAGAGACAATGGTATCATCGGATTCAATGGATCCTAATTCCTTGGTAAACTTTGTTGTGAGATTATCGTTCAAATGCTTGGTCAATCGACAACCTGATTTAGGATGCTTGGATCCGTCAAAGAGGGCAAAGATACATTCATCTTCCTTGGCACGAAAACGAGGCATGACGAGATCCCATGTGGAAAGATGATCGCTTGGACCTAACCAATCAGCCACACCATAGGCCATACCATTGACTTCAGACGGCGAGGTACGTACACGACAATCATGCGATTCCTCCGGTACGGAGACACCTAGGATGGTGATATCCATCAAACCCAGCATACGCAATCGATCCAGTGCCTTAAAATTGGACAGATCCTTATCCTTGGGATTGTTGGGATCCGGATGTGTCTTTTGAATTTCGAGACGTTTGTTACCGGACAAGTTGAGGTATTTTAGTTTTAGGTTCCAGTTCCAATTCCAATCATAGGGCCAATTCGCGATATTGTATTTCAATACATTGTTGCCGACATCCAGTACCAGTAATTTACGAAGTTTACCAATCTCGGCTGGTAAAGTCTGTAACTTGTTACCGTTGACGGCCAATACACGCATGTACTGCAGTTTTTCAATATCGTCTGCGGGGAGTGAGGTCAATTGGTTACCGGACAAGTACAGCTCATACAGGTGTTGATGACATAAACCATCCGCGGGGACCTCGTACAAGTCGTTAAATGATAGGTTCAAGGTACGAAGTTCGAGGAATAAAGAGAGAGGTGACCAGATATCATCGGTCAGTCGATTATCACCCAAGAACAATGAACGCAAGGACAATGAGAGAGGAGGAGGATGGTTACGTGGACTTGCAAAAAAACTAGGTGGGTTAAAGTTGGGTGGAGGAGGTGCGGAAGAAGGTGAGGCGGAGTTGGGTGGGTTATTGTTGTTGTTGTTGTTGTTGGTGCTAGTAGCGGTAGGATGCAATGTTTGCTCACTCAAATTGGTATTGATCATCATCGAGGCATGATGATGATTTGTGTTGCTTGTGGTGGTGGTAGGTGTGACAGGTGAGACCATAGCGTGAAAATGAGATTTGGAAGAGGGCGAAGTATGTGTCATGGAATTGTAATCGAGTAAACGATCGAGGGGTTTGATGACACCTTGACCTGCATTGAGTGAGGCGGGTATCATGGTCATGATATCATTATCATCATCATCACAAAGGGTTTCCAAATCAGCGGCCTTCTTCTTTATGCAAGGGGTTACGGATGGAGTGGTGAGAGCAGCTGAAAAAGGTTCGGGGAAGGACTCTAATAAATTGGAAGAACAATTCAAAGTTTGTAAAGCCGCACATAACCAAATTTCCTTGGGTAATGATTTCAAGTTGTTCTTTTGAGCATCCAATGCCTTGAGTACAGATAATTGACCGATTTCGCTTGGTAAACTTTCAAGATTATTGTTTTGGATGGATAATTTTACCAGACGTTGAAGGACACCGATGCTGGAAGGAATGGCGTTTAAGGTATTACTATCCAAGACCAAACGTTCCAACCCTTGTGTGTTATGAAACAAGTCTTCGGGGAGACTAGATAATTTACAGCATGAAAGGTTGAGTTCGGTCAAATGAAAGCCACCATTGCCAATACTGGTGAGGTTGAATTGGGTCAAATGGTTCTTATACATTTTCAGTTCCTTGAGTTTTCTGATTTGAAAATTAACAATACTGGTGGAATTATAATCGACCAAGAGAATCTCCAGTCGTGGTAGATGGGATACAACGTCTAGATCGGTGATCAAATTCTGACGGATATCGAGCTCCTGCAATTTGGTCAGGTTAATAAAACTGGAAGGTAAAGAACCCGTAATACGATTCGCGATCGCGAACAATCCAATCAGATTCGTCAATTGACCTATCTCGTCGGGGAACATTTGAATCTTATTAAAACTGATATCGAGGTAGGCCAAACTGAGTATATCACAAATGACGATGGGGAACTTGGTGAAGGAATTATTGGAGATAAATAAGGTGGTTAATAGTTGAAAATTAGCTGGGAATGATTCGGGGATGGATTCCAAATTGTTATTGATGGCACGTAAAGTACGTAAACCGGAGATCTCTTCCAAATGCGCATGATCTAAATCACGTAAACGGTTACCCGATATATTCAAATGTTCTAACGAAGCAATGTGTTGTGTTGAGGGAGGCAACGTAGTGTAATCGTTATTGGCTAACCAAAGCTGCTTTAGATTGGTACACATTTGAATAAAATCCAAGGGAACTTCGATCTGAAAGTTTTTTGAGATGTTGAGTGAATCGATACGTGAGGCATGCTTGTACAGGTAAATAGGAATGGTGGGTAAAGATCGTGATTGTAAATCTACGTGCTGTCCGAATTCAGTGTCGTCTTGGTTGGTTTGGGTGATATTGGGTACCATCTGAAATACAACTAAATAGGTACTATCGTCAATCTTGTCCTGATCCATGTACCCCATTTGTTCCTGTAACACCTTTTGAAGTTTAAGTGGTCGATCTGTCAATGCTAAAACGCGATCTATAATTTTAAAGTTGCTAGGTTAGATTTTTTTTTTTTTTTTTTTTTTTGGAGAATTCCCCCTCCCCCTCTACTTTACCCATGTTATGTCTCTTCATCACAAGGTTACATTTGTACACATCTGTCATAAATAGTTTTGTAGCCAATCTCTTTAGGATCTCCATGGTAGTTGAATTTAAGGGAACATGGAGGGTATTATATGTTTGATCGGGGCGATAAATTTTGATGTTTGCCTTTTTAAACGGGTGAAAAAAAAAAAAATTAGGACAATAAAAAAAAAGTGTGTGTGTGTGTGGGGGGGGGGGAGTTGTGATTTTACTTACATATTTCTTGGGTATATCCCATTTTTCTGGATCATTGATAGGATAATCCTCATAATCGTTTTGATCATCTTCATGAATTGTCTCTGAAGCGCCATCAAAGATGGAAGGGAGTTGTACGCCCCAACTATCGGGTGCAGCCCATGATTCGTCACAGGCCTAAAAATAATAATTAAGAAAATTGGGTCAGTCTGGGGTGTTGAAATCGAACTTTTATATATATATATATATACAATTGTATCGGATGCAGCCGAGCTATTGACGAGAGTATTTAATGTAGAAATGATAGATGGAGGTGCTGGAGAGTTTGATTTGTAATAATCACGATTAACGATCCCATCCATTCTTTCAAAGTTTTGATCCACTAAAAAAAAAACTATGTTAGAAACAACTTGGGGATTTTTTTTTTTTTTAAAAAAAAAAAAAGCTTTGTATAGATATATCTATATAATGTGTTCTTTGGGCATTACTTGCATTTTAAGTGTGATAAATAATCCTGAAGAGAGAGAGAGAGATGGTTAATCATACGTTTTGCGTACAATGGATGGATGGGGGTCTGCTTACTTTATGCTCTTTTCCTTTTTTATTATAGTTCCCGCTTAAACCACCAGATCTCTTTCTTTCACTATCCTTTAATTGTTGTTGGTAATAAGATCGTTGTACATCGGAGGCGGTCGTACTAGGATTATCAAAGAGTAAAGGTCGATGATCGTCACTGGATTTTTTACGTGTGGATGGAATGTTTGAATTGGTTGAAGAAGATGTTGTTGTTGATGAATTCGCTGTCCCTGTTGCAGGTGAGTAATCTAGGAATTGACGTTAACACCCCAATTTATATATATATATATATATATCTTTTTATTTTTTGCTTACGTTTCTTTTTGCCAAATCGAAATAAATGCCGCTTCTTGGGTGGTTGATCTGAGGGAAGGGGGGGGGGTTGAAAGGGGGAATCAATCTCCGTTCATTAACTCCGTCCAGGGCCTTTTTTTTTTTTTTTTTTTTTTTTTTATTAGGAAATCTTACCTTCCACTACAAGTGTTCGTCTTTCAATGGAACCACTTCTTCTGACTGTATGATGATTATCAGTTGCACCTATTTGTCTGCCTCCTCTTGGAAATGGTACAGCTGTTGTATTAATTTTGGGAGATGATGTTGAATGGTATTGATTTGTTCTGGGACTGCTAGCACTGTTGTTGTTGTTGTTGTGTTGAGTACGAACACTTGGTATTGGACTTGTCACTCGTGCAGATACGGACGAAAGCGGAGTCGGGGTAGGTTTATGCTTTGGTGTCGTTGATCCTGCTGCTGCTGCTGTTGTTGTGGTTGTTGTGTTGTTGTTAGTTGTACGTAGGTTCTGATGAGAGGTAGCGTTTTCCATCTGTAAAGATGTTTGGCCATCAAACGATCTTCTTCTTTCCATGTACTTGATGGGTGGTATAATTGAAATAGGAGAAACGTATGGTACAGGAGAGGGAATATGACCGGTTGAAGAATTACGAGTGTGACGCGAGGATTTTGTATGAAGGTTACTCGTAGTTGAATCAACTGTAGCTGGATTTAAAGGTGGTGTGGGTGAACCGGCTTTATATATAAAAAAAAAAAAAAAAAAAAAAAAAAAAAAAGTTAAAAAAGAGAAAAAGGAAAAGAGAGAGTGAGAAAAAAAAAAAAAAAGAAGAATCAAAAATAAACACACACACACACACACACGCACGCACACGCCATCCCAATTATTATCCCCTCTCTAAAACACACACTTTCCCCCCTCCCCCTTTTTTTTATATATATATTTATTATACCTCTGGAGGAGTCTGACGAATGATGTCCAAATACTCTATTAAAAAACGAATCGCTGCCTGTGTGTTGATGTGAATGGATATTATGGGTTGCATCTCTTCGTTTTCCACCATGACTCAATGGTTGTTGATCCCAACTAGGTGAATGGTTATGTTTTGACTGTGGAATATCCATGTATATATATTTTTTATCTTTTTTTTTGAAACCTTGCAAAAAAAAAAAAAAAAAAAAAAAAAAAAAGGGCAAGAGAGAGAGAGAGAGAGAGAGAGAAAGGCAGGTGTATAAATTTTTTTTTTTACGAGTTATTCGTGTAACAGATTACACATGTGAAGACATATAAGAAAAAAAAAACCAAATGTGACGTAGACTTATAAATTTTTGTCTCTTGGGGATTGTTTTTGTGCTTTGGAGTTACTTTGTTAGACTATACCTATAAATTTTTTTTTTTTTTACCCCTTCTTCTCCCCCCCCCCCCTTTTTTTATAACCCACTTCTTGTTATATACCTCATAGAACTACAAGAATAAGCATTTTTTGGACCATGGAACGTATTGATAGTATTCATTCCTCTAGTTCGTCAGATGACAATGTTCGAAACCCGAAACCCATATTAATATCCAGTCCTCCATCTCATCATCAATCGAGAAGATCCATCAGTGGTATCGATATCCTGAACGGCTTAAAAATTATGACTTCAGGCGGTACAAGTATCTTGAACAACTTGAATGACAGCAATATACCTCCTTCACCTGTACCTTCTCAGTTAATATCAGAACATCATTTCAGTCACATTGATGACTTTGATATCAAGGAACCCATCGGTATAAATAAAAAAAAAAAAAAATCATGCATACAACTGCCCCATGTTTCTGTCAGTTTCTTATTCTTTTTTTTTGTTAAGGCTATGGTTCTTCTGCCATTGTTTATAAAGCCATCTACAAACCCTCTGGTAAACGCATGGCTCTAAAAATGATTGACCTTGATAAATTTGAACGAAATCAAATTGATGAACTCCGAGTAAATATGACATCTTTTTTTTATGTAGCAAACGGACTTTCAACCTAACACACTCTTTTTTTCCCCTCCTCCTCTCTCGCTTCTTCTTGTGTATGATGATTTAGCGTGAAACTGCATTAATGGCATTATCCAAACATCCCAATGTATTGCGTGTCTATGGTTCCTTTGTACACGGATCTAAATTATACATTGTCACACCTTTTTTAGGAGGCGGATCCTGTCTCGATATCATGAAGACTCGTTTTCCCAACGGGTTGGACGAATTTAGTATTGCTACTATTTTAAAGCAAGCCTTGGAAGCGTTATTGTATTTGCATAAAAATGGTCATATTCATCGTGATGTGAAAGCTGGTAATCTATTGATGGATGATGATGGATCTGTTCTCTTGGGAGACTTTGGTGTGTCTTCATCCCTCATGGAAACAGGTGAACGAGGTATGCGAAAGACGTTTGTTGGCACGGTAAGTTTTTTCCCTTGATATATATGTGTGTGTGTGTTGTCACTGAAACAATTTTTTTCTTTTTTTTTAATATATGAAAAAGCCTTGTTGGATGGCACCGGAAGTGATGGAACAGGCAGAATACGATTACAAGGCAGATATTTGGAGTTTTGGCATCACGGCGATTGAATTAGCTACGGGACATGCACCATTTGCTAAATACCCTCCATTGAAAGTACTCATGATGACACTTTCCAATGATCCTCCTACTTTAGACCGTGAAGGAACCGTTCATAAATACTCTAAATACTTTAAAGAAATGATTGATACCTGTCTCTCCAAAGATCCCTTAAAGAGGTTTGGGCACACACTACACCCCTTTTGATGAATGTTTTTTTAAAAAAAAAAAAGAAAAAAAGTTAAACTAACTCTCTCTCTACGCATTCTATATGTGTTCCTCCCTTCCCTGCCAGACCGAATGCCGAAAAATTATTGTTACACCCATTTTTCAAACAAGCCAAGAGAAAGGATTACTTATGCAAGACAATTTTAGCAGAGTTACCACCATTGGAACAACGACCTCGAAAGATCATGCCTCAGAAACAAGTCACGATCATACGTACCGATGAATGGGATTTTGATGACGATGAAGAGGAGGAAGAGGATTTGATAGATGCGAATGGGGATCCTCTCATGATCAGTCACCTAGGACAACAACAGCCCATACAACAGCAACAACAACAGCAGCAACAACAGCAGGAGAACTCGAAAAAGGCAGCCACGAAACGACATATTTCCTTTGGCGATGTGGTGGTGCGTAGTAATAGTATGGTGCATCCTTCAGATCCAGTACCTACCCCTCCTACTACTACTACTGCATCGGTGGTAGGTACCCCACCTCGAAAATCTCGGTTTGTGATTGAAGAGACTTCTTCACGCGACCCAACGGACACGTACAATTCCAGCTCAGTGCGTAGTTCCAGCCCTATGTTAGATGAGGAAGTGACGCATGATGGTGAAATCATGAAGGGTCGATTTTATGTCAACCAACAAAATAAACCTGATTCTTCACTCGCTGTTGTATCACCCGCTGGAGAAGAGGATGTACCGATGCATGGATTACACAAGATACCTAGTCAAGACACATTGAATGTCACTGACCGTAAATCACGATTTGAAATTTCTTCTTCTACTACCTCACCCATGATGTATCAACCCGTACCTCTTTCTCGTGACAGCTCAAGTTATTCCTCTTCCTCTAACCCTACCAGTGGACGTAGTACGACAACAACAACGACAACAACAGCGGTGACGGAAAAACGATACCCGGATACAAGTACATTGACTAGTGAAAATATCGCGTTATTAACGGAATCATCACGTAAGATTGGTCGATTTGAATTGACGGGTGGATCTGCTTGTTCATCTGTGGATGTGACACCACGAGGTAGTATCTCTTCGAGTCATGTGGAACATCCCATGACGATGCATGGACATCATGCTCAATCGCATTTGTCGATTGATTCGAATGCGTCTAGTCCTCAATATCAGATTGAAGAATTACTGCGATTTAATGAATCCCAACGCATCATTTTGCAGGAACTCAGCTTGGCATTTAACAAGAAACCCACAGCGATGACGACGGACGTGGTGGAGGATACTTACATGGAAGATTGTCAAGTGGGTGAAGAGATATCGAGTACAGTGGAACATTTAGATAAATTAATTCAATTGACGCTCAAGGAAAATATGCAGTTACAAAAAGAGAATGAAGCATTAAGACGAGAATTGAAGGAACTGAAATCAAACTAAAAAAAAAAAGACACTTATTTTCTCTCTCTCTCTCTCTCTCCTTTTTTTTTTTTTTTTTTTTTTTTTGTTCGTTGGTGTGAATTGAATTGTATTTAGCTTTAGTAGTAAAAGGGAGGGAAAGGTATAGTGTGTGTGGTACAAAAAAAGGGGGAATGGGGGTATTTATATATTTTTTTTTTTTTTTAATTTTCGGTTTTGGCACTTTCTCTTGCAGCACGAATTAAGGGAGAAAGAGATCTTAAAGGATCAGCCAATTTCAAAAATGGATGTTGTAGCATGTCAGCAGCGGAGGGTCTTAATTCGGGATCGACCAATAAACATTTAGCCAAAAAATCCTTAAAGTCCACAGATAAGGATTCGGGGCTTTGTAAGGTGGGTGTACCATTGGTGGCGATCAAATACAAGGCACGTAACGGGTTTTCGTTTAAATAAGGTGGTTCCCCTTCAATCATTTCAATAGCCATAATACCCAAAGACCAGATATCGACCTTGGATCCATATTCTTTACGTGTCACTACTTCAGGTGCCATCCAATACGGTGTACCTACCATCGTCGTACGCTTGGTTTGACTCTCATTTAACTGCGCACAGAACCCAAAGTCGGCTTACATTTTTTTTAAAAAAAAAAAGAAGAGTTAGATTGGGGGGGTGAACGATAAAAAAAAAAGGTCACTTTTTGTTTACTCACTCAGTTTAATATCACCTTGCATGCTCAACAGGATATTATCGCTCTTGATATCTCTATGAATCACACCATTGGAATGTAAATGATCCAAACCTTGTAAGACCTCTTTACAGACCGCAGCAATTTGACCCTCCATCATCATATTGCATGTGACGACATCGGTCAAACTACCACCCTCCATATACTCCATGACGACCCATAAATCACCTTTCCAGAGATACGAATCCAAGTAATTGACAATATTACTGTTTTGTGATTTCTTCATGACGAGAATTTCATTAATGATGAGTTCCTTCTTGGGTTGTTGTTCTAGGTTCATTTGTTTGATGGCAACGGGTGTCATGCCTTTGTCTCCTGTCTTGCGATAAGCTATAAACACACCGCCCGACGCACTTTTTTTTAAAAAAAAAAAGGTGATGTTAGTCCCTCCTCCTTCATAATCATAGGTCTTTTTTTTTTCTTTTACCCTTGACCGATTTTGACCATGTCACGGTAGATATCGTTGGGATCGATATTGTAGCAAATATCCTGCAACTGTTTTACGATATCGAATTCGGCTGCTTTGGGTTCTTTGGCCTTACGTTTAACAACGGGCGGATAATCTCCTTCTTCCGTAGGGGTCTCTTGTTGTTGTTGTTGTTGTTGCTGTTGGGTGGTGGTTTCTGGCTTGGGTTTGTCCAGTACAAGGGAAGAACGATTAGAGACCTACGGAAGAGAGGGGAGGGGAAGGGGGGGGGGGGAGTTGAGTGGGTTTAATATAAAGTGTTTTTTTGCTTGCTTGCTTACCATAGAGGCACGTTTGGAGCTGTAGTCGGGAAACTTTAATTTGGATAATCGACGCAATGAATTTGTCAAGGCGTTTCCCTTTTGTGCGGTAGTTTCTGGAATGGATTCTGTGGTGGATCGATTGGTGAGTGTTTTTGGAATTTTATGCCAAACGGCTTCATCTAATTCTCTTGCTTCTTGATAAAATTCAATGGCATTAATGACAGCCTAAAAAAAAATACATAATTTTTTAAGGAGAAGAGAAAAGGGGAGTTGTATAAAAACCAGTTTTGAATAACTAAACATCTATTACTCCTTTTTATATATATATATATACCTGTGGATTTGTCTCCTGTTCGATCTGAGTTATACCACTTGACTTTAAAAGTGTATGCCATTCTCTTGGTAGACCCGTAAACTCACCTGTATTTGCATCAAAACCAACATGCGTGACATGTCTTGTATTATAAGGAGACGAGATATCCATCGGTCCAGATATATCCATCGGCATTTCGAGCGAGTTATTGTTGTTGGCGGACATCAGGTCTACAGAATAAAAATTTTAACAGAGTTTTTTTTTTTTTAGGGAAAAAAATATCCTTGTTTTTTTTTATATATATATTTTATAGTTTTACCAACAAACTTATCCAATACGCCCTTGAACTTGCTATCTCGCTTTTCTTCATTATGTTGCTGTCTTTGGAAAGAGTCGATGCTACCCATGGACGGCGTTGTATTGTAGAGTTTAGTTACGTGAGACTTGTGAGAAAGGGTACGTGAAAGTCGATTATCTAATAAGAAAAGGGGGGACGTTTTGTACGATGTTAATATTTTTTTTTTAATTCAAAATACAAAAGAGAGAAGAAGAAGAAGAAGAAAAAAAAAGAAAACTATTCCTTCTTTTTTTTTTTTATTATTTTGCCTTTTAGCATGTATACAGAAGGGGAGAAGAAAAGGGAAAAAAAGTCCTTTTTTTTTGTTGTTGTTTCCCTTTATAACAACAAATAAAAAGGGGAGACCCAGTCCCCCCCCCCATAAAAAAAAGTAAAGAGGGGGGGAGACAATAGATATTGTATAGGAGTTTTTTTTTTCTTCAGGAGACAACATACAAAAAAAACACCCCTCGGTGAAACACTGAGACATGTATTAAAAAAAATAGATTTAAGTCTGCCTATCCTCTCATCTCTCTCTTTTTGTTCTTACACACACACACACACACACAATGTCCGACATACCTTCAAGAAAGATTGTTATTGCCTATGACCAATCCATTGTGGGTATCAAGGTACTAGAATGGATCAACGATCACCATATCCTGCTACCCAATGATGATGTGACAGTTGTGTTGGCCATTAATGAGGATTACAGCCGGATTGAGGGTCCCGGTGGTTGGCAGGCAGTGGGTGGCTCTGGCGGTGTCAATGCAGTCAATTCCTATCGGGAAGCCATTCGTGTCTTTGAGAGAGAGGGACAAGAGCATCTGAACGAAGCTCTCTTTGCTATTGTACAAACAGGCGTTGTAAATGCTCTACTTTTTTTTTTGTCTGCATCCCCACACCCCAATTTGTCTCACACCCTTTTTTTTTTTGTAGAAAAACGTAAAATCAGAAATCTTGAGAGGTCATGCTGCAGAGGAAATCACTAAATACGCTCGTGCTCAACACCCTGATATTGTCATTTGTGGTAACCGTGGCAATGGTTACTTGAAGAGGTTCGTTTCTTTTTTTCTTTTTCTTTTATGCATAATAACAACAACAAAAATATTAATCAACAAAAAAAACAGAAAATTATTGGGCTCAGTGTCAGAGTATCTTACACATCATCTTGACTGCACAGTCATGGTTGTGCGTGCCCCCAACAAATAATTATTAAAAAAACCCCACCTGATAATATTTACTTATAAAAACACCTTGTGATGATATTTCGTCATAATACATTGTATATATACATATATAAAAAAAAAGGTGCCATGTATTATTTTTACCTTTTTTCCACCTTCCCCCTTTCAAAATTTATAAACCCCCCTCAAAAATAAAATGCCAAAGTTAATTGTACTTCATATTTCACCCAACAAAGAAACGGAAAGCTCACTCATGAATCCAAAGCGGATACCGACAGGCGAAAAAGAAGAGGATGGAAAGGAAAGAGTGGTTCGGTTTTCCAAGGTCATCCTCGTCAATAATATAAAAACTGTTTATCTCATGAAAAATAATCATTGGCCCGGTGCAACTCGTCATCATGTCAATAAAAGTTTTTTAAATCAACTGTCATCAAGGCAATCGTCTCTATAAAAAAAAAAAAAAAATCCCCCCCCCCTTTCATTTACACATGTACCTTTTTATATATATACATAATAAATCATGGCTTTTCATTGGGCTGTATAAAAAAAAAATACATATTCACACACGAAAAAAAAAAAACATGACAGCTTGCGTATGTCTAGAGACACCTCACCTCCCAAAAAAGTCGCGTGTAGACAAAATGATGTCAGGCTGGTTAAAGGATCTTCTGGGCAATTGGGCGTTTTTTTTTTTTTTTTTTTTTTTTGATGGTATGGAAGGATCCACACTAGTGATAGACTATATTTAGAGCTCCCAAAAGCTAAATTGGCAAATTGCTAAAATAGGAGAAAAGAACGAAATGGTCGATCTCCCACTCTTTTTTTTTAATTAACTTTTCAACTAAACGGAGTTTCTTAGCGTTGTGAAAAGGACTGGGTACCTCATGCACCCACTCGTGACCTGTTTCCCTCTCCCCCTTTTCTTTCGAGTATAAAAATCAACTTTTTTTTTTAAAAAAAAAAAAAACTAAAAAGTAGAATTCCCAATCTCTCTCTCTCTCTCTCTTTTTTTTTTTTTTGCCCTTTATATATATATTATCAGCTGGTTCTGTCAAAAAAAGAAAAAAAGAAAAAATGAGTTTACAATTTAGTAACATGAGTATTCAAGGTAAAAAAAGTAGTAGAGTACGAGTGAAAAGAAAGAAACTTATTATAATGTAGACAAGAGTGCTAGTCAACTAGAAATCCAAAACGCCTACTTGATACAACAAAATGAACACTTGACAAAAGAACTATCATTTACCAGATATACCATTCAAGCTTTGAAAAGCATGACAACACAAAGAGATACGGTCTTGACCGAAACCAGGCTGGAACTGGAAAGAGCTTTACATCATATCCAACTACTCTCGTCGACCCTTCAACGACAACAACAACAACAACAACAACAACAACAACAACAACAGAATGGCTTATCTGGTATAGGTCCTCAGTTAATGCAAGATGACTTATCCGATGATCAAGAACTATCTGAAGACGAAATGATGTATGAAGACAACCCAAGGCCTTCTTTGGACATCATGTCCAAGTTACCTCTTCGCCATCCTCATCACCATGGAAATCAAATCTTTGTGAACGAAGTAAATTACTAAAACAAAAAACAAACAAACAAACAAAAAACAATAAAAAATTAAACAGAAAAGAATTGATTTCTTTATTTCATTGTACTCTCTTCTCGCTGGGCGAAATATATATATATAAAAAAAAAAGAGTGTTTGCAGGGGGATCCGGTTTTTGGGGGTAGCAAATAAGCAACAATAAAGAGTGTGTGTTTCTTTATTTCAAAAACATTATATTATATGCAGGAATCTTCTTCCCCTTTTCCCTTAGACAAGTGTTTCAAGAAGCAAAAAAGAAAAAAACTTGATCTTATTTACTATTGTGTGTGTTTGTACAATCAGCCTTTAAGGAGAGCGGGGCTTATTTTCACTTCCGTTAATAAATAACATCGGCATACCTGAATATAGACTTTTTTTTTTGCGTGTGTGTGTATGAGGAGGAGGGAGGAGGAGGAGGGGGAAAGGAAAGATTCTCACGGACTCTTTCCTTTTCCCCCCTCCTCCTTTATTTCTGCGAGAACTTTTCTTTTCTGCCCTCCTTTTCTCTCTCGGAGGAAGAGGGTTGTTGATTACGGTGCGGGGTGGCATCATCTTAATGAGGAAATTTTTGTAAAGTTCCAATCAAATTTCCTGGTTCCGTGTCACCCCCATTTATTTTTTTATTTTTTATTTTATTTTCATAAAAAGCAAAATTGCATAAAAAAAGATTGGCTTGTCATTATTTAAGGGAGGGGCAAAACGATTAACAAATCTGGGGTCATTCGAAAGGCAAAAAAAAAAAAAAGAAAACCAATGTTGTTGTTAGGAAGCTTCTCCCATTGTTTATAAAAAAAAAATAAAAAGACAACTCACTTTTTTTTTTTACAGTAATCACATCGTATCCATCCTACTGACTCTTTTTTTATATGCACTTAAACCTTAAAGTAACCGCGTCCATCATCCACAAAGCCACTTTAAAAGACAAGTATTACATTGGGGCGTGTAGTATCAGTACACTTGTAATACTCAACAAAATAATGAATGCGGTCAATGCAAAACATATAGATTGACACTAAAATATATTATTTCTCGTTCCCCCCCCCCTCCCACAATAAAATATTCATACTTCTCCGAAATAATGAGAACGTGCCTTTATCTCTCTCTTCTTTCTTTTCTTTTTTATCTGTGCCAGTAGCATGTTAATTGTTACAAATAAACTCAGATAATCAATGGTATCAACTCCTAGTAAGTCGGATGTCCTTTCATTTGACTTTCCAAACAAAGGGACATTATTATATGTAAACCTACTGTGTGTGTGTGGGGGGGGGGAATGAGTGTGTGTGTTTTGAAGTGGAGACTTAATGTAACTCGCTCACCCAATAAACTTCCTTCTCGAACATGCTGGGGAGGGGGGGACCAGGCCTTATTTAGGTCTGCAATTAGGGGGTGGGTGGGGGACCAAAAAAAAATCTCTTTTTTTTCTCTCTCCCCCTTTTTCTCTCTCACTCTAATCTTTTAACCCGCCCAATGTCTACGAAATTAAAACTACCTTCTATTCCAGTCCGAACCCCCAAGAATCGGTTTCAATCTGACATTGAAGAAGCCAACAAGATTGGACAACGCGTGACTATTCCCAGTTTAGATAATTGCACGGGTATTCTTCGTTATGTGGGTGAACCTGATTTCAAGTCGGGTGTCTGGGCAGGTATTGAACTAGATAAGCAAGGTGAAGGCAAGAACGACGGCAGTGTACAAGGGTAAAAAAAAAAAACATGTTATTTTTTTACATCTTTTTTGTTTAATTAAACAACAAGGTTTTAGAAAGAGGTATTTTCAATGTGCTCCAAACACGGGTATATTCATTGGCGTCAACAAAATTATTATTCACCCACCAGCTCTTCCCACCATGAAAAAGAAACCTTCACCTACATCTTCAACCACGCGTAAATCAAACTTGCCTTTAACAAGAAATCCTTCCCATTCAACTCGAATTTTAAACTCTTCTTCTTCTAGTTCCACCACCACCACCAATAGCAGTCAGAGTACGAAAATGAGGGCTCATGGTTTACGTATTTCATCCGTACCTACAACAACCGCCGTCACTTCTTCACCACCGTCGTCGTCATCATCATCGGCAGCGACAGTGACAGCGCCTGCTATGACCAGAAAAAAATCAACGCCTTCGCCTGCTATAACTACCGTTCCTGTCATACCGGTCATCCCACATTCACCTACCCCACCTCCTCCTCCTCTTTCAGTGGTACAAACCCCTCCTCCAGCGCAGACACCGTCACCTTCTGTAACACCAACACCACCACCACCGCCAGCAGTAGCAACAGCGGCAGTAACAGCAACAACATCAACATCAACGGCAGCAGCAGCAGCAACAGCAGTAGCAGCGGCGGAAGAAAAACATCACCAAGAAACAAACCAACTGTATGAAATGTTAGAAAAAGTGCAACGTGAACGAGATCTATTCCAGCAGCAAATGAAGAGCAAGGAGACAGCGTGGGAGCGACTTGTCTCATCCAAGGAAAGTCTGGTGATACAAGTGGAAGAGCGTGATGCGACGAACCGTCGTTTACGAAATGAATGGGATGCGTTGACGACACGAATGGAAACACTGGAAGGGGAATTAGCAGAACGCGATGCAACCATTGCTAAATTTCAACGTGATGAGGAAAAGACGAGCCAGGATGGACGTCGAATTGAACGTTTGGATCATCTGGTGCGTGAACTTCAGGCGCAGGTGAAGGGACAGATGGAGGAAGCAGTATTGAAGGGACGTGAGTACCAGGGGTCCATCGATCAAGTACGTAAGGAAGTGACGGCCAGTGAATCGTTGAACGCTGCGTTGGAAAAGGAGTGTCAAGAACTAAGATTGGCGGGTTTAGAGGCGATGCATGCCTATGAGGACTCGGTGCATGCGATCACGGCCAAGCATGCACACCAATTGGAAGAAAAGGATGCACAAATAGCACGTCTGGAGTATATCATTGCGGATCTGAAACATAAGCAAAGTACATTGTTTGATGACGATGAGTTGGATATCGAGACGCGTTTGAAGGAGCTCTCACAATCGAATAGCAGTAGCGATCAAACCCATCGTCTGGAGGAACAATTGGAGCTGACCATGGCAGAATTGGATTCGGAAAGAAGGACGATAGCAACGATCGTGCATGAATGTGATGGATTGAAATTGGAATTGAAGGCAGCGCGTCAACAATGCGTGACGACGGAACAAAAATATGGCGCGTTGCAGGCGGATTTCGAAAAGGAATTAGCGGATAAAAAGAAATTGATGGAGGAGGCGGATAGTGCATTTGAGAGACAAGCGAAAGCGGAAGATGAACATTATCAGTCCAAGTTAAGCACGATGGCTTTAGAAAAGGAATACAATGCGTTACTAGAGAGTCATAAACAATTAGAATCCGAATACAGTAAATTGATGGATGAGATGATGGTGTTGGAAAAGCAAGATGCTTCACCTGACGCAGGAATCCGAGAGAAATTTCAAGCGCTCGAAAATGAAAGGGATACACTAACCAAGCAATTGGCAGAAAAGAGCACACAAGTAAAACAACTGTGTAAAGATTTGGCCGAATTGGAAAACTTGGTTGAAAACCGAGTGTTTGGTGAATCTGAATTAGAGGAAGAATTAGAGCTGGAAAGAAAGAAGGTGATTTCATTATCACGAGAATTAAACGAGGTTAAAAGTAGTCATGGAAGGAATAGCTTTAAGAATATGTTGATCTCACCTACCACGACCAGTACCACGTCGAGTCCAACACCATCTCATGGGAATGATGATTTATCGCGATACTGCGAAATTTGCGAACGATATGGACATGATTTATTACAATGCAAAAATACGACTGCTGCTACTGCTGCGGCAGCGGCGGCTGCCAAAATGGTGAGTTTCATTGATACTCACTATGCTTATATAAACAACCTAACAAACTACTTTTTCTAAAAAAAAAAAAAACTTTTTTATCCTCCTTTTCCATAGTATTGTGATAATTGTGATGATTATGGAAACCATCTCACTGAACATTGTCCTAATCAAGATGAAACCTTTTAAAAAAAAAAAAGAATAATAAACATTTGTATATATACACACATTTTTTTTTATGGGTTGTTTGATTAAATACAATTTATTGGTTCCTATTTTACAACAACTCTCCCTATTTTTGGCTGTGTATGTTTGTGTGTCTTATGTGAATAATTTATATACTTTTTTATTTTTTTATTTCTAATTCTTTCCCTTTTTTTCTTTTTCCTTTTCTTTTTCATATTTAAATATCTCGTTCTCCTTTTTGTAAAAGGATTAAAATCACCTCCCACCTTCCCACACATACACATACACACACAAATAAACAAACATCAAATCACGTCAATGAGTGGCTACGCATCACACTATTTATCAAAAATATACAACGCATTTACATTATCCTGGAGTGTCACGACCACACAACAAACACAAGAAAGTGACATGCAAGGTATTGATGAAGATTACTGCATTGTCAAATGTGCTTCACCTTCCTCTGTCCAATCGACCTTGACGCTGATAGAGGGTGTACCCATCAATTTCCATCATACGCAAGATATCCTGGACGAATTCTATCTGATGCATGACAAATTGTATCACACATGTCATCAATTTGATGCCTGTCGTGTGACAGAACAGTTCTCCAATACACATTTCAAGATGGGATCGGAGCTCAAGTTGCTGATTCGGTTTATGGCGAGACGCTATGGGGACAACGGTTGGTTGACCTTGATGGGTTTACTGATGATTGCTCGTCAGGTCTTGACGACACCATCTCAGGTCAAGAAGGAACTGTTGCATGTCACGATGATTGGGAGAGAGTTGGCGGTGGCGATGCTGTGTGCGTTGTCTTGTAAGTCAACGGTGGTCATCCATACGCATCTCAAAGTAGCCATACTGGAGATCCTTCAATGTAGACAGTGGTTTCCTTCTTTGAGGGACACTTGTCTCGAGTTGAGTCAACATGATAAGGATTGGGAGCTCCATGCACACTATCATCAAGTGGTGTCTATGGCAACCCAATACGTGTCGCAAGGAGACCAAGTGTAAAAAAAAAAAAATAATGAAAAATCAAATAAAAAAAACCTCCCACAAACAAACAAACATTTATTTTTAATCATGCGCATGAAAAAAAAAAAAAAAAAATTAAAAAAAACCGCAGTAATTGTGGGGGGAAAAGGAGAGAAGTTTTTTTGTTTTCATAGGTTTATGTGCTATCCAATACACGAGAAATACTATCAAATTTGCTCACATTGGGAGCCACGGTTTTATCCAATTGAGCAAGTAAATCCATGGCTTGATCATAATCATTTGCGATCGACTCCATGACGTCTTTATCCATGTTGGAGGGTTTATGCTCGTGTAACGTTTCCAAACTTTGGGCCTTGTACAATGCTTCTCTTGTTTCATCCTCCACCATGGACGCAATGACATCGGTTAATAAATGGGTCATGCGTTCACGTCTTTCTACAATTTCTTTTGTCAATGCTTCCAACTCCTTTTTTGTCTCTAACACTTCGTTTTCTAAATCTTCATTGATAGGTTCCTCAATCGTCAATAGATCTTAATAGGACATTAGTTTCACTGTGGGTTCGTCATGGTCGCATTTTTTTTTTTGAAGGGGGAGGTTTTACCGTTCATGTTAAAGTTGGGATTATCCACTAATTGAATACATTCAGTGAAATCGGAAAATACTTTATTTAACCACTATAAAAAAAAATCTGAAATGGGTTACTTTTAAAAAGGACACAGAAAAAGGCCTGGTTTTTTTTTTTTTTTTTTTTTTTTAGTAACAACAAAAGGATCTTACACTCTCCATTTCCAACTTTCCTTCTTTACGTTGGAGAGGATTGATGGCTTCCTCATCGACCATGGCTTCTGTCAAGCGCTTTAGTTCTAAGCGTAGAAATAAGAAATCATTTGTCTCTAATTCTAAACGTTTCCTTTGCGTATGCATAACCTTTTCAAAAAAAAAAAAAAAAAAAAAAAAAAAAAAAAAGGTTTAAACAAAAAAATAAGGAAGACCGCCCTCTCTTTTTTATTTGTGACTCTCTCCTCCATTCTTTTTTTTTTTTTTTTTTCTTTAAAAAAATTAAAAAGAGGGGGGGGAGCTATGTATACTATGGACAAAGGTAAAATCTAGAATACTATTGCTGCTGTTGTTGTCGTTCCCATTGATGTTGAAACGGTGAGAGATAGGCCTGCCACGCATCCAACTCCATACTACTGGGCACGCTCCAAAACGGATTTTCTGGTATATTCCTCAGATGCGTCTCCTCTGCCGTCGTTGTCGCCGCATCCATCCTGGACATCATCGGTTGAGCGATCGGTGTTGCATATGAAAACGACATCATGTCCCCTTGTTGTGTACTGTTCAATCCCGGTGTACTGTAAAACTGTGGGAACATAAAGTCTTCAAAATCAAACAAAGCGGAGGGTCCACACATCATGGTTGGTCCGTGTCCTGCTGTGCTGCTTGTATATTGAAACGATGATGATGATGCTGCTGTAGCTGCTGCTGGTGGTGGCATGGGTTGTGTGGGATGTCCATAGGTGTGTATCGGATGAAACCCACCCACGGGTGGTCCATACGCTTTTGGAGGAGTGACAACCGGGGGAGATAGATTATCTAAGAAAAAGACATAAGTTTTTTATATCATTATTACTATTATTCTGGAACAAGTACCTTCCATGCCAAAAGTAGGTTGTGTAGGTGTATACAATTGATTGATCCAACTACCGTCATTCACAGCAGGTTGTGCAAGATCAAACGACACATCCTTTTGCGCATGACCGTGGGGAAACCATTGTTGACGCAAAGTACCCGTCGATGAATCCTCCGTGGCGTACACGTTGGGAGCGGTGGGGGTGGCGACGGGGGTGGGCTTACGGGGGTGAGCATCTTTGGTAGCTGGCTGGGAAGGATGAGTTTTTGTTGGGTTTGGAGGAGGTGGAGTTTTAGACATATTGAGTTGACTGAGAAATTCGGGATCATCCACAAAAAGCGAGCTCAAGGCCACGACTTTTTTTAACACGGCACCCATACCCACGGCCATGGGTGAAAGCATACCCAGTTTATCCACAACGGCAAAGGCACGCACAAGGTTGGATTTGGCGACACTGGAGATGGCAGAATCTGGGTTGAAGCAGTTGTGGATGTGGATCAGGGAGGCGGTAAAGACGGGATAGAGTGCAAAACCCCAAGAGACCAGTAGGAAATCACGGTAATGCATACGCTCAGAGACCTCGGTGATACGAATGGCGGCATGCGTACAGATTTCAAGCGCACTCTGAGATGCATGGTTGTCGCTGTAAGAGCTGTCTTTGTTGAGGGTATCTTCCTTGGTAATAAAGGGCCGGTGTAATAAAATAAGAAGTGTACAATAGGAGAGGCATAGTAAACCTTTTTTTTTTTTTTGATGTATATGTTAGAGACTTTTATATATATATATATGGATATATAGATAGATTTACCAGACATGGACAGGAGTGGTACATGGTCTTGGGCCAACAGACTTTGGCTTCCAGCCGACGATAAATCCATTAAAGGAGGTAAGGATTTTTTCCAATTGGCCAGAGCATTATCCAGATAGGCCACAATGGCATCGCTTCCATGTACGGCACTGTGTTTCTTGGCCTGAGGGGTATATAAACCTTGCAAGATGCGACCCAAGATCTCTGACAATTTCAGAAGCAATAGGAACGGTTGATTCATGGGGATAGAGGGTTCTTTCACTCTAGCGGCCACGTTTCCATCCAGTGATGGGTAGCGCGGCAAATGTCTGTCAGTGTCTGTCATGGTGTCCATGATATTGTCCATGCTGACATTTTCAGAGGGGTAGAGTTCATCACAGTCCTCGTCAAAGGCGGTTAAGGGACGTCCTGTGCCTGAAGAAAACCATCGGTCAAGGATGTACACTGACCACCATACCATTCTACGTGTTTCTTTTTCTTGTTGCGATATTTTCCAGCCATCGCTTGATCTATGCAATCCAATATCCTGGCTCTACAAAGAGGGGGGTGGGGGTAAAATTGGCCGTGTTAAAATAAAAAATACAAGCAAACGGACAACTGCTTATTGTTTACCATGCGAACAGCCTAAAATAAGGAGGGGGGAGAGACAGCAAAAAAAAAAAAAAATTAGTTCATTCGAACTTTATGTATATGAACCCAATCCACTTACAACACAGTTCAATAACCATCCAGACGACCAATTCTCGAAATTGACCGAATGATTATGTCCAATGACGATGGCCTGGATGGATGATAAACAGGGAGCATATTTACCCTTGATAAAGACAATCAAGGTAGAAAAGAGTCGTTGATCCAAATTCTCTGGTAAATCCCACGGCTTACCTCCCTCATCCAACCTCTCCGCGTCACCAAACTTTTTACAGTTCTCAATATATCTGACAGCTGCACCATACATGGCATTTAAGAGAGGTCCTGCAGGAAAACACGATTGGATACCGCGATATTCCTCTAAAAAGGATGTCTTGTTTACCACCGGTAAAAGTGGATGGATATAAGCAAAATAGCTGAATATATACAAAACAAAACAAAAAAGTAGGGGATATGGGGGGCTGTGTTAAACTAGGCTGACGCTGATGCTTGCATTTTTTTTAAAAAAAAAACATAATACCCTTACATTTTAAGTAGACGATCACCGAGTGATTTCTGGAGACCTGATACCTTCCAAACCCAGTCATCGATATTGGACACGGTTTCATCAGGCTTCATAAACCCAAGCTCGATCAATTGCTTGACTTGTGCCGATCGACGATCGTTGGGGGAGGCGGTTTTTTTGATATGAAAATAGTCATTGTTTTCGTGATGGTGAATGGCGATACCGTATTGTGATAGTGTCTTTTCATCGAGGAGATTCATCTTTTTAAAGATGCAGGAAACGTTATTGTTACTGACAAAGCGGCCCTCTGTGGTAAGATGAGAACTGGAAATGGTTTCTAGCATGACGTTGGGTTCATCTATTCTTTCGGAGGTGCGTGTATCTACTCGCTTGGGTTTTTTGATCACCGGCTGTGTTGCTTCTGCCTCTGCTTCTACTTCTGCTGATGCTGATGCTATGACGACGGATGATGTGGTTTGTTCGGATGCATCTTTGGATTTCATACTGCTGATTAATTCTTCAATTCTTTTTAATCTGTTCTCCAAGACATTAATGTACCTGTCAAAACAAAAAAAAAGAGGGGTAAATGTGAGCCATGTGTGCATGATACCTGAATATTGTATTACCCTCTTGGTGGACCACGTTTTTTTATACTTTGCATAAATTTATTAGATTTTGAAATTTTGAAATTCTTTTCACAATGAAGAAGGGTTTTACCTTGTATTATAAGTACATCCTTTTTGATATGATATACAATTTTTACAGGAAGTGGAATTATCGATTGTACAACATTTGATTTTCTTTCTTCTACATTCATCACTTTAAAAAAAAAATCATGGCATGATCAATCTAAATTTTGCCTATAATTGGGAAATAGATAGACCCCGCACACTTACCAGGCTCTTACAGGACGACGATCTCGTGGTGCATAATGGACGTTGGAAGGGCCACCATGGGGTGCAATAGGTTGATATCTTGGTTCTGGGGTTGATCTTTTACTGATATCGTTCACGCCAGCCTGTGGCTTATTGAAACTTCCTGACATGCTTTTTCCCAATGGCTGATGGTGAACAAGAGTTGTAAGAAAGAGATTTTTATGAAAAAGGAATCTTGTTTTTAAAAAAAAAAGTGAACGAGCTTTTTTTTTTTTTTCTTTTCTTTAAAAAAATTAAATAACTACAAAAGAGGATAAAAAAGAAATCATGATCGTTGTTTTTCCTAAAATTGTAAAATAAAAAAAATCCCGGAAAAACCGGATGGTAATTAACCGTACTTTTTTATTGGCCCAAAAGAAAGGAGCGTGCTTTCCCCCCCTGGGACAGGGACCGTAACGATACACGAGCATCACATTGAATGATTTTTTTTTCTTTGAAAAAAAGACGATAGCAACCATGAATAACAATTTATGGGGAATTTCTGACCTTGAAAAAAAGTATGCAGTTCATATTAATGTTGAGACAATTTTAAATTAGCCACTTTTGGTAAAAATATAAAAAATAGCATTTTGTGATCATGAACAGTTGCATGAGATGGTTAGAAATTGAAAGCAGGGAAATAAAAAAGGTAGTACCATTAAAAAAAGCACATGCAATAAAACACACAGACGCAGTTACTTTTTTTTTTTTTTTTTTTTTTTGAACATTTGCGAGCTTGTAGTCCTGTTTGCTTCAAATAGGAGGGTGACAAACGAAATAAATTAAATAGATTAAGGCCATGACAAAATATGTGATAAAAAAAAAACCATCGAGAAACCCGGTTTTAATATGTTTACGTTATAAAAAACAGTGATATAAATTGCAAAAATGTTGACTCGTCATTGGTTTTTATCTATTTTTTTTTTTTTTTCAAGAAAGTATAAAGGTTCATTTTAAGCGCCAATGTAAACTCTCGCGGGAAGACGCTTTGATTAAGCTATTTTGTAATGAAAAATATTTTGACTATATGGATCCATGCTTTTGTGCCATCAAAAATGGGAAGTATTATAAACCACCTTGGCGTTTGGCCACACCATGCTTTATTTTGTAACTAAGCACCAAATTACTGATAACGACCTTTTTCCAGGATGAAATCCTCATATTCAAGACTTTAGCTGTGCTATATTTTAATGAAAGAGATGCCGCTAATATGATTGCATGTTCCTGTTTTAAAAATACAAAACATGTTATACTCAATATTGAGATCTTATTCTTTCTTGTTCCCTTTTTTCGCTTAACATGCTGTTTTCAATTGAATTTTTCATATAGTAAACTGTCGTTTCCGTACGTTCCTTCAAGCTCAAAATTATTTATAATATCATATTGGATCATTAGGTTTGGATTTTAATTTTTTTTTTTTTTTTTTTTTTTTTTTTGGAAAGACCTAAAATCGTCCATAACACAGAGTATACCTTGTAGAAAATCGCAAATTTTACAAATGCACCTTTTGGATACCCTTTCTGTAGGTATAATGAAAAGTGTTCTTATGTAACTATAACCCAAATTTAATGTATTTTACGCTGGTAGTGTTTTTAGAGAAGTTTTATTATTAGAAAAATTATATTCGGGACATAATTAAAAATCCAATTTTTGCTATACAAAATATTTTTTCTACATATTGTGTTGCTGTGTAAAATACATCAAAAGATGGGCCTAAGTTTTCCGCACATTTTAGATAAAATTTTAGTATCCATGGAGCTTACTTTGACACGAAGATTATAAAATCACAATTTTGATCATCTTGAACCAACGGGTACCTCGAAGGTTTATCACTAAGAGAGAATATCTTTTATCCCTAAAATCCATCGCTGGCTATCTTTCTGGAAGCGGCTCCATATAAATGACTGACAAGAATATCTTTATAGTCATACCAGCCAATAAATAAGCCGTTTACAACTGATTGAGGGTCTACCTATTTCGACAAAAACCTGACTGGTATTATACACACCAATGAATAAGCTCCAGAGGTGGGTTGTAAAACAAATTGCTGCTCGATGTTATAGTTCGCATTTGCAAGTTAAAAAAAAGAGGAAGCCAGATTCATGTCACTATTTGTCTAAGATGGATGTGTCATCATCTGGTTCCAATAAACACCTTTAAGTGTTTCAATCATTCGTTATACTGCATAATGTAAAAATGAGTATAAAAAAACGACGTGTTTTTTTTTATCAATATCGAATAGGTTATACTTTCGCTATTAAATAAAATGTCTTAATCGCTATTTTCAATCCATGCCAATGATACTTTTTTTGTAAGGCCTGTAATATAAAATTTGCATCGTCTAGCAATCTTTCTCGCCACGAAAGAACTAGCCACCATCGCGGCAGCAGCTAGTCCTATAAGTAAGAAGAATAAACGCGAAAACAAAACCAGAGGCAACTCCTGTTAAACAAGAACGATTACTCACTAAATGATATTTATTGTAAGTGCTTTTAAAAATTCGAATCAACGTCTAGTTGCACACTGTTGAATTTGCAGTCTTGGAAATGACCGATTTTCAAATAAAAAGGGTCCTTAAACAGATCTACCGCAATAAAATGGAATAATCCAGGCAAGAAGAGTTCTCAAGAATTACAGAACAATTGGGTATAGCCAAGCGTTGTTTCATGTTCATACATCCTTCCAATCAACTACCCCCCTTTTCAGACAAGCTGAATGCAAAAAATTAAATTAAAAGTTGTACCACTCTCTAAATTCATCGCACCAATTTTTTTTTTTTTTTTTTTTTTGATACATTGATAAGGAATAATGAAATATGCTGATTGTTTTTAAGGGTTGTTGCCACTTTTACAAATAACAACGCTTTTTCAATGTTCAGGGCAAATAATTTTGTTGAGTAAATCGTGGATTTTATATATACGATCATCTTTTCGGTACATTACAAAGAGAATGAAAGCCCCTTTAAAGTAGCATAATCCCAACATTCGACTACGCGCACCCTGGCTGTCCCTAATATCTGACTTTTAAATCGATAAAAATTCCTGCGTCATCTTGTTTTTGTAATTTTTTTTTTATTGCTTTTTTTTTTTGAGAATTGTTTTTTCCCTTTAACAATTCTCAAGATCTTTGCAAGATAAGTATAATTCTACACTTTAGCCTTACCTTAGGGGTGTGTATGTTGCTTGGTGTTGATAGTTTTCGATATCAAACGACAAAACACGCAAGTCTGAGGCCCTTTAGATCTCATTGCTTTCTTTAAGGGTGTACTGAGTCCTTTCTTGCGGATGTAATCCTGGACTTGGATCAGTTTCAGCACTTGATCCCCAAGTGATGGATTGTTGGTAATGAACTATAGTTTGTGTCGAGGCCCTTTAGATCTCATTGCTTTCTACAAGGGTGTACTGAGTCCTTTCTTGCGGATGTAATGTCCTGGACTTGGATCAGTTTCGGTGCTAAATTATAGTTTGTTTGTGTCGAGGCCCTTTAGATCTCATTGCTTTCTACAAGGGTGTACTGGATCCTTCCTTGCGGATTTAATCCTGGGCTTGGAGCAGTTTCGGCACTTTGACCACATGGGTGCTAAATTATAGTTTGTTTGTGTCGAGGCCCTTAAGATCTCATTGCTTTCTTTAAGGGTGTACTGGGTCCTTCCTTGCGGATTTAATCCTGGGCTTGGAGCAGTTTCGGTGCTAAATTATAGTTTGCTTATGTCGAGGCCCTTTAGATCTCATTGCTTTCTACAAGGGTGTACTGGATCCTTCCTTGCGGATTTAATCCTGGGCTTGGAACAGTTTCGGCATAGCCCATTCCATTGCGTTTTTTATTTTGCATATTGCGTTTTTAATTTCGGATGTTGATCAATAACTAACGCTTATACAGTAGGAATCTTATAGTCTAATGGGTGGCTAACTATACCACCGACCTTTTTTTTCATATGTCTTCCAAACTTAAAGACATGTTATTGTTATTATTTCTCTATTGACTATGCGTAGCACTGATTGTCCAATATTGATATTGTTATTGATGGCATACTCAAGTTGTTAGGAGTAGTATCCTCGGGCTCGTCCCTTCCATTTATTAGAAATACTGTTTATTTTTCCTCTTCTTAAATCTTCAGTTAACTTTTAACATCAATAAATCTGACACGAATTCAAATTGATCCTATTGTTTTTTTTTTTTTTTGTAACCTTTTTTTGTGCAAAACTATCCTATCTTAAGCCTACTTTTACTACTGCCATCATAACTGGAGTTTAAGGGACTGGGCCATAAAAGACTGGCTGGTCAGATGGGTATCTTGACGCTTTTTATTTATACATTGATGGCCTTTCTGCTGAATCACTCTTCTGAAAACCCGCGTGCCCATACAGCGTCTACAACTACGCCTTATTTATCCTCCTGTGGCTATTGTGTGGGCTCTACCGTAGCTACTGTACGATTTTATAAAAGTCAGGTTTCTTTTTAAAGGCTGAACAACCGTCCATGCAAAATAAGTTTGAGACCCTCATCCTCATCTTTACCCGCCCAGTCGACTTTTTTTTTTTTTTTTTTTTTTTTTTTCGTTGTCTGTTGAGATTCAAAATTCCATTGATTATAGGCCTAAACGCACACACTCTGCTTTCAATAGCTGCATCAAGAATGAATAAATCAATGCTATCTTCCTGCTAGATATATGGCTGTGACAGCAAGTGCAAAACTAATGCTTAATTTCAAGTTTTTTTACTTAAAACTTTGAATATACGTGATTTACGTTGAGCTGCTGTAAAGCTGCCTTAACATGAGTTGTTGAATTGCCGTATAGGGCTGTTCGCGTTTCCATCTGTTTATTTAAATACAAAAAAAACATTATTTATATATTTTACTTGTATTTACAGATGCTTCTACTGCAAGTAAATACTAGAACATAATGAATCATTTAATCGATAATTATATCATCCTGACATAAACCAGTCTATCAGCTCTTTAAATAAATATAGTCCACATTTTTGTATGAAAGTAAACAACATTACAAAAAGGTTAGTTAGTCGTGCTTTCTATTTTTTTTTTTTAAAAAAAAAAAAAAAAAAAAAAAAAAACTCTAAAAATTACCATCATTGTTTGTAAAAGATATATTGTCTTTTCTGTGGTATTGCGGCTACAGCAAAGTCTTTGCTATTTTCTAGCGACCTCCAACTTGCGCTCTCAGATTTTGGTCGGGATAGCTGTAAGTCATATTTTATGTAACAAAAAATCGCTTTTCTTAGGGACAGCCAAAGTGTACGTAGTCGCAACGCAAGATCTGTGATTTGGATGTTCTGTTGACCTAGGAACAAGGATATCAATCAAAAACAATGTAACAATTACAAATAAGTGTATATTAAACGATTTATACTTATTTTGACAATTCTATCGCCTTTGAGCTCGTTTGATCTTAATCTTACGCAGAAATATGAAGGTAAAGTCCAAACGAGAAACTGAAAGTGAGCAATAACACACATATATTGGTTTAAACTATGTTGGTTGTAATAAGTTTCTAACTAGTTCAAGTTATTAAGTTATGTTGACCTCTTGGTATCTATTAAATTTAGGCCTCGTCTATGCCTTGCTTAGTAATCAATTCATGCTTCAAATGCAGCGTCTTTCTTCTTGTTTTGGTTTTGAGGATCTGTCTTGTGAATTGATCTACGAGACCTATATTACATTTAAAGCCTTTTAAAGCATTTGCGATTGGGTCAAAATGGTCAATATTTAAAAGGTCCAATCCTCTCCTATTACCTTTGCCGGATTTTCACACTTAATAAGGTACAGATGAGTAAATAACTGATGTGTCCGCTTACGTAAAAAATGTACTCACACATCTTAAAGCTCCACTAATGCAGCTGTAAGATCACCCAAATATTGCTTGACAGAGGAGGCATCTCATTCTTTTCATGGTACTTGTTTATTGCGATAAAGTGATAAAAAATGGGAACCGGATTGTATTTATCAAGGTTGTTTCTTAAAAGAGACATGGATTTTAGATTGTCGGTATAAGGTTTAGCCGTATACTTCATGCTTTTTTATTTTCGGGTTGACCCATTTATTTTAGAAAGTTAAACATAAGAGCTGGAGAGTACTCACTTATTCTTCTTAAATGAAAAAAAAAAGAAAGCAAATAAATAATTATGCCGGTGATCAGTGCATAACAGTAAAAACAAAATGCGAGTGGTATTTACCAAATATGTCCACGCATTCTTGTTTTTAATTGGTTGAATCCTTTTTATGGATATCCTGCTAAATTAGTACGATGGATAAGCGTATAAACATGTGAGGGGGAACAAAAGAGTTCAAATTATGCAGGGCATTTTTTCATTGGAGAGCAAACTGAGCAATCTGTGCCCAAACCCAGGGACCGGAAGTTGAAAAAAAAAGGAGCATGTATTTATTGTCATTTGTCAACCCTTTTTTTTTTTTTTTTCTTTATTCCTCTTCTTATCTTTTCTTCAAATCATGTTAAAAGTGAATGCATCGCAATGGCTGCGATTCCGTACGCATTTCAAAATCCCACGTTCTGTCGAAGTGACACCTATGCGATCGCTGACGCCCAAATGCATTGGTCGCAGCATTGGTACGCAAACCGAGCATAGTCCAATGAAATTCGAAGCACCTACGACTACGACAACACCAGCTTCGGTGACGGCCGCATTCCAAGATCTATTGGGAGTGAGTGCACCCAATGCTCCACCGGACGATCTGAAAAACACTTTTTATCAACGAGAATTACCTACTTCACTTGTTCGATTTGCTTCCCCCGAAGGCAAGAAATTGTTTCGAGAGGCCATGGACGATGGTCATGCGGAAGGGTTTTTCCCTCTGACGGGTAATTTTACAACGCAATCGGAACCTGCTTATTGTGGACCTAGCTCATGTAAGTCATGGACTCTCTCTCTCTCTTTTTTCTTTTATTCTTGCTAATCATGTTGAGTTTAGTGGCCATGGTGTTGAATGCTTTAGAAGTAGATCCCAAGAGAAGATGGAAAGGCAATTGGCGATGGTTTTCGGGTATATATTAAGAGGGGAAACCTTATTATACAAAAGAGAAAACTAAAACTGACAATATATATATATATATATAGACGAATTTTTGCAGTGTTGTTCCACCAAAGAGGATATGAAAAAGAACGGTATCACCTTTGACAATTTCGCCTGTTTAGCCAAATGTCATTGCGATGTACAAGTCAAGCGAGCGCACGATTTTACGTTTGAAGAATTCAAGAGGGATGTGGAAACAGTGACATCGACCTCGGATAAATTTATGGTGATCTCCTTCTCTCGTAAAGTGTTGGGACAAACGGGGGATGGACATTTCTCTCCCATTGGAGCTTACAATGCCCAAGACGGTAAAGTCTTGATCTTGGATACCGCACGCTACAAATATCCTAGTTACTGGTGTCCCATCGAAACCTTGTATGAATCCATGAACCCCATTGACGTCGAAACAGGTCGCCCGCGTGGTTATTTCATCTTGAGCTACGACGCTGAACATCCACCCATGACATTATGTTCAGTCAAAGCAGATAAGCATTCCGACACACTCAGGGTAGCACCAAAGGAGACAGCTACTACTGATACTGCTGATGCTACAGCTGCTGCTGCTGCTGCTGCTGCTGCGACGGCTGCTGAGGCGAAATTGAATTGGTCCACACTGGCCAAGTCCTTCTGTCAACGTATTCCCGAGAATATGTGGCTGGAGAAGCCTCGAACGTTAGAGCATGTGGTACAATTAGTGCTTCGCAACGTGCCAAAGGAATACACATCGATCCTTGCCAACCAATCACTGGCATCGTTTAATGCCGCCACACCGGATAAAGCGGAGGAATACATCAATGAATTACTATACGATACAACGAAATCGCCACTGTACCCTGTGGTGATGGATGCACTTTATCCGGATCGTGAAAACCAATCTTATACCCCCATAGATTATAATGCGGCGTTTGCTACGCTTTTCGTACTTGGATCACCACGCATGTTGTATACGTCGCTGCCGAGAGAGATTCAAGATCAGCTGGATGTTTATCGAAAGCGGGACAAGATGACGCCCATGATGAAACAGGAGGTGAATCGTATATCAGAGGAAGTGACGGATTTGACAACGACCTTTTGTACGTGTGGTCCGGGTTGGACCATGACGGATGCTGATAAAGATGGGGACAGTCTATTAACGAAAAAGACGTGTTGTAAGTCACCATCCTCATCCAAATAAAAGAAAAAAGGGGGTGGGAGGGAAGACGAATTTTTAATACATTTTTTTTATTTATTTAACATTTGAATTCGAGATTGACGTCGATGGGATGAGAAGAACTTAATTGAGGTCTTTGTAAATATTTATCACGTAAAATGTCACGTACTCTATTCAACAGTTCTTGATAAGACTGGTTGGGATTTTCTCGAAGTGCACCTTGTTTGAAATTAGTTTTTTTTTTTTTTTTCTCTCTTTCAAATGTTGCCTTTTTTGTTTATTTTCACTTACTGATGAGAGCAAAACTCATGGCGCCTGTGGCTTTACCGGCCTCCTGAGCATCAGCGGAAGTTTGATCGTCTTTACAACCGGAAAACATGATGACATCCGCTTGGGATGTATTCTTTCTACGGACTTGATCAGAGATATTACGTGCCTCAAAGAGTTGTTTACCCAACGACATGATGGACGATAAAGCGCCATCCTTGTCTCCTCGAGCATAGGCGATACCTGCGGAAAAGATACCTTGTCCCGCATGCTTGAACAAGTTTTGTTCCTTGATTTCTCCCTTGGTAGAATAGACATAAGGTAAATCCAGCACCGTGCCTGAATGACAGCTATCAAAAATGGCAGTTAAACGACACTTTGCGGGTAAAGGTCGAACCAAAATATCATGCATATCCTAAAAAAAAAAAAAAAAAAAAAAAAAAATTAGCTCGTCTTTCTATTTTTTTTTTTGGTGGGGTGTAATAAATCATTACATCATCTTTAATTTGTCCAGAATCTCCTTCGAATTGATCGAAATCTAAAGGATAAATGGTCTCATCAAATGAATCATCCTCGTCACTGTGAATATCGCTCACTCTGCCACCATGACCACTATAATGGAAAAAGAAGCTACCGACGTCATGTTAGCTCTCTCTCTCTCTTATTTTCCAAAATAATCACTCCCTCCTCCTCTTTTCATCTTACGAATCGTCAGGCTGAGCATCATCCACAAGCCATTTCATGCCAGCTAAAATATTTGCACGCGTTGGTTTAAACTTATCCTCTTCTTGATCATCTGTTAACACCACCATATCGTTCTATAACAAAGGATAGAAAATTAAATACATAGATCACTCGGAAAAAAAAAAAAAAAAAAAAAAAAACTCTTTTGTTTACCTCATCAAACTCATATTGGCTCATGATAAACTTTTTGATATTAGCTACATCATTATGACAACCTATGCAGAAAAAAGTCAGTTCGTGCTAGTACAATTTGAAAAAAAAAAAAAAAAAAAAAAAAAGTTTCTCTTCGGTTCATACCACTCAATTCATTTGCAGTTCCGGTATAGTTAATACCGATCAATAAAGCTCTCTTTCTACCATGACCTACATTTTTTTTTTTTCAGTTTTTTCTTTCCACCGTACACTTACTGAAATGCATCAAAAAAAAAAAAAATACCGTACAGTTGGAGAGTTCGAATTCTTGAGCATCTTCATCATCTACGGTAGGATCGACATGTAAGAAGAACTCGTTTCCAGGATTTTCTTCACTATGGGTTGTCATGCCACTGCCATACTGCACTAATCAAGAAAAAAGAAATTAGTTTTTTTTTTTTTATTATTTTGGGGGAGGGGGTGACACGACTCGAACTAAGCCCATATCTGTAAGAACTCTCTCACCTGGATCGGGGCCTGGGTTATGCTTGGATTGAGGAGGTTGAGAATAAGAAGGGTTGGGATGTTCATAGTCCTCTTCAGAGAAACCTGGATCGTTACTATCGTCTTCGGGATTACCGTAGCCGTACGAGTTGGATGAATAACTGCTGGTATGATGCGAGGTCTGTAAAAAAACACGGTTTCTTTAGGGGGGAAAACGCGTTTATGTGTGATTTTTTTATATATATATATATACCTTTGTGGAAGAATAGTAGGAAGTACGTTGTTCTTCCTCTTCTTGTCTGGGGTATCCGTAATCGTCCATGGTTTTAAGAAATAATGACTAAAGGAGGAAAAAAAAGAAAAAGGGAAAAAAAAAAAGGGCCAAGACATGATTTATACTAAATTCTGGGTTCACAAAAAAATTAAAGTTTTATTTTGAAATACAGTAAAAAGGAATCTTTTTTTTTCTCGTTTTACTGCATAAACGTGGTATTTGGTTTGTTTTGACCGTCGTCAAACAATGATGCAAGTGTTGCTGCGTAAAATAGGTTATTTATATTAAAAAAAAAAAAAAAACGTCATGTTTAAATTTTTTGTTACCTTGCCAATCTGTTTCGTTCTCAAAAAATGGTGTAGCCGCCGAAGAAAATAAACTCTGCCATGCAGCCAAAGACACATTATTCTGCACAAATGACTCTCCATTATTCCCGGCTGATGATGTTGCTGCCGAGGAAGGCAAATCAGTATCTCCCCAATCGCTCACGATGGCATGCACGCTCATAGGAGACAACTGCTGCTGCTGTGTCGGTGCTGTCAAGCTCGTTTCTTCATGTATCGTATCCGTTCCAATTAAATCCATCAAGGTTTGCAAAAGAGGAATAGCGGGTGGTGCGTTGGTCATGACATGACTCATGGGTTGAATACATTCATCGATGGACAGCTTGACATATTCTCGAGCCGAACTAGCAATCTTTGGATTCGTGCTTGTGCAATTATAGACATGGATGAGACTCGCTTGAAAGACAGAATAGCCTATGGTGAAGAAAGATGTCAGCTATTGAATAGAACCCCCCTCAATGTGTGTGTGTGTGTGTGTGTGTGTGGGAGCATGCTTACCGGCAAAATTCCAGCCGAAATGTACGACTTCGGAGGGAGTGAGTAATCTAGCAATGTCAACCACACTCTTGGCAGCTTCTGTGCAACGTGTATTAGCCTCCTCGTACAATTCCGGTAACACGTCAGATTTATCAGACACCATAAAGATGCGGTAGAGAAGAATGATTACGACATGATAACAAGTCATCAAAGGTCCAGCTTCTCTGACTTTGTTGGTCATGATTTTGTTTCTATAGATCGATCTGGCTTCTTCCGAGCTCAAGCGTTGATGCTCCGGTACCTGGGAAAGCCAATCCTGAAGCATACGGTAGATGCTTTGTACGGTGTGATGCGTCGATACATGTTTATAGCCCTGCGATTGTGCTTTAGCCGAATAGATGCGACGAAGCACTTCTCCTAGGATCCCCGAGAGCTTGATAAAGTTAATGAAGACGGAGTAATCTTCGTTGCCGTTGGGACCGCCATTGACGTGAGGTAATTCGATATCACAATCGGCGTCTGAGATGGCTAAAGGTCTACCCATGACCGCACAGCACCAACGATCGGTAATATATGTACAATACCACAATCGTTTACGCGCCTCAAACATTTCGTCGGTTAATGGTAGTTTCTCCAGCGTTCTATGAAGACCTAGTTCCTGTGCCTACACAAGATGATTCATTAAGTTATTAGTCTCAGCTTCGATGGTGTGTGTGTGTGTGCATCCCTCCTCCTAATTTTTTTTTTTTTTTTAGGTGTACCATTCGCACGGCCATACCGGCTCTAAGCCAATTTTTATAAAAGGACTTGTCACAATCTGGATAGGCACATAATAAAATCAAGGCTTGAATGGTAGCGAGTCGTGGAGTGAGGTATTCTTTTCGGACAAGATTGGTGGTATAGTCAGCCAGAGTGGTGAATAATTCGGTACGGTTGCTTCCGGCGTTGATAAAGATGGGGTCGTCCTTTTGCAGCAAAAGACAGACGTGTGTGCAAATGGCGTAAATGAGGATGGTGGCTGGAGGCGGATCTGAGCGGCCTTCATAAGCATCCATAAACGTTTGTTTTTGGACGACGGGTAAACTTGCATGATCCATTTCGAAAAACCTTAATGGGGCGGATTATATGTGTGAGCATACGGAAGGACTATTTCATTATTATATATTTACCTGGTGATGAGATCTGTCAAGAGGGACTTGGATACAATGCTGGTATTAAGATCCAGTTTATCCGTTTCTAATTGATCGACGTGCTCAGCCATAGTTTTATCTCGAACAAACATGACGTCGTCATCCATGACATTGATCTTTTTGAAGCGAACGGGGCCGATAGGGTCTTTTTCATTGGGTATATCTCTTACTTCCTCCACGACTTTTTCGTCGGTGGATAGGATATCGCGTACTAAATAATAACCCGAAGAACTCCCCAGATATCTTACGACCTTGTTGTGTTCGATGGATTTAGGCATCTCGACCGTCTCCTTTTTCTCTTCTCCTTCCTGCATTGTCTTTAATAAAGCTTCCATCTTTTTCAATCGTGTTTCTAAGCTTTCAATGTAGCTATTTAAGAATAATCAGCATTTTTTATTTTTTATTTATTGGCGATTCCATTGTACCACTTACCCTTTTGGTGGCCCTCTTTTTTTTGTCGTCTATTGTTACCCCCAAAAAATGAAGTCAGTTTGGTTGTGCTTTTAGCCCGGGAAAATATTAACCAATATCAAATTTAAACAGGGCACTCACATCATTAAATGTACATTCCCATCCATATTGTTTACATGTCATACATTGTTGCGAGTTATCAATATCACATCTACCCAAGAGAGGTTAGTTAGTACAAAAAAAAAAAAAAAAAAAGAGAGAGAGAGACTTGCTTGATTTTCTTTCGACGACAGATATCACCTATTTTAGTAGAAGTGTGAGTGACAGGCTGAGAAAAAAAAAGAAGAAATTGTATATGCTTACATGCTCTGGTTATTCGGGATCGCTTGGTTCCTGATGGTGGACTTTTGCTGGAATCTTTATTTGGAAAGTGGCTATTCCAGCTAATCTCTTGTGCCTGTCCTACTTTTTCCATTCAAGGTCTCTTTCCCTTTGTTAGTTTATCTAAAGAGAGAGAAGGAGGGGAAAAAAAGAAGGGGTGGGGGTAGAAAAAGTAAAATAAAGAAAAAAACTATGGGCAAAACTCAAAAAAAAAAAAAAAAACGGTAAAACCTTTATCCCAAGTAGGCAAAACCCTTTTTTGTTGCTTTATTCGACAGCCCCTTTAATGAGGCTGAAGGAGTAATGCCTAAACCTTTATTCCGAGATTTTTGTGTTTGTCTTTTTTTATTTTCTGGGTTTTAGGGGGGGGTGGGTCTGTACGTCAGAGATACACGCGCCCAACTTTTTTTTGACATTTTTTTTATTTTAGCTGAGTTTAAGTATGATGTTCATTGCCATCCCCCCCACCTCAGATCGATCTTTGGTGTAGCGGTGTGTAACATGAGGAGTATCTGTGATGATTAAGTTTTTTTTCAAAAACATCCACTATGGTTAGAATTGATGAATAATATATTCTTTCTTAGAATACTAGTTTGCGTGAGGTCAACTTTTGAATTAATAATACAACGATCGGGCTTTTTAAATTCTGCATAATATATAAATAGTTGCTTTCAATTGATCTTTCTTTCTTTTTTTTTATTATTATAACAAAACACACAAAATGGTTTCTAACACTAAAATTATCTTTGCCAAAATCCCTACTACTTTCCCCGTTGCTGGTGAACACATGATTGTCGAAAAATCTGAGATCGATCTCGATGCTGAACTTCCTCAAGGTGCTATTCTCCTCAAGACTTTAGTCTTGTCTGTCGATCCTTACATGCGTGGACGTATGAGAGATGTCAGTATTCAATCCTACTCTCCCGCTTTCCCTCTCAACCAACCCATGTCCGGTCACGTCGTCACCCAAGTTCTCAAGTCCAACAACCCCAAGTTTGCTCAAGGCGATCTTGTTTACGGTCTTGGTTCCTTTGCCGAATACGTGCTTGTACCCGAGGCTTACACCCCCTACTTTGAAGTACGTAACGAAATCAAGACATCAGGTCTTCCTATCAGTAACTACGTTGGTGTCCTCGGTATGCCCGGTATGACCGCCTATGTTGGGTAAGGAAATTATTATGCGCGCTAAAAGAAAATTATCATCACGTATTAAAACTCCTCTTTTTTTTTTATATATAGCTTAATCAAGTTTGGTAAACCTGTCAAGGGCGAGACCTTGTATGTGTCTGCTGCCTCTGGTGCAGTTGGTCAATTAGTGGGACAAATTGGTGCTAGACTTGGTTTGAGAGTGGTTGGTTCTGCTGGTTCAGATGAAAAGGTGGCCTACTTGAAGGAACTTGGTTTCGATGCTGCATTTAACTACAAGACCACAGATTACGAGGAAGCCCTTAGCGTTCATTGTCCCAACGGTATTGATATCTACTTTGAGAATGTAGGTGGAAAGATGTTGGAGGCTGTAATTAACCATGCCAACCGTTTTGCACGTATCGTGTGCTGTGGTATGATCTCTCAATACAACACGCAAAACCCTGAACCTATTCATAACTTGCTGCAAGTTGTGGCCAAGTCGCTCGAGATCCGTGGCTTTATTGTGGGTGATAGCCCTGAAATGACAGAACCCTTCAGAAAGGATGTGACCGAATGGTTGAAGGCTGGTGAGATTAAGTATCGTGAAGATATTGCTGAGGGTATCGAAAGTACCCCCGAAGCCTTAATTGGTGTCTTGCGCGGTAAAAACTTTGGTAAACAAGTTGTTCATGTTGCTGATTTGTAAATACAATATAACATATAAAAAAAGATTTCTTTTCCCATCCCCCACATTTATTCCTCAATAAAAAAAAAATAAAAATAAAACCCATTATAAAAAAAGGCCACTTTTGTTTTACATAAAAGAAGTTTTAAGCTTGTAAAATTGATTCAGAATAAGAGACGCCTTTGTACTTACCCTTGAGCGAATTTCTTGTGTTAGGTGAATATACAAGAGAATGACGGGTACTCAGCCAACTTGCTTAAGGAAGGTCGAGTCCTCGTTTACCCACCTGCCTATTACCTCCTGTCATCTGTGTATTGGTTTTATCTTTAGTTAAATGAGATATTGTAAAAATAAACGCAGACTGTATCAGTTTACCCATTTTAATTTGTGTGTGAATAAACAACTTTGTTTAATTTGTGTGTGAAAAAATAAAAAATAAAGAAACAATCCTTTTGATGTATAAAGAACACAATGTATCAACCTATACTCTATATAAACGCGTTCGCAAAAGAAAAGAAAAAGTCCAATCTTTTTCACATTTCAAACATCCAAACCCAAAAAAAAAAAAATGTGCTATACAGACTACGTAAGTTGCTACTACCCCCTTAAACTAATTTAAAAGCCCAATAAACTCACACTAGAAAAAAAAAAAAAAGTATCGTCAGAAACAAGTTCCTGCACGTCCCAGACATATGCCCAACACTTATTGGAGATTGATCTTTACTCCCTTGAGCGGTATTGAACGTGCCATTGTACAATCTTATAACTCGTCCAACATGTATGCTAATTTTATGAGCCAAGCGCAAATCGCGTTGGACCCGTACAATATCAAGATCAAGAGCATCACTTTGAAAGTACCCCAACAAGAGAAAATCAAGGAGATGGAGATTACTACCCAAGCAGATTTCTTGCGTGCTCTCAACTTGATTCCTGTGTCTGACGCTATGTTCGATCCCAATCGTGGTATTGAGGCCTATGTTCATCAGGAAGGGGAGACGGTCAAGAGCCCTGATAGTGGTTATGCTAGTGGTGCCAATGGATTCTTTTAATTTGAAAACCCCCCACCTCCCCACTTTTATCTTAATTTTGCTTAATTTTACCATTTTTTTTTTTTTGCTGATAATCATTCAATAATAAAACTCTCTCTTTTTGCATAAAACTTATAAAGTGAATCTGCTCGCTTTTGGAGAGGTCATCATTCAACTTTTATCAAACAATATAAAAAGCTGTACAAGCTTGTACAATGTCAAAGGTGAAATCAACAGTATTTTTCATTTCGTGCGCAATTGATATTTGGCTTTTTGCATTATATCACTTAAAGAAAAAAAAAAAGGTGGAATAAGAAATATATCATGAAAGCTAACATTCTTTTTTTTTTTTTTATTAGCAAGTATGCTACGAGACTTTTTTTTTTTTTTATACCATTGACAGTATTGGAAAAGATGGAGTTCTAGATCATCAGTAGCAGCTGTGGCGGTTTTTGTCACAATGTCATCCTTTCCCTGCTTTTTGATATGTTTTATCAGAAATAAAAAAAAAAATGAAAACAAAATACGTCATTGGAGATACATGCTAGATTAAAAGATTTTGTTTTAGTTTAGCCAAAAAAAAAAAAGGGTTTTAACACTTCTTATGCGACATGATCACTTTGGGGAGTAAAACGTAGGGTTGGGGAGCGGCTATCACAATTACCGTAAAAAAGCCAGTCCCTTCTTGAAAAAAAAATTTTTTTTTTATACTGAATATTTGACAATCCGATTAAAGCCCCCAAAAAAAAAAAAAAGTATAAAAGGAGCGAAAAAGTAAGCAATGAATTTTTTTCTTTAGTGACCGTACTCTACAGGATCTGTATGCAGTATGTTTCAATTCTACGTTTTCTAAACTAGATACAATCCCAAAGTTAGTCGATGATTTTCAGTAGACCTTCTTTTGAGTGAAGTGTGCCGATCATTGTTCTCTGAACAGTTTTCGTCAGTTGATGATCTCGCCTGTCTTTATTCCAAGGACATGGCAAGGAAGGCGCTACAAGTCTGATAACTTAATTTTTTTTTTTAATTATAAATAACAAACGAAAAATTAAAACCATTATTGTATGTCATGTTTCATGGCGATAAATCATGTTCACTTGTTAACTGAACACCACTGTTATTCAATACCTTTAAATGTATGTAGAAAAGTTTAACACATTGGTTGTTATTTTAGCATGCATTCATAAACTCTTTGATCCCTACACCAATCTTGAAGGCAGACCGATGCTTTTTCGGGAGATCGTAGAACAAGTTGAACAATCTCATTCAAAAGATCTTGCGGTGTTCGTCTACTTATTGCATTCTTTAAGCGAAACATATTCCCCCCCATCTTTCTTACAGACACTAAAAGTGTTGCTCCGGAATGGACCACGCAGAGGCTTTGTACCTATGCTTCCTTTCTATTTTTAATTGAACAAGAGAGCGAATAAAATCAATATTATAATGATTGTTTTGACTTTGCAGTATATACCATATTTAGTAATTCGGACTGTTCTTTTTTTTTTTTTTTTTTTTTTGCGCGGCCAAGCGAAGCGCAGGTCGAAGCAACAGACATGTATCAATATTATAATGATTGTTTTGACTTTGCAGTATATACCATATTTAGTAATTCGGACTGTTCTTTTTTTTTTTTTTTTTTTTTTGCGCGGCCAAGCGAAGCGCAGGTCGAAGCAACAGACATGTATCAATATTATAATGATTGTTTTGACTTTGCAGTATATACCATATTTAGTAATTCGGACTGTTCTTTTTTTTTTTTTTTTTTTTTTTGCGCGGCCAAGCGAAGCGCAGGTCGAAGCAACAGACATGTATCAATATTATAATGATTGTTTTGACTTTGCAGTATATACCATATTTAGTAATTCGGACTGTTCTTTTTTTTTTTTTTTTTTTTTTGCGCGGCCAAGCGAAGCGCAGGTCGAAGCAACAGACATGTATGAGTATAATAAACACCTACTGAGCTGGGAGGGGCTGTAAGTCCCGACCAACACAGTACACAAAACATTGAATGAAAAAAATTGATTAGCATTGAGTGATCTGGGAGGGGCTGTAAGTCCCAACCTACATAGTACATAAAACATTGAGTGAAAAAAATAATGATTAGCATTGAATGAGCTGGGAGGGGCTGTAAGTCCCGACCAACACAGTACATAAAACATTGAGTGAAAAAAATTGATTAGCATTGAGTGAGCTGGGAGGGGCTGTAAGTTCCGACCAAGGCCAAACTCTTTCTTTTGCACCAATTGTCTGATCATACCCGTTTTCACGCACGGTCAACTTTATGTTGCTTTATCACGGGTCCGTAATCCTGCTAATCTCAAAGTAATGTTACTGAAAGGGCAGTCATTTTCAAGACTCACAGACAACGTTGTATTTACTGAAGTACTAACTCGAATACAAAATTAAACATAAAATATTCATTATCAATAAAATCTATTTTTGTCCCATTTATAAACATTGAGTGGCGTCGGTGGCCCGCTGCAGGCGCGAGATCGCCCCCAGCATGAACGTAGGTTATTTTTACCGTAGCGAAGCGAAGGTCAAAAAATTACCGAAGTGGGCTGGGGCCGCGATCTCGTATAATAATAATAAAAACTCTATACATCTTTGGGAAAGAGGAGAGAAAGAAAAAGTGTGGGGGGGGGCAACAATGGGCCGCTCAATTGATATTATTGGTGAAAGAGAGCGCACTACTCTCACCCAGTTCAATACAATTTTTTTTTTTTTTTTTTTTTTTTTTTTTTTTGTCGTTGTTCAATGAAAAAAGGTGCATCATGCCCATGCCCAACGAAAAGGCTTATTCGTCAATCATAGGGCCATCCCGTATGAACAACGATCAAGTGATCCTGCTCTTAAAGAGAGAGGCAAAAAGCAGAAAGAAAAAAGTGGGTCTACAGCAGCATTTTATACTTTGTTTGATTCTCAGGCATGACGAATTAAAAATAAACAAAAAGTGGGTTAGACGTTTCATACTTAAAAGGGCGTAAGTAAGGGTAACCCATCTAATTTATCAGTGCCACTTTTCTTGTATAATACTCTTTATGTTTATGTTGCTTTCACCATCTACTCCCACCCCCCCTTTTAGTCCATCAAAAAACAAAAACAAAAAGTATAAGGGAGAGGAGGGAAACGTTATTAGTGCTGTAGATAGGCATGTTTCGTTTTTTAATATAAACTTGAAGGACTGTCAGCAGTTACCTTGGTTACCCGGTATTAAATCGGAAAGCATATTACTGTTGGGCATCTTGACGTGTTCGTACATTCTCAAGATATTCAGTACAATTGCTTTTTTTTTTATGCTTAAAAGGAAGCACATTTGTTCGAGTTTACTATACAAAGTTAAAAAAAAAAAAAATACCATAGCACATGGGATTATTATGCTTCGACTCTGGTGGTTTTGTGATGCTATGAACAATGGAAACTACATGGTGATGTGAGCAGCTTGCTCTTTACTTTTTTCTTTTTTATAAAAAAGAAAAAGGGACCAATTTGGCCATACCCAAAAGTCTTTGGTAAAAGAGTTAGATCAAACGCTTTACTTTTACCGATACACAACGGTACTATTTATCCGTTTCGTTCCATGTTATTAGCATGATCGCACCAAATCTAGAAATTGTCTAAAGTGACAACGATTGACACTATGAAAAGCAGCATGAACTCACCCTTTTTGTTTTATCGGAACCCGTCTAAATGATGGGGGGGGGGGAAACCCTCGCGGCTCATAGGGGTGTCGTGCTTTTTTGCAATGAATTGTCGTTTTACAATATCACTTTGTCATATCAAAAAAGGTAATCCATGCTACAAAGGTCGTGTTCGATATAAATCCTCTCATCTAGGATGGATTTTTTTTGGGGGGGGGAAAGAAGAGTTACCACTTATTCCATTGTTAGACAAAACGTTGCAGGTTTTTATCGAACATTTTTGTTTAGACTACGTTAAAAAAGAAGATGCAAAAAAAAAAGGATGTGTTATAGTGTCCAAATGAATAGACGTTAGGATATCATTATTTTTTAGTGATCTTAGTTCTGAACAGGGTATAATTGCTTATAAGGAGGAGAATTTATACACTGTTATCCCAAATGTTACCATGTCGTTCTTTTAATCTTTATGGGGGGGGGGATGTTAAGCGACATAAATCTAGAGGGAGAGTTTTTTTTTTGGTAAACGCCTTCAAGTCATGCTTATTTCTAGACAAGTTGGGGGGAGGAGGGGATTATATGTCATATTATAATTCATAACCATTTACTTTTTAAACATGTATTCCAGGTCAAAAGAATAACTTTTTTTTGGGGGGTATAGCAAAGACATTACATAATCAGGCGCCTTTTTCTAGAGTTTGTAATTAAACAAGTGAACGAGTGGCAGGCCCGTATCAAGCGACTATGCGCGTTTATCTATATCAGATGGGGGGGGATAATGCAAATGGTCATACAGAGTAATTTTACGCCTCAATCGGTGTGCAAAAAAAAAAAAAAAAAAAAAGTGTTTTTTTTTCAAGGGTAGTAAATTTTTTTGGTTGAGTGTGTTTTTATTTAAATAGACACACAGATAAATTAAGGGGGGCGGTTACCAAGTAATTTGACAAGTAAAAAAAAAAAAAAGAGAAACCTTTTAAGGAAGTCGGAGACTTTTTCGGTCATGGTTACAATAGGGCCGTGAGTCCTGGGTCAAGAGAAGAGTTTTTTTTAGATTCGGAAAGATATAAAATGTGGGTTTTTATTAAAAAAAAAAAGTATACTTGTTTCTTTTTTTACTACTACACACACAGAGAGAGAGAATGAACCGAGGATCACTTGTACTGTAAGTAAACAGATACAAGAAAGAAAATAATAAAAAAAAAAAGACGGGGATTTGCATTACACACATGTTAATTTATCATATTAAAATAGAGATATTGATGAGGCTGAATACCTCTTGGATCAATTAGGAGCTCCAGATAAAGATGAAGATAAATTAGTCACCAAACTAAGATATAGGTTAAGTCTATTTTTGAAGGAGATTCGTGATGGAGCAGAAGGTAAAAACGAATATAAAAAAGGGCATCAGAAAGGAATTAACAATGATTACACATGAATAGGCTCCGGAAAGAGAGATTAATTTTTTTTTTTTTTTTTTTTTTGTGAAAAGGCCTAGATTGATGGTCTTTTTTTTTTTCTATATAAAAATAATAAACTTTTAAACTGGCCCTTTTTTTTTTTTTTTTTTTTTTTTTTTTTTTCCTTTCTTCTTTTCTTCTTCTCTCTGTCCCATATAGAATGGATTTATGAACCTTTTTCTTTTTTTTTTTAAATACACACACAAATGTCACAATTATCACAATATCTATTGGAATCCGATATTAACTTTTATCGTGATTATGCAATTACACTTATTAAACACAATCCGGCCTCTTTTGATTTAGACGAGTTTGAGTCGATTCTCTATGAGAACGAGTCCGTACCGAAAGACCGTACGATCCAGCAAGCGTTTCATGATTTTGAAAACGATAAAAAGTCACAGTATGAATTAAATCCAAGGTTTGGTCGATATGTAATGTAAAGAAATATATAATTTTTTTTTTTTATTTTTTGCATTTTGATAAAATAAGGTATTCATTTTTCATTTTTTTTTGTATGAAAAATATAATAATTTAGGTTTGGGACATCAGTGACCAATGGTATCAGAAATGGAATGTGGTATTCTCAGTTGAGCATATGTGGAACTGGTTGGAGCACGGGGTCACACGTTCGTCGGCGCAACAATTAATCACGACCGATCATGTATTTGACACCACCCATATTCAACCTTGGCTCAATCGCATCATTGTCAGGTATAACGTGCATCCAGATCATCAAAACTTGTTACAAGATATCTGCAGATACATTGGTGATTGGCACCAAACAAATCGTACATTGACCCTCAAGGGTACCTTTCGATTAAACACCATACCTTTATTTCCGCCCAATTGGTTTAAAAATAAGTCGAGACAAAACAGTAATAATTTCGAAGGTCTAGCTCCTTCTTATCTCGTCAATTTTGTACCCCCATATGCTCTTCATGACTCCCAAATACCAGAGAGATGGAACCAAGTCTTTCTTAAAGGCATCACCGTCGATCCCGATCACAAGGTAAGATAAAAAAAAGCTTTTCTCAATCATTTTCCTCCCCGTGCCTAGTTCTAAATTTCCCACCCACCCCCCCCTTTCTTTTACACCTGTTAGTTCAACTTGGATCCCATCTTGATCGCCTCCGCTATCCCAATCCTCGGTTTAACAGTTCATTACGACGAAGCATCAGGCTACAGTAAATTAATGCTGGTGATGACCAAGGCAAAATTTGGTAATTTAGAAGACCATATCGAAAAGGACACGCCCATCGACTACTACAAACCATGTCAATTAGCCCTGAGTCTCACTAAAGATATCAAGGATTTGCATTGGAATTATATTCATGGTAATATTCACCCACGAAATATCTTGTTAAACAATGCAGATTATGTTGGTGAATTAGTGGATATCACCTTTATGCATCGAAACAATGATCAACAACCCAACACAGATATGAAGTGGGCGGGCCGATGGCCTTATGTTGCGCCCGAAGTTGTTTCCACGGGTCTAAGTACCTCAGCTGATATGTATGCACTGGGTATTGTTCTATGGCAATTGATCTCGAGGGTGACATTTCCTAGTGATGCACTTGTTGATCCGTGTGTGTATCGTATTGAACCTATACCGGGCGTATTGAAAGAATGGGAAGATATCTATGTGGATTGCCTTCATTCGGATCCGACAAAACGACCGAACGCGTACACGATCCATCGACGACTGACGCATCTGTGTCATACGTTGCGTACAAAGCGAGTCCCATTAGGGCAGAGGACACTGGGTTACATCAAGGAAAGAAGAAACGAAGTGGATCAATTCTTGTTCAATTATAGAAAATCCACACCGCAATTACTACAATCGGACGATGATGATGCTGCTTCCACTTGTTCTACTACTTCCTCCAATACCATGACAACGTTATGTCAGGTAGGAAATCATGTCTTGACCGCTTCCGTCACTCGTCCATCCCATCAACGTCTAAAAAGTTATCCCAATTTACTCCAAAGTTTTCCTCCTTGTCTGTAACAAAAAAAAAAAAAAAAATACAAACTAGGCAAACCCCTTTCCTTCTTTTTTTCTTTTTTTTTTTTGCATTCTCTCTCAATCCCCCCATTTAAATGTAGTATAATAATTAGTAATATATCCCATTAGCGTTGTTTTTATATATATATATAAAAAAAAAAAAACTGTATCAGGGGTGTCTTTTATTCTGTAACATTTATAAATAGCAAACATTCCCAGGGTACTGGGTCATTTTATTATTTATGCAAAAATAGAGATTGTATTTGTTACAAACAAAAATGTGATTTTTTTTTTTTGTTTGTTCTATGACAAATCAAATCCAGCATCCGCCGTAATTGCATACAGTAATTTCCTATTCGCACCAAAAAAATTAACAATTTTTTTTGAAAAAAAAAAAAAAAAAAAAAACCGCGGGGGTAAATTTAAATAGATGCACTTACTCTCTTAGGATTTCATAGTTACTATAATTAGGCAATTTCAACAAATTGACGCAGGTAGAGCTGGTAGGCAATCTTTCATTGGTATCACCCGCATTACGAAGACAAAACTGGGGTACGAGTTCCTTGAAACCTAACAAGGGTGGTCGAGAGCAAGACGTGACGAATTTGACAAACTTCATGCGTAGTGAATTATCAAACGACTCGAGGGCCTTCCAAAAGTTCTGTACGGCCCCATCGCGTTCTGTAAACCCTGCAAGTACGGTATGGGTACGTAGATCCCTCAGATCGATGGGCACGGAGGCCCCACCCAGCATAATCTGTAACTCTTGTGGATTAAACATGCGAAGCCATTTAATATCCACAATCGTGGACAATCCTCGAAAGAAGGCTCTGCATTGTTTGGCAATCTGCACATTCAATCGATAATTCGCCATCAGATAGATGTACTGGATTCGGTTCGCGTTCGTGACCGCGATTTGGCTTCCGTTCGCGATTAACTCTACATTCACAGACCGACCGTTCTCCAGATGCGTACTGGTAAAGTCCAAAGAAAGATCTTCGACATTCCCATCGAAATTCTTTACTGCTAATAATCCCTTGTATAATTCAGGGTCCAACGAGACCAAATCATCCACTTTTTTTTTTTTTTCTTCTTAGTCATTATCGATTTTTTTTTTTTTTTTTTTTTTTTTTTTAAAAAAAAAAAAAGCAGTACTTACAACAGTTGACCTTTCCAAGACATTTCTTTAAAAAGAATTCGGCAAATGCAACATCCAACAAAATACCCTCGTACACTGCTTTACCAATAATTAAGCCAAGGAACTTGAAATATTCTAATTTTTGGGCTATAAAAGAAAAAAAGAAAAAAAAAAGGTTGAAAAAAATCCCCCATTCCTGTGACAATTTTTTTTTTTTTTTTGGATGGCAGTAAAAACTTACGTTCTGTCGCTCTTGAGCTTGGATTTGGATAGATCAAATTATCCGGGGTAGTGACAAACAAACCATAATTTGTATCAAACGCTTCCACACTCAGACCTGTCAAAAACTCCTTGAAGACGCCACCACCATCAATCCCTGCCTCTTCCAAACCAAACTCATCCACAAAGGAAATAGCCACCTTATTTTTCAATTCGACGCCCAAGGCGTTGAGTGAATGAAAGCCGTCTTCCAACATATGGTCTCTTCTCACAGTGGCAGCGGCTTTGGGACGACTATAGAACTCATCAATCTTGTTACGTTTCTTGTCGTTCTGGACAAACATCCGAAAGATCTCGACACGTTGCTCAAAGGGGATCACAAAGGGGATGTTGTTTAACAATCCAAGGCGAGGACTGATCACGGCTAATCGACCCTTAGATATCATACGTAAGGGTCTGAGTGGCATGTTATGCTCCTGTTGTTGTTCGCTCTCCAGGTTAAACTCTTCCGCTACCGCTTCGCTGGAGAAGGTATCGGTATCCAAGTCGGGTATTAACCAATGATCTTCGGGACAGAAGGGTCGACGCGAACTAAAAAAAAAAAAAAAGATGGGCGGGATAAGATATATATATATATATAAAAGGCCTTCATTCTTTGGGGGGGTACTTACTCTCGCATATGAATTTGTTGCAATAGATGAGTGACACTGGTACGAAGCTGAGTTAATTGAATACCCGTGAATCCAATCGATTGTGTAAGATCCATACTGTTGGCACGCCAAAACATGACAAACGAAATATTCTTTAGTTGTGTACCTAATTCCATCACCTGCGTTAATCCCAAAGGATTGGAATGGACAGTGGATGGATTCTTTTCCAGAAATTCTTCATCGCCCAGGGTTAATAATAATCGAGTATAGACCTCACAAAGTAAGAATAAAACAGACCAACTTTCAAAGCACGTCTTTTTCGAATCTATTTTTTTGTGTTTATATGTTTTTAATGAAGGGAGCGTTTAAAAAGACCCCCCACACGAACCCCCCCCCCCTTTTTTTTTTCTCTATCTGTGAAAGATACATGTGTTTTACCTGTAATGGATTTAACGGCTTCAGATAAATGTCGAATGATACTTTGGTCCTCTTTAAAAAGGATGGATTCGTCCGAATCCGACCAAGCGTGCCATAAAATCTGCAGTAAATGGTGTGTATTGGAGGCCTTGTATAACAAGGTATTGAGGATGGTGTCCTTTTTCATGGGCCAACGTAACATGAGGGTATTGAAAAAGCTCGAGATAGATTGAATCACTTCACCGTTTCCTGCTGAGGTGGCCAATTTCATAAATCGGTATAATAAATGGTTCACGCGTTCCGAATCATACAGTAATCCCAGTCGTGCTCGTATACCCGGTAAAATTTCGTCTTGACTCTCACCGGGTACTTGTGTCGCCTCCTTCATGATGATATCCGGCTTCTCCTCCTCATCATCTGAGGATGAATCATCTTCTACATCCATCATATCGTGATTGACGGGAGCACTGGGGTCTGCTAAATAAGAAATTGGCAAATGCGTCAATAGCAATTGTACAGCCTTGGCATATTCCGTCTTTTTTTTTTTTTTTTTTTGTTATTGTTGTTTTTGAAATTAGAAAGGTAGTTTTTATCTCTCTCTCACACACACATATATATATAAAAGGACTTACAAGTGCGCCATCCAAGTATTTACCAGAATCAATATCACTCAATTCGGTAATATTCATTAATAATCCCGCCACTGCCATATCCTGCAATCTCTGTTGCTGTCCATCCTCATGATAAAACAAGGTAGCTGTTGTGTCCAAGATGTCTTTTAAGGGCAAATGAGTGACGAGTGCTGTCGCTAGATGATGGGATAGGTGATCGAGTAAGAAAGGTTGTGTCAATAATTCGAGGGTGAGCATGCGCACCAAGAGAGGCCTTGTGAGGTACTGGGTGTTTTTCTTGTTTTTTCCATAGGTTTGGACAAGTAAAGAGGCAGGGTAGTCATACGGCGGTGATAGAGTGGCTAATTGGAATACAATGTTTTCGAGCGGTCCCTTGTCCATGGTTGTATGCAGCATGACGACGTCTTTTATCTGGCGGAGTAAATCCGTGTTGAATAATGCAAAAGTTACAATTCGCATACGGTTTCTATCGTTCTGATGTTGTGGGTACGTCATCGGGTCTATTAACAGAGATAGCAATTGACACGCAGGCGCATGACTTTTTTTTTTTTTTTTGAAAAAAAGAGTCAGTTTGCAACCTATTTTTTTTTTTTTTTTTCTATTTTGTTTTGTACCTCTTGATGCTTTGTAAAAGCACCTTTTTAATTAGTAAGCAGGCAATCCAAATCCAGGAGTCGAGAGTCTCTTTATCCTGTGTGGTAAACATATCGGTCAAGAGACTGGTTGTGTTTGATACGGGTGATAATAGCAGCCCGATAAACCCGTCGAGGTAGAGTGCGTCCCCGGGTGTGGGTTGATAAAATAATAAGAGTTGTCTGGCCATGGTGGTAATGAATTTTTTCTTTCGGTCTAGGCATGTTTCGTTTTGAGTTTGTACAAGCAACTGTTCGAATTCTTTTCGTTGTTCGTGTCGAATGATGGAAGCTTGTTTACGTCCTCTAAAGAAGTTCTACAGAAAAGAAAAGGGGGGGAGGTTGTGAGTGTATTATATTATAAGACAGGTTTTTTAAAGATATTCACCTGAATTTGCTGTGCACTTTTGAGTTTTAAACGGTCTTGTTCTCTGGCTTTACGTTCAGCTTGAGCTTTGGCCATTAACGCACGTTTATCGTCGACCGATTTGACACCTCCCAAGTTAATATTACGTCTTGGTTTATAATTCCCTTCGAAGCTGAAATTCATGTCTCCTCTCTTGTTACGGTGAAAAAAAGAAGAAAAAAAAAAAAAAAAGGAAAAAGATAGTCCTGCCCTTTATATATATACATATATAAACGCGCGTGTATTTCAAATAAAAAAAAAAACGATAAGCGTCACACCCTTTTTTTTTTTTTTTTTTTTTTTTTAATTCTTTTTTCTTTATATAATTGTTGACACGATGAGACCTACAAGAAGAGCCGCCGCTGTGGCAGCCGCTGCTGTATCCCGACCTTTATCACCATCACCTATTTCTTCTGAAGACGACGAAATGGACAGCTCCGAATTGGAGGACATGGAGACGGGCGAGCAGGAAATATTTAGTGAAGAGGATGAAATTGAAGAGGATCAACCTGTTATTCACGATATCATGGACAACAATGACGGCATGGAGTCTTTATCTGAACAGGAGGATGACGAAGAAGAAGAAGAAGAGGAGGAGGAGGAGGAGGGAGAAAGAGAAATTATTCAGGCCGTAGACGAAGAAGAGGTAGACGAAGAAGAGGACGACGAGGAAGAGGATGACGAACAAGTTTTCACTTCTCGTAAACCTGTTAGCCGTAATCCAAACAAACGAAAGAAGCCAGGTAAAAAAAAAAAAAAAAAAAAAGATGAGATAGTATAGGTGCATGCAAATGTATATTCATTTTATGTGGGACCCTAGTTGAACAAGAGAGTGAGGAAGAAGGGTTCTCTGATGATGATGCGGAAATTGTGCAGAATCGACCCATGACCAAGCGACAACGGGCTAAAGTGTATCAAGAGATACCTGAAGAATTTTTGGAGTTACCAATGGGTAAAGAGAACATTTTTTTTTTTTTGTGATGTATATGTGGGGGACTAAGTCTCTCATAATTGATAGATACTGGCAAAAAGAAGCTTTTAACAGAAGAAGAAGAACAGTTAAAGAAATCCGAAGTGGCCAGAAGAAGAAAGAATCAAAGTATTCAACGAGCGGAAAAGGATAAAGCGGATACGATCAACCGATTATTAAAAAAGCAAGCTTCCAAGAGTAAACGTATTATTGATGATGGGGATGATAAAGGAACGACGGCCAATGAGAAATTAATGAAATCAGAGGATCCTAACCGTTTACGTTATATCCATACGTCAAAGGGAAGCCAACTTTGTATACCCACTGTATTTACACTTCAACAGATATTTGGCGAAACAATGTAAGCCTCTTTTTTTTTTTTTTACATATAAGTAAGGGGAGGGAAAAATTACTGATTTTTGTGTGTATGTGTGTCTAGTAGCAAAAAATCAACACCACCCGGACAAGTAAAGAAATGTGAGGTCAGTGGCTGTCAAAAGAATCGTAAATATACTGCCAAAAGAAGTGGAAAATCTGTCTGTTCGCTAGATCATTACAAGTTGGTCGATGCCATTTAAAAAATATTTTTTTGCGGAGAAAAAAAAAAAACGGTTTTATTATTTCAATAAAGAGAGGAGGATTATCATTGTATGTACGTGTTTATGTGAAGTGTGATGTTTCGTATTCTCGTGTGTCCATTTATGCTCTCTTACGGAAACCTTCTACTCTGTGTGTCTTGATGGTGCTGAAGTACATGTCAGCTAAATGACGACAAGAGTTGTCTTTTTTTGAGGGGGAAAGGCAATGTCAATATTATTTCTTTCTTTCTCTCTCTCTCTTTTATACATTGGTATCAAAACTTACAATGGTTGACACCTTCAGTTCTGTAACATTCGTCCAACTTTTCCTTGATCAAACGAGCTTCCATAACCTTGACCCAGTCATCACGAATCTTTTGGTTACGTGCAGCATAGATGGCTAATTAAAGTATTAGCAAGGGGGGGGGGGCATGAGTTAACTTTTTTTGTTTGTTTATTACCTTTGCTGTCAGAGGGATCGACTTGGTCCAATGTAGGGACACTAGATGGATGAATAAAAGAACATGTTAATTCCATGCGTTCATGTACTGGATAATTAAACATTTAAAAAGATCGAACCGTTCGAATTGTTTGTGTTCAGGGTATTCCCAAGCTTCTGTGGCGGTGGTGGACATGATTTAAAAAAAAAAGAGTAGGGAGTTTTTTTTTGTAAAGAAAAAAGGGTGGTGTTAAATATCCCAAATAAAAAAACAACAACAAAATAGAAACCCCGGGGCGTGTGGGTGTGTGGTTGTGAGGGGACAAGGCAGTTGGGGGAGACACCTTTTTTTTTTTTTTTTTTTCTTTTTTTTCCACTACCACAGATTACAAAAAATTGATTTTGATGACGTACACTTTTTTTTTTTTTTTTTTTTGGATGTTGCCCCCAGGAACAAATTCACAAGAAAAATAGACAAGCATGTATGTTTTTTTTTGAAAAAGATTATTTATTTAATGAAAAGAAGTTATATTACATGTAATTACAAACCTACTGAAGAAATGAGTTAATAAAACAAGACTTTTTTTTTAAAAAAATAAAGAGTTTCACCAGTAAAAATAAAAAGAAAAAATAAAAAAAAAAGAGAAAAGATCAGTGCTTCTTAGAGAAATTGTAACAGGTGTATGATTTAAGAATCACGAAACACAGAATGTTTGTCAATAATACACTTATCATCAAGTCAACTCTCTTTTTTTTTTCTTTTTTCTTTTTTTTTTTGAACCAAAATGAAGGCGCTTTTGTATATATATTTGTGATTTCTTTACCTTTTTTCGTGATCATTAATTGTATTTCCCCTCTGTCTCCCCAAAAAAAAAATAAAGGAATATGATTTCTAACATGCTCAGACATCGCCTTTTCTTCGTCATACCTCGAACAAAACCTTCCAGCTTTTTTTTTTTGGTTTTGTCGATATTTCTTTTACAAATAAAGACAAATGAAAGGGTTGAGGGATAATTACTTAAATTCAACGTTTACCAAAGCTTTCATCAGTGCAATATAAAAACTATATTTGAAGAAAGAAAAAAAAAAAAAAAAAAACGAAAAAAAATCTTTTTTTAGAAAAAAAAAAAAATTTTTTTTTTACCGTGAAGCAGTCCGTTATTTTGACGGAGTCCATTCTTTTTTTTTTTCAGCAGGAAAATCACGTTTTTTCCCCCCCCCCAAAGAAAGACAAACATTTTCCTAGTAAAGAGATATTACGCATCGAAAAGTAAACATGAATAGATTTTCTCTGTTACCTTCTTTTTTTTTTGCAGGGTAAAAGGGTGCCTTTTGTCCAGTACCAACTTGAATTTCTCTAATAGAAGCTTTGGACTCCTTTTTAAAAAAATAAAAAAAACGGTGGTAAAATAGCAGTCGTAAATTGACCTGGGGTCCTTAAAAAAAAAAAAATTAAAAAAAAAAAACTATAAAAAGCCAAGAATCCTCGGCATTATTATTGTTTCCTTATCTCACAACGACGAGAAATAAATTTTCTCAATAAGTGGCTTAAAAAAATGTATACTGGCTCTAATCCGGTACACTTTCTTATAGGGCTTCAAGATAGACGCTTGCAGTTTAAAACCTTTGTCGGAGGACTTGTTCCTTTGATTGACAATTGACCAATGCTGTTCGACATTGTTATTTTCTACTTATAATGAAAAAGAAAAAAAATATATATTACCGGATGGGTGACATTTCAACCTTGGGCAGTAATAGTCAACGAGGGATAAAGGCGCCTTTTTTTGTGTGTGTGTGTGTGTGTGTCGAAACCCAGTTCTGTTTTCTTGTATGCATCTTTAGCTTTAAATGATGTTGAGAAACTATGTTTAGCTTAGACAATAAAGTAAAATAAAGAATAATAAGTTTCAAACTTCTAAATTATGGTGGGCAAGATGTCTGTCTGTTGTGATCTATGAGCTATTAGTTAAGCTATCCATAACAGTCACTTCGAATGTTAGTTTATCGAAATACGTCCTATGAGGTATACATCGTCCAAGAGGGTGGGATAGTGATGAAAAAGTAGTTCGTATATCTTTACTTATTAAAATGAAGAGATGAATTAGTTTGCATCATTTTGAAATTTACAAATATGTCATGAAATTCCTCATATATTCTTTAACACAGATACCCTATCGAAATCACAATTTCATATTTGATTAGCTTTATTTTCGAAGCTCGTTTGCCTCAAAAAAAGAGGAATACGGAGACAATAAACGTGTATGTACATACATATATTAACAGAGCGATTTCTGTTGAAAGATATCTCTTCACTGAAAAGCATTAGCGTCTGTTTTTTTTTTTTTTTTTTTTTGCGTGAAAGCAAAGAGAATGCTGAAATATAGTCTGTGGAGTCAAGTCAATGACAAATGGTGGAAAACTGAGCTTTAAAAATGGAGGTCGAACTTATTGTGTAGATGACGAACGAGGATGATGTTCCTCGCATCAGCCAATGATAACTTGACAAGACCAAAAAATAAAAAATTGATTTTCCCCTCGCATTTTTAAAATAGATATAGGTTCCCTCCCATTGTTTTTTTTTTATTTTTCATTAAAAAAAAAGAAAGAAAGCAAGAATGGCTCAGTATACGTACGATGAGCAAGGCTTTAACTTTTATTATTTCCTCATTTCTGTATTGTCACTATGTCTTGTACCAGTGACAGGACAAACCTTTTATTCTTTATACAAGAAAGGAAGTAAGTTTTCATATCATCTCTTATGTAAAAATAAAAAAAAAAAACTCATCATGTTTTAATAGGTGGTAAGAGCAAAGACATTTGTCAATGTCAAACTTGTCAAAAGGAACGAAAGCATGCCAGTGTGGTCAAACCTAGCCAAGCAAAGAAATTGTTGACCAGCCCAAAGTAATTTTCACTTCATGTAACTTTGCGCGCGTCCCACTAAACACCCCCTCCTCCTCTTTTTCTTTTCTTTTGCAGGTTCCTTTTCTTAGTCATTGGTTGGGTAGCCGTTGTTCTTTTGACTATGCAAGTTGCCAACGCTGAAGTTAAATCCGTTAATTGGGATCCCTATGAGATTTTAGGCATCTCTGAGGTAAAAAAAAAAAATCTTGTTTTTCATTGCGGTTTTTCCCTAAAAAAAAAAAAAAAAACCAAATAGGGCACACCTCTTGCAGATATCAAAAAGACATTTAAGAAATTATCACTTGTTTATCATCCCGATAAAGCAAAGGCGGGTACTGAAAAGGAATCTGAAGAACGTTTCATTGACATCACCAAGGCCTACAAAGTGTAAGTTCTCCTTCCCACCTCGCGCGCCCTTGGGAACTCTAAAAGCTAAACTAACTTTTTTTTTTCTCAATAGATTGACAGATGATGATACACGTAAGAACTTTGAGGAATTCGGTCACCCTGATGGTAAGCAATCCTTTACAATGGGTGTTGCACTTCCCAAGGGCCTTGTTGAAGGAAACGGTTTCTTTGTCTTGAGTTTCTACGCTCTTGCTTTCGGTTTAGGTTTACCTTATTTTATTGTAAGTCTTTTTATTCTTTTTATATGTGCAAAAACAAAAAAATACTGAAGCAAACCCATTGGTAGGCTCAATGGTGGTACAAGTCGCGTCGTCTTACCAAGGATAAGATTTTGAACAAGACCATGGGTGTTTTCGTCAAGGGATTAAAGGAAAATGATGGATTTAAAGGTAAATTACACTTGACAATTAGAAAAAAAAAGAGGTTAAGGGGGGGGGGGGCGGTAGGAGACTACTATACAAAGATGTTTATAAAATAACGCTTTCAAAAAAAAAAAAAAATTAGAAATTGTCCATGTTTTATCGGGTGCACATGAATTTAAAGAATCTACCGACGTTCGTTCGGGTAGTGAGGAAAAGGAATTGACATTGATCAACAATAGTATTGCAGAAGAATTAGAAAATCGATTGGGAGAGAAATTTGATCGTTTAGATGCCAGTGTTCCTGGCTACCGTCGTAAAGCTCGCACACTTTTATATGCCCATTTCCTTCGTATCGATGTAGCTACCAAGGGTTCTAACGCGCTCTTGAAGGATCAAAAGTTCATTGTGGATAAATCCATTCATATCTTGCAAGGTCTTATGCAGATTGCTACTGTCAAGCAATGGTTAAGTTCTACCTGCGCTTTAATGGAATTACAACAACATCTTTTACAAGCTACCTATCCAGGTGAAGCCAGCATCAAGCAGTTACCCCACATCACGAACGCTCTCTTGCGTAAGTATTATCGCAGTAAGAAGGTCCATGTCAGTACCGTCCAACAACTTTGTGACATGTCTGAAGTCGAACGCAAACAATTGTTAAAGCCTCTTTCCGATACCGAATATCTCGATGTCATGGAAGTCGCTCATCGTATTCCCAAATTATCTGTCAAGAAGGCTGTGTTCAAGGTCATTGGTGACAAGATTATCACAACAGGTGCCATCATTACTTTTATTCTCAAGTTGCAAAACGGACAAGTGACTAGTGTTGAAACGACTCAAGAAGTGGCCAAGGTAAATGAAGAAGAAGAAGAGGAGGAAGAAGAGGATGAAGCGATTGTTTCTTCTCAAGCTGAAGAGGATAAAAAGAACAAGGATGCAAAGACATTGCCTATGGCTCATACACCTTATTATCCCGGAGAAAAGAAGCCCTGTTGGTGGATTTTCTTGGGTGACCCCAAGGTGAACCGTATTTTAGTTCCTCATAAAAAGGTCACGGATATTGTGGATGAACAAACTATCAAGATTCCTTTCCCTGGTCCACCCAAACCTGGCGTATACACTTTCTCTCTCTATGTTAAATCAGATACTTATACCGGTACAGATATTCTTCAAGATATTAAGCTCAAGGTCCAAGACCCATCGGAACTTCCTGAGGAAGAGCCTGTGGATGATAGTATCTCTGAGCCTGAGGAAGATTCCATTGCTGGACAGATGAAGATGATGCGTGAACAAGGTTTTGCTACTGCTTTAGCTGGTGGAAGTAAAGATAAAAAAGAAGAGAATGGTGATTCAGATTCGGATTCTTCCTCTGAAGATGAAGCAGATTATGTTACTGAATCTGATTCTGATAAAGACGAGTAAAAAAAGATAACATACATAAAAAAAAAAAAAACTTTTTTATATGCCTACATATATATATAAAAAATAAAACAAAAAGATATACACACTTTTTTTTTTATTTATTCTTATTTCTTTTTCAACACGGCAGGACTTGCGCCAGCACGAAATAATGGGATGGGAGTAGGTGTAGCACCAGGTCGTCGGATGGATCGACTGGTGGCATGTAGACCTAAAGGAGAAGCACCATAGGAGGATCGTAAAGCATCCCCAAATCCTGATTCTGCTCGTGGTGTATTATGACTTTTACGAAGCAAATGCTGTGCTGCAGGTGAGAACATACCAGCCCTAATGAAACGCGTCGTAAGTATTTTTTTTTTACACACGCAACAACAACAACAAAAAGAAGGGGTGGGTGAGGAGGTTTTTTTTTCTTTACCCTGAACGCGGTGTTCCTCGTATATTTCGTTGTTGCTCACTTGTCTTTTTTCGATATGCCTTGGATGCTTTCTCTGATAATCGCATACCTAATTGTTCTCTTTTGGAAACTTGCGGTAAAGAAAATTGAGGACCTGGAGTTTCTGATCCAGGTAGTAATAGAGGGGTGCCTTCAATGGAACCCCAAGTCATTTGAGGTGTTCCCACTCTGGATGGACTAAGTGTGGGTGTTGATTCGACTAGATTATATCCTCTGACTCCCGGTGAGGACGAACTATCATTCAGCCCATTTAATTGATTCCACGGTGTCAGTGATCCTTTGGCTGCCGCTCTATCGGACGGTGCCAATATATTTAACGCTTTCTTTGTCTACTTAGATAGACACACACACATACAACATACAGACAGAGAATGAGAAATGGTTGGGTGTGTGCGGGGGGGGGGGATGATGCTATAGCCTTATTTTTTTTTTTTTTTTTTTACCTCGACTGTGCTAATGACGTGGGTATTCTCGTGTGCGATTGCTTTAGGTTTTGATCGACCGTCGTTATCATTGACCCAAGATTGACTTTTACCTTCTGGGAAATACATGAGAGCGTTCCTTGCCTTATATTTCCATCCTGAAGGTGCTTTTTCATTCATTTCAATGAGTTGAATAGGACTTTGATCATGAGGTTGATCGGTGATGCGTAATTGTTTCGATTCACGGTCAAAGAACCACTTGTTTTGTTGTTTTGTCTTGATGTTTGCTTTCTCTAGTAAATCGGTAAATGAAGCATTATCTTCACTAGGTTTTTTTTTTTTGTTTTTTGTTTTCGACGTTTGTTAGCTTTCTTTTTTGCTGGCATGGCCCCCCCCTTTTCTATAGAAAGAGAAAAAAAGTTTACCTGGTGTAAAGTGTTTGGAACTGATCGAGGGATAGATTTAAATTGACTCTGTTTTCGATCTTTTGTTCGTTTTCTTTGTAATAGTTGACACCTTGGACGTCGTCATTGAGCTGAGCTTTTTAATAAGTGAAAAAATAAGAAAAGTTTAGTGGAGAAACCCAAAAAAAGAAAAAAAAAAAAAAAAAAAGAGAGAGAGAAATTACAAGTTCTGGGATGCTTTAGGTCGTGTAGCTCTTTTCCTGCTTGCTGTAAATCAACTAAAGAACCTGTTGCTTGAGCTTCTAAATAATTTTGTTGGGCTCGTAGTCTTGCCAAGTTTGGAAAGAAGTCTCGTTCGATAATGAGGCTGATGGCCTCTGTGTAGGTATCTTCGTCCAAAACTACCGGATTCGACATTGGTTTAAATAAATAATGAATGAGAAAAAATAAAAAAAACGATATCTAAAAATAAAAAAGAAATATCAATTAAGCAAAAAAAAAGTTTAACTGACGTCACATAAAAATGTATGATTGGCTTTAAACATGTAAAAAGAGATCAGTAGTGAACAGATGCATACTGAGTTCTAAAAAAGCATTTGGGGGTGGGGACGCACTGTAAAAAGATGGTTTTTTGTTTGCAGACACCTCTTTATTTTTCTTTTTTATCATTTTTTTTTTTTTTTTTTTTTTTTTTTTTTTGCACAACTCTTTTTTTCCTTCTTTTTTCTTTCTTTTTCTTCTTTCGCATACGACGCTATAAACGAAGTTCTTTTTTGTTTGTTTGTGGTAACCAAGACAACTAGCAACCAGCACAACAGCAACGAGCCTATTCCCCTTAATTTTTTTTTTTTTGACAACAAGAGAGAATGAGTTCATCTCTTAGCATGTTTCAACATAAAATCCAACCTCGCTCTTCAGCCGAAAGAGACAATAGTTTTTTATTGCATTCTGCATTGAAGGCAGCTTCCACCGATATAGCGCATCGATTATTGGATTATGCTTCTTTGGATAAGATGGATTGTGAGGCAAGCTGTATTTTAATTTCCCTGGCTAATCATGAGCCTTCTTCACCCAAAAATCATGACTTGGAGCCGAAAAAGGTTTGATAGGCTATATAACAACATTGGGCAAAAAAAAAAAAAAAGAGAGGGGGGGGTGCGCAAAAAAATACGAAAGAGGATTTAAAGTCAGATGATAATAACCTTTTTGTTTAACATTGTAGAATATGAAGGAAGAAACAGTAGTTGATCAGCCCGTAAGAGATTTATTATTATTTTTTTGTCATTATCCATGTGATATTCACTCTCCTTTTTGATAGATTGTAGTAGAAGAGAAAAAAGGTTTGTTGTCAAAAAGAAAGGGGGAGGCAGTTTTTCTCATATATGTGTGTGTGTGTGTGTTTTTTAGTGCATGTCGCACCAACATCAAAAACCGATCCAATCATGCTTTTGATGGCAGCAGCCAAAGTAGTGGATGGTAATGATTTAAAGATGGAAAGAAAGAAGAGACATTCTCACCAGCGATCGATGGATCGTGAGGCTTATCCTAACGGGAGATATTACCTTAAACAAAACAACAAACGAATACGTACAAGCCCACCTTCACCTGCTCCTACTAACACTACTCATTACAAAGTAGACACGTGGCAGAAGACAAAGGTTAATTCTTACATTAAAAAGATACAAAAGCTTAGATTTTTTTTTTTTGGAGCTAAAAATCCACATTTTTTAACCTTAGGAGTATCCTGACAACAGTTTTTCAAGGCAGTATCATTCCATGGTAAGTTAAACCCTCCCCTTATATATATTTCCAGATTTATTAACCCCCTCAAAAAAAAAAAAAAAAAAGAAACAAAACCCAAAAGTCAAACAAAATGCCTTGCATACGTATATCACTTATATGATTTACAATGACTTGGCTCATGGAAATACAAGAGTGAGTTTCTTTGTCCCCTTTTTTCTTCAAAATAAACCCGCATTTATTCTTATTTCGTTTTCTTTTTTTTTTTTTTACAAACAAAAAAAAAAAAAAAAAAAAATTACAGCAAACATATAACACATCATCAACGACAACATCAACCAAAGCAACAACGACAACAACAACAATTACGACACCACCTGTTTATAATAATATGACCACCAAATACCAACAAAAGCCATCTTTATCCTCTTCTACTTCTTCCGCTGCCACATCCGCCACGATAGCAACACCGATGGAATCACCATGGTATCATCATGACGATCGATCCATTCTGGCCAGACCTTTAACTGCTTTTTTATGGAACAACGAAACATCATCGGCCAATTCATTGGATGCCGGCCGAAAAGACATGATGATCTTACCTCCTCTTTCTTCCAATCCAAGACCTTCACCCTCCATCAGTACATATGACAGATTACCGCCTGTCTAAACCAAAACTCAAGAGAAGCAAAAAAAAAAAAAAAAAAAAAAAAAAAATTTAAAAAAAATTACAATAAACAACAATAAAAAAAAAAAATTACATACCTTCAGAAAAGAAGAAAGTGCCCTCGTATAATGAGCATGACAATGATACAGACCATAAAGATCCACATTTTAATATGTTTATAAATACGTTATCCTTTTCCCCTCCCCCTTTCTCTCTCATACACTCATTTCCCATACAGACACACAGATATGAATTATCTCTTTTCTCATCGTACTTCTGTCTCCCAAGGTAGAATCACCAGTTTAGAAACCTCGCATTTCCAACACCTTTCTATCCGTCATATCTTTCTTTTGCGTGCAAAAGATCTGGTCCTCAAATGCATTCCCTGTAAGGACTTCATCGTTGACATCTATCAGACCTTTAAAGCTGTCCGATCAAGACATCATCCAACAAGAGAGGTCCGCTATCATGCACCCAATACCATCGAATACGTTCCCGATACCCCTGCTATGGTAAGTCCTCTCTCCACCGACACCGTCTCCATTTCCATGCCCGTCGAAAGCTCCACAACCATTCAGACTTGGGCCTCAACTGAGCCTTTTTTTGATATTGTGAGTGGAAATCAAAATCATTTGCCACAACAACAACTTCTTGTTCATCCACAACAACAACAGCCTCTTGTTCATCCACAACAACAACAGCCTATTGCTCATCCACAACAACATGTCGCGCCTCCCCCACAGGCTCCCCATGGAGGTCAAGTACCACCCCAAGGAAGACCACCAGCTCCACAAGGAGGTCCTATGCTTAACCAAATCAGACCACCCCATCCTCAGGGAGGACCTGAACTTAATCAAGTAAGACCACCACCACCACCTCCCCAGGGAAGACCACCCACTGCCCATGGAGGTCCTATGCCTAACCAAGTAAGACTACCCCATCCCCAAGGTGGACATGTATTACCCCAAGGAAGACCACCCACCGCGCAAGGAGGAGCTATGGCTAACCAAGTAAGACCACCTCATCCCCAAGGAGGACAACCCATTGCTCAGGGAAGACCACCCACCGCTCAAGGAGGAGCTATGGCTAACCAAATGAGACCACCACCTGCCCAAGGATTACCACAAGCTCCTAGAGCAGGACCTGATCATCATCAAGGAAGACCCCCACCACCACCACCACAACACCAAACAAGACCTACATTGATCCTACCCGCACCTCCTCATCAAGGAATTACAATGGACAGAGTAAGACCTATGATGCAACCAGGATTTCAACCACCTCGACCCCAAGATAATCAAATCAGACCAGCGGCTGCCCAAGTCACGTTAGTTGAGCCCGTTCCTGTTCGACCCGTACCACCACCACAGCAACAACAAGGGAGAGCACAGAGAGGACCTGGAGAGCCTTTAGTGGTTCCAGCAAGAGCAGCGGATGTTGTCAGGACCCCAACCGCCAACCGAGCGAGACTCATTGTGACTCCACCTCGTGTTGCAACAGAAAATCGACGAAGAAATGCAGTGCTTCCACCTGCCATGGAAGATATGATAGCAGCAGCAGCAGCAGTAGCATTAGCCGAAGATGAGGCGGCAGAGGCAGAGGCAGAGACAGAAAGAGCGGTTATGATAAGAAGAGAACAAGCATTTGTCCGACCCACAGGGGAGGTAGAAGCAGCTAGGATGAGTGCAGCTTTACCTGAAAGTGCCATGATACTAAAGACCCTCTTGGGTGATTATGACCGTACTGTATTGACCGAACAATGCGATACTTTATTACAAACCGTTATTACCTTTGGTTCCTTCTTTTTTGATCTCTTTAGAACACTTCAACGTGAGGTCTCGGATGAGTTTTTTTATGATCCTCTTTCAAAATATGAGTTCTTTGAACTTCATGGGCATGGGTAACGTTTTTTTGTTTTTGTTTTTGTTTTTGTTTTTTTTTTTTGTAAAAAAAAAAAAAGAAAAGAAAAGAAAAAATTAGATACGATTTCATACTAAACTATTATACGTATAAAAAAAAAAAAAAAATAGATTGCATGGTGGTGTGAGAAAAGTAAGACATTTGGGAACAAATCAAGATTTTGCCATGAAGTCTATTCTTACGAATTACCGATACCATACTACCTGTGCAGGCTATACGTTTCAAGCGTTACAGGAAGTTCATGTTTTAAACAACGGCCGTCATGAAAATGTAGCTTCTCTCCGAGACATTTGTTTGTACGGTGAACAAGTCTTTATCTTTATCGATTGGATGAAGATGACTGTGCGAGATTTTTTTGAATCGAAGAGAGTGGAAGGAGGTATGCATCAAGAAGCGCTTGTCTATATTAGTTTTGAGGTAAAAAGTGAGAAAAAGATAAAAGTCTATATGAAATTCTAAAAAAAAAAAAAAAAAAAAAAAATTGGGATTTTTTTTTTTTTTTTATGTTAAACAGGCAAGTAAAGGTATTCAATTTTTACATGAAAGATTGGGACTTTTCCATGGTGATATCAAGGGAGACAATATCATGATTACGCAAACAGGTAAAATTAAGGTGATCGATTTTGGTTTTGCTGGTAAGAATGATCTACGCGACATTATCGGTCCTCGTGGAACTCCTGGGGTAAGCTTTTTTTTTTTTAAAAAAACGGAAACAACAGGGGCAAACACAATTACTTATATATATATAAATAGTACATGGCACCAGAACTCAATGATCGTTACGGTTTAAATAGCACAGCGTCGGATGTTTTTGCCTTGGGAAAAACGTTTCATGATATGCTTGAGATTAACTCGGGTTATGATTCTCAATTGATTGATCTGACTGAAAGAATGGTGCATTTTGAAAAAGACAGTAGACCCACGATGGAGGATGTTGTTACCGTAAGTAACTCTATTTTCTCTTTGATGAGTAAAGATGGTTGAGTGGTTTTCTTAATTTTTTTTTTTAGGAATTCTCCAATATGGGACTACCTAGAGCAAATGCAGACAACTTGTGTGAATACATGAATTCCACAGGTCCTTATGTTCCCAGATAAATAAAAAAAGAAAAGAAAAGAATTGGACTTTTTTTTTTTACATTAAACTTTTTAAAATATTACACCATTTTAATAAATTAGACTTGTAGTAATAATTCAATTAAACTTAAATACATCACGATTTTAAAATTTTATATCAATTTAACATGGTAGCGTTCTACAAAGACCATACAAAAGTGCAATTATTAAAAGTAGGAACTTTTTTGCACGGCTCGTATTCTGATTTTAGGTAAATAAGAAGTAGGATGATTTACATTTTTAAAGACTAATCCACAAAACGCACATTGTATTGAAAAAAAAAATCCTCCCGATTTTCAAAGCATTCAAACTAACTTATGTTTTATCATTTCTATGTAATAATAAAATGAATGTGAGACGCAATAGAAAAAAAAAAACAATTAGGTTGTTTTAACGCCTTTCCCTTCCTTATTGTTCTGCTTTCTCATCAATTGGGCATTGTAGTTTAATAAAGACAACCATTAAACAGGTTTAAAAAATAAAATTCATTGGCAGATAATACTAAACTGTTTCTAATTGACAACCACTGATTGTAAATTAAAATAAATAAATAAATTGTCTTTTTTGTTTGGGAATATAATGAATTGGCTCATTTAGAGAATTAGATATTTCTTTATGCTTGCTATTGTTCCTTGTTCATTCATTTTTTTTTAGATTATAGAGATTTATTATTATGCAGGTGTGTGCCTTGTACCATAATAAAGTCATTTAACAAACTACCAAAAAAAAAAAAAAAAAAAAAAAAAAAAAAGTGACCACATAATCATCCACCAGTGTACTTTTTAAAAGAAAAAAAAAGTTGTGGCGATTATAGTACCATCGTAAATGAGACAAGATCATATAGTTTTGTCTATGGTATTATTCATTTACTACAATGATACTCATACAATAGAAAGACACACAGCCTCAAGTATATATAAAAAGCTACCATTTCACTCTTTTTTTCGTCTTCTTCTTTCCAACAACTTCTCTATATCACTCTTCCCATATACTTCTCTTTACTATTATATATAGATTTCAATCAACATGATCTTCCTTCGTGCCAATCGAGATACAATCATCCAAAGTAAAATCACCGTCCCCGAAACGAACCATCGTCAAAACCTCTCTATTCCACGTATCGCTCTTCACCGTGCCAAGAATTTTCTTGCCAAATGCATCCCTTGCAAGGAATTGGCGTTGGATGCGTACCACCTGATCATGGCTACCCGAACCAAGTACCTTGGACTCTTGGAACAACCTGTTGAGGAGCCCAGTGATTATGGAAATCGTACTTATGCACCTCCTATTACTACTACAGCAACCGATTTGCTTCCATTCACCCGCCAGACAGCAGAGCTCACTTTCTCTTGTACCTCCACCATCATCGGTCCTGAAAGAAGTACAAGTGAAATCAACATACCAACTCAATCTTCTGTTTTATTGGAAGGGGAGAATGTTAGACGCGTTCACGATGAATCCGTGGTGAATAGTAGCTTCACCCAAGCATTGGACGTCACTCTTATTTCAGACGAAACACAAGATGGTACTTTGGAAACAACTCAAGAAGTAGCTACTCCAACCCAATCTTTTGTAATCTTGGAAGAAGAAAATACTAGAAGTGCTAGTGATGAACTCATGTTGACTAGTCCCAGCCAAACATTGGACGCTGCCCTTATTTCAGAGGAACCGCAAGATGATACTTTGGAAACAACTCAAGAAGTAACTACCCCAACCCAATCTTCTATACTCTTGGAAGGAGAAAATACTAGACGTGCTAGTGATGAACTCATGTTGACTAGTCCCAGCCAAACATTGGACACTGCCCTTATTTCAGAGGAAACGCAAGAAGATACTCTGGAAACAACTCAAGAAGTAACTACTCCAACCCAATCTTCTGCTGTTTTGGAAGGGGAGACATCGAGACGTGTCAGCGAGAATACCATTGCCAGTGGTTCATTCAGCCAAACAATGAGCGTTCATCCTGTTCCCACGCTCAATGATGAAACACACTACCTTTCTCATGTTCAAGAAGTAGCTGTCCCCACATCTGTTGATGTTACAGAGCAAGTGATTCCACGTGTTGTGCGTAACCTGTTTACAAGTGTCCCAACTACTTTGGATCCTATCCCTCATCATGAACAAATTCAAGATTTCCAAGTAGTCACTGTCCGAGAAGAAGGCCAAGTGACCTCAACGAACTCTTCCGATTTTTCCGACGAACTGGAGGTGGTAGAGGAGGATGAAGAGCTTACCTATGATCGTACTTCTAACGAAGAAGATAATGAAGTAGTTGACCGTTTGCAACCCGAGCAAGAAGTGACGGAGATTGTTGTCCCAGCCTTTGATCAGACGCCTGTCGGATTGCAACGTGCAACATTAGTACAATTAAACAATAGGGTGGAAACGCATGTCACTGAGGACGTGCAATTAGAAGAAGAAGAAGAGGAGGCCAGACGATTGACGGAAGATGAGCAAGGCTATGCGGACAACCACCAGGATGAGACGATGGACGAAAGAAATTATACGGCTCAAGACCTTGCTATTTTTGAACAAAATGCATTGTTCAGGAGAAGAATGCAGAGAGAAGTAGTGGCGAGAAGGGGAAAAATTCCTGTGTTTGTTCGTAGAGATTTGAACGATCCAAGCTCTTCAGAGGCGTCCAGTGAATACTTTGATGCACAAGAGGAAACGCAACCCGTCGATTACAATACTGTGATTGAAAACATCGTGGGTCCTTGTAACAGTGACGAATTAGAGGAATATGAGCACAATCCTTACAAGGTGCTTTGTGATTTGGGACCACTCCTGGATATCTTGAAAGATAACAAGTATTACACTTTTTGCTATGATGATCCCAACAAGGTGTATGTCATTGACAGGGATGCAGAGGGAGGAGGGTAAGCTTAAATTCGTCTTTTTTTTTTTTTGATGATTGAGTGGAGGGATATCTAACAAGTCAATCTTTTTGTAAAATGTTTTTTTGGTAGAATGAATGGTGGTGTACATAAGGCTAGATTTCGTAACGATACAACAAGACGCCTCTACGCTATGAAGACGGTCTTGGTTGATTTCCACAAGCCTACGTATCATGGAAAGTTGACGGAAATTCGATCTGAAGTTCGCTTGTTGAGACAAGAACATGATCGTCTTGCTCGTCTTTGTGATTTGCGTATTTACAACGGTCGTGTCTTTATCTTTACGGATTACATGCCTTATACTCTTACAGACATCATCCAAATGAAATATAACTCGGGTATCCATAACGATGTTTTAGTACACATCTTTCTTCAGGTATATTTCAGACACTTAAAGCACAAAAAAAAAAAAAAAGAAATGCTAACTTTACTTTTCTTTTTTTTTATCAGTCAATGGAAGGATTGGATTATATCAATAACACATTGGCCATGGTTCACGGTGATATTAAGGGCTGTAATATCATGATGGATAAAGATGGTAACATCAAATTAATCGATTTTGGATTTTCGGGATACCCAACCGACTCACCAGGCAGTGGAACTGAAGCAGTGAGTTCATTTCCCATAATTTCAATTTTAAGAGAGAGAGAGAATGCTTACCTTAATTCTTTAAATTAGTTCATGTCTCCAGAGTTAGCAGCGGGTGGACCCAATACGGCTGCATCGGATGCATGGGCTTTAGGAAAGACCTTTCAGTATCTTCTTGATTGTAACAAGGGTCATCGTGAGCCTTACCTCAAACTTATCTGTAAGAGCTTGATGGCCTCTACGCTTGAGGCCAGAATCACAGTCCGTCTCGCATTTGAGGTACAGTATTAGTTTTGACAGATATAAAAGATAATTAACGAATTGGGTGTATTAGATGCTAGACTTGGCTGTTCGCAGTAAATGGTTGGAGAAGGCAGAACCCCAAACTGCATTGAATCATGTTGCATCAAATGCTTAAAATAAATATATATATAATTTTTTTTTATAAAATTTTTTCAAATCTTTTTATTGTTTTATAAAAGAGAATGTCTTAGATACTAAACTATATAAACAAAAGAGAGTATAATTTACTCCTCGTCAGACTCTTCGGCAAGGGTCATGGCGATACGATCCAAATCTCTTTGACCATCTTGAGTGATCTTACGGCCACTACAAAGATTTTTAAAAATAAAAAGGTAAGTTGAATGAATTTTTTTTTTTTTTCCCCACTGAAAAAATCGTTTAAATATTTTTACCCCTTCTTGTCTTGTTGGAGGACACCAATCTTTTCCAAAGATTGAAGAACCTTACGGTTGACGGAACCGGAAGCGTTACAGTGGTGAGAAGGACGAGAACCACGGTTGAAAGTACCACCGTGAACCTTGTTCAAAGCACCAACACCAACGGACTTACGGATGTAGATGTGACGGGCAACGGAAGCTACATTTAGGTTTTGGTTTTGTCAGCCTTTTGATTTTGCTACCTCATTTCTTTATTTGACTTACCAGCACGGATGAAATACCAATCGGGATCATAAGGAGCGAGTTCCTTGAAGGTACCGGTCTTGACAAGATCGACCCACTTAGGGACCTCGAGCTTACCAGTACGCTTGAGATAGGCAGCATAAGCCTTGATGAAGGCTATATAGATTGGTTATAAATACGTTAGTCTATCATGTACATAAAAAAGATATCCAAGAGAGAGAGAGAAAAAAAAAAAAAAAAAAAGCCAAGCCACAAAATCATCGATAACAAACTGAACCCAACCCCCCTCTTTTTTAAACAAAGTTTCAATAGATTCAATCGTGTTTCGTACTGTCAATAGGGAAAGCATATCCAAAAAAAAAAAAAAGTATCCATTTCTTTCATGAAAAAAAATTGAGGGAGGGCAAAGCGTATTTTTCCAACGGGTCATTTTTTTCCAGAGGGAAGGCTATAATTTTTTTTTTTTTTTTTTCTTTCTCGTAATGTATATATGTTTTTCTTTTTTTTTCTTCTCTCTCTCTTCCTTCTTGTTCAATAAGAGTAAAAAAAAAGTAGAATATCGTACCGTGAGAGTTAACGTCCTTGACAGTGATACCAGCCATCGTATATAATGCACTGAATTCGAGAAGCAAAAAAAGAGAGGGCTTTTCCAACTTTCGCACCTCTGCCCTCCTCAAAAATAAAAATTTTCTTTCCCTGCCCCGAACAAAAAAAAAAAAAAAAAAAAAATCGTGTCCACGTCACTTTACGAGTCACAAAAAAAAAATTAAAAAAAAAACCTCGTTACACCAAAGGCCCCCCCCTTTTATTTTTCTTTTCTCAAACAGCTGCAGGTTGGTTCTCTTTATCTGTTCTTCCACGCTTTCTATTACTAGATGCTTCCACTTCCTTACGATAAGGTGTAGTTCTCTATGTATATATATATAATAAGAGTGTGGGTTAGTGTATAGATGTACATAGGCTCCCCCCCCCTTATTTTTTTTTACCTCGACTACAGAAGTACCATCCTTGAAACGTGTCTTGAATAAAACATTGGCGTTATTAAACATACCGTCCTTAAGAGATACCACCAAGAATTGGGATCCTTTAAATCGTGTACGTAACAGAGAACCAATGTTTTGGGTATGGGATAAATCAAGAGCTGCGTCCACTTCATCGAGAATATACATTGGTGCAGGCTTAAATTGAAGCAGTGACAGGATCAATGACAAGGCAATCAAGGATCTTTTTTTAGAGTGTGAGTATGTCACTCAACATATATATATTTTTTTTTACGTACCTTTGTCCACCACTTAATTCAGTCAGACTTTGCTTCCAAACACCACCCAGACACACTTTGACTTCCAATCCTTCTGAAATTGATTTTCCTTCAGGTGCTTGTAATTTACACTTATTTCCGTCCAGGAGATCACCGAAAATATCCGAGAAATCTTTATCCACCTTGACAAATGTCTTTTCGAGTGCCTCCATCTTGTAATTTTCAAGTGTGACAATGGTATCTTCAATTTTCTTCTTATCCTTTTGGATGGTCGATAACATTTCCTTTAAGGCCACTTCCTTCTTTTCAACATTATCAATCATATTCATCACACGCACATTGATCTTTTTACGTAAGGATTCATGTTTAGCACTTGTCTGTGAAAGTTGCTTCTTGATATCTCCCAGATTCATATTTTGGAAATCATACACTGTCCCCGCTTCTCCAAAATTTTGCTTTTCATCTACAATCCATTCATGTTGCACTTCCATTTCCTTCACTGTCTGTTCGGAAGTTGCTCTTTCCTTTTGGAATCGTTCATTCTCATGGGCAATCTTTTGTATTCTCAGGTTGAGTTCGACACATTCCTTTGATTTACGTTCATGGATGGTACATAATTCGTTAAACTCTTCATTATGAGCGTTCAAGATACGTCGTTCGTTGTCCAATTGTGCATGCGTCTCCACAACCGCTGCATCAATCCCATCCATCTCTTCCTTCATGTTCGTAGCGTTGGCTTTATATTCAAGGATGGATTCACGTACTTTTTCCATATCTTCATCACATGTCACCATATCCGTCTCCATTTGCTCTTTAAATTTTTTTTTTTTTAGATCTCTCCCCCCTCGTTACCACACACACTCTGTAGATTTACCTATTTCAAGCTCAAATGTTTGAACAGCACGCTCCATATCCTTGAGTTTAATGACACTCTTTTTCAACTCCTTTTTCAATCTTTCAACGCGAGCCTAGAAAAATCGTGAGCGGGGGGGGGGGAGGTTAAGTATTTAGTTATACTCCACACACACACGCACACACAAAAATAAGATTTACCGTCATTTCATCCAACTTTGTATCCTTGTTATTGTTGAATTCATTCATTTCGGATTCAATTCGCTTTGATTCTCGGAGTGCCTTTTCTTTATCCTCTCTAGCTTTATCCATCACCTCTTGTTGCTGTTTGATTTGCTCCTTTAAAGTTTCTACACGTGCAGCCAACTACAAAGAAAAAGTTTAGAACAAAGGAAAATTTGGATGTGTAACAATCGAAGGAACATTTTTTTTTTACCTGGGCATGAGTACTTTTGCTCATACGTTGCTCAAGTAAAGAAAGTTCATGACTTTGAAGATCCAAACGCTGCTTATATCTTTTGTATTCTGCAATAGATTTTTGGGAGGTTTCAATTTCCTTTTCTAAATCATGCAAAAGCTGTGTATGATGTTCGATATCGGCGCGTACACCATTTAATTCTTGCACTTTGATCAAGATACCTGCGGAATTGGGCTTAGAGCCACCACTGAGGGTACCATAAGGATCATAGACATCGCCATCCAAGGTAACGGACTTTGTACGGATGCCTTTATGAAAAGTGACATCTTTGGCGGTCTTTGCATCCTCACAGATAAAGGTACCACCAAAGATCCATTCCATGGCCCCAAAGACTTCCTCTTCATAACCGACCAAACTCAAGGCCATACTTACTTTTCCCGGTGCGATACTTTCTGCCAGGCTTAATTTGGCATCTGAAATTTTGGAGCCCTGAATTTTGTTGAGAGGGATTAAAGTCCATCGACGTCTAAGTTTGCCTTTATCGAGAATTTGGGCACCAATCTTTTCGTTTTCGACCACGACATTGTATAGTTTTCCACCGGCACAGATCTCGAGTGCAGTGGAGGCGTTAAAGTTTTCCTTGTCGAGATAGATTAATTCCGCTACCAGTCCCTTGACTTTGGAACGGTCGAAATCGGAGGTTGGGTTGGTGTATTGGAAATCAAGGCTTGATAGTTTTCTAGAAATGGTTTCTTGTTTCTAAGGGGGCGGGACCGAACAAAGTTTTTCTTAGTACGTGTATTTACACATTTTTTTTTTTTTTTTTTTTTTTTTTTTTACTTCGTATAGTTCATTGATGGTGTCTTGCTCTTGTCTCTTTCTAGACAAGAGATCAGTTTCAATTTGTGGATTCCAATCCAAGACACTTAATTTTTTCTATCAATAACACAGTGAAATAAGTAAGGTATAGAGAACAGTGAGGGGGGGGGGTATCCTATGGATCCAGTACCTCCAATTCAACAATTTCGGCCTTCTTCTTTTCCAAGGAAAGCACAGACCCTTGACTTTCAGCCAAAGCTCTAGCAGCTTGAGGTTCCTTTTCCGAAAGTTCTTTACGCATATGTCTCATCTTTAACGAGGCTTGTTCCTCCAAGGTAGAAGCACCATTGGCAGCGTTTTTGGATTGTTGAAGCTGCTCCATGTATCCATTTTCACGGCCTTCTTCTGCAGAGATACCTGTTGTTAAGGTCTGGAGCAGTTCATCCGTGTTTTTCATCTCCTCTGTCTTTTCGTCATAGGTCTTTTTAAACAATTCGTATTCGTTATTCACTTTTTCGTACACGTCCTTTTTTTCATTCAAATTTCGACTCAACTTTTTTTTTGATTTAGAATTTGTTTTATAAATTATGATAAAATATTTTTTTTTTTACCTCGCCTCGTTGTGAGGATAATGATGCTAGTGCGCGTTGTTCATCCGAGATGGAAGATTGAAGTAAATCTTTCTTGGTATTTAATCGGACGGATTGAGTTGAATAGTCCTTGATCTTTTTTTCCAATTCTCGAATATTACTTGAACTAGTGGAATTTTGTCGCATTTTCTCAGATAATACATTCTTTTCCTCATCAATCTTTTTGATCTCGTTTTGGATGGTCTTTACATTCTGCTTTAACTCCTCCATCTTGGTAGTCCTCCCTTCATTATCCACACCGGATCGGTTGAGTCGATCTTCGTGCTTTTTATACTCGTATGCTACTACCAATCGATTCAGTCTTTCCATCTCGGCTTCGTTCTTTTGGAAATCCAAATACACTCTTTTCTCTGCACGCAAACGATCCAATTTCGGTATAATGTCTTCCAATAGAAGCTTTAAAGAGTTAGTTAGATAGAAGGCTCTCTCTCTCTCTCTCTTTTTTTTTATATATATTTTACCGTGTTGATCTCTTCGACTTTACGTTCCTTTTTAGCTATAGTGGCAATCGCTTTTGTCTTTCTGTCCTCAAACATCTTGGTGCCGGCAGCTTCTTCTACCATACTGAGAACTTCGGTGGGTTTCATATTCAAGACTTTGGTGATACGTCCTTGCATGATTAAAAAATGAGGATTATTGATATTCAATTGAACTGACTGGAATAGACTTTGAACGGTTTGTTGTTGTGCATTATGTCCATTGACAATATATTTCGTTCTTCCTCCCATAAGAATCTATATACATATACATAAAAAAAGGGGGGGGGGTTTCAATATATAAAGACGTTTTTAAAGTTTGAGTAGTAGGACGCATACTTGTCTAGTCACGGTGATTTGTTCATAGGCTTCGAATCCAACAGGACTTTTGTCTCTCTCTCCATTGTTGAATACAACTGTAACGGACGCCTTTGTGACACCGGCTTGACCACGTTTATAAATCAAGTCCTGTAAGTTATTGGCACGAACCTAAATAAAAAGTATGATTTTAAATATATATATATATATATTTTTTTCACTTTGTGTGTGAGAATGAGAAAGACGCCTGGCGTTTTTCTTTGGTTTTTTTTTACCTGCGAAAGATTGGTGATGCCTAAAACAAAGCAAATGGCGTCTAAAATATTGGATTTACCCGTACCGTTTAAACCGGTAATGGCATTAAATTCTGGGTCCCAGCCTTTAATTTGGGTTCTTGATACATAGGATTTAAAGCCTTCAATGAGAAGTTCTTCAAGGTACATTGTTTTATCTGAACAACAAATGATAAAAAAAAAAAAAAAAAAAAAAAAAAAAAATATTAAAAATGAGTGTGTTAAAAAAAAATGAACGCGGTCACGAACATTTGGGCGATTAATTTACTCGCGTTTTTTTTTATATATTTGAGAGTGAAAGAAAGATCGTGCGTTCAGAAGGTAAGATGCACGTAATATATATATATAAAAAAAATTAGGAGAGTTATCTGTCATTGACATACAATCAAAAAGACCATCGTGTGCTTCTCTTTCTCTTTCTCTCTCTCTCTCTCTCTCTCTCTCTCTCTCTTTTGTAATAAGAAAGAATGAAAATAAATAGAGTTGTGGGTTTCGCTTGTTATGTATTGTTTAAGTTATGGACGGTTTATGCTAATGAACAGCAAGCGTATTTTGAAACGTGCCGTCGAGCGTGTAACACGGATCTGCTCCCAAAGATCATTGATTTAATGAATTCTTCCACGTTGGTGGATTCCCAATACAAGACCTTGGCACCTTATTGGCAGACCTGTCAATACCGATGTTACCGGTGTTTTTTACCTGGTGCCGTCATCGGCATGAACTATCTGAAGCAACTTTTTGCTATACGGGAGCAGAACAAGGCAGGTTCATTGGTGGAGATTGCACGCATCATAGACAAAATGGATTGGAGTTTTCGGGATTGTTATGGCAACTGGGAAAAGGCCAATAGTGAAGGGGACTATGATTCAACATTCTAAACTAAAAAAAAAAAAAAAAAAAAAAAAATTATTTAGCACATGGTTCAAAAAATAAAAAATGCTTATTTATTGTACAAATTAAAAAAAAAAACATTTTTTTTTTAGAAGCTATCCCCGGGTTCTATTTCTGGATTTCCCAAAAAAGAAGTTTTACTTAATTAGAAGAAAAAAAAAAAGGGATCCACTTATTAATAGAGGATTTAAAAATACACACTTTTATATTTTCATATAAATACTCGGTCTTCAACCTCGGTTTTTTTTTTCTTTTTCTTTATCTTTATCACTTATAAAACTCTATTCAACATGTTGACCAAACTCTCTCTCGAATTGCTCTTTGCTATTTTATCCAGTCTCATTATGATGGTGATCTCTGATGACTCCAAACAGCAAGAAATGATTGATGATCACCAACTTTAAATGATCTTTTTTATTGAACTTACATATGCAATCACCACACACACACAAGCCCTTTTTAACTGAAGAAGAAGTCATATTCCGCAGCGTCAAGTACACTAATTTAAAAAATCTCCCAGCTACCACTCTCTTCCTCCCGCGGCAAACGGTGAAAAAGAAGGTTGCATCGCGCCATGTGGGGGGAAGGTTTCCATCTTCCCCCTTTAAAATCATATATCGTGCTAATGATAATTTTCACTTTTTCACGTTTTCTGCTTCATTTATAATTTCTTGTAACACATTTTTAATAATAAAAAAAATCTTTTTTCTTTGTGCAACACTTTGATTGTTTAAAATGATTCCCCCTTTCTTTTAATTAGCAAACGTGGGAGTTAATCTCCTCCCATCCCCACGCACGCACACAAAAACGGGCCTTATATATATAAAAAAAAGTGATCTAAATAAAAAGGTCGTCAATTGGGGGTTATTTAGGGTTGAGCCACCGCTTATATGTTAATTTATTAAGAAAAAAACACGCTATTATTTTCATTATTATTAAAATAATAAACTTGCGCGAATAGAATCCAATGTCCCCTTCCCCCATATTAATTAACATATTCCTTTTTTATTATTATTATTTATTTGCATTAAACAGGGTAGGGTTGGTGCTTCCTAGCCCTGTTTCACAAGATCTAAAAAAAAGAAAAAGAAATATTTTTTGGCCCTTTGTAATGTCTCAGAGAAAGAATGAATCCCTCCCCCTCCCCTCCTTTGTTCCTCGCCTTTCAAGGAGAGAATGAAGTTTGTATATCCTCCCCTAAAGTTGTATAACCCACTAGCAATGGGTGGATACAATGTATTTTAGTGCTTGCTACACAAAATGATAAATATTTTGACACGAACACCCCACTTGAGGAAAATGCATTTACAGAGTAAAAGGGGTGGTTTATTATTATTATTATTATTATTATTATTATTAAGCAAATAAGAAAGCGTCTAAAAGCACCAAATAAGCATTGGCTTGGTCGTATTACTTTATAAAAATTACTTTTTGGTTATAGATTCTCCAAAACTCACATAAATCTCCAAAAAAAAAAAAAAAAAATGATTGGCGGAGTTATTCCAAATGGGGGCTACATCGATTCTGTTTATGGAAAGTAATGGGAATTAGATGTTTCGAACTCTCTTTTGTATGTGAATGATAAGCGTTTTATTTATGGGATGATTTTTACTCGATCTATGCAAAAAAAAACATCTTACTTGATACGCACACATGGTTTCTTCTTAGTTTTTATTTACAGCGTCTTCCCCCACCCCAAAAAAAAAAAAAATAGTTTAAAAACTCCACCGGTATTCCAAATACCAATCAACTAAAAGAGAGAGGGTAAATCATCGATCTGCAGGTTACCCAGGGTCATTTTTCCGCCTTATAATAATCTAGACCTAGACTGCAGACAAAACTTTTATATTGTATACAAACAGAAAAAGTTTCTTGATCTACTCATACGCCCCCCGCCAGATCAAAACTTTTTTTTATTTCCCCAAATGGTCACCTGCAAAAAAAAAAAGAGGTTGTCCTATTGGTGTAACGGTCTTCAGAACTTTTTTTTTTTTGGGCCACCGTCGCACGTTCATTCGTTTTCAAATCTATATTCCCAAGATACCGGTGTAAAAAAAAAAAAAAATACGGATTCTTTTTGTGCAACGGTGCAATTAAGAGAAAACTGATAATGGTAATTTTCTACTTTTTATTTAAACAATTTGCTTAATGGAGTATATATATGCAAATTAGATAAAAAAAAACCCCACTCATATGAACACATTGCGTAACAGACAAACTTTTTAAGTTTATCATTTGATGCTTATTTAATTAAAAGACGTGTTAGTCAATATTGTCCCCCTCAGCACAGATGACGAGAAGTGTCTGGATATCTTGATTCCATCCGCATATAAAAAGTGTTTAATCTTTGACGTTGTACATGTGTGTGCTCCCCCCTTTAAGGCATCATGAGTCACCAAGGTTGTCTGAACAGAGGGATCGCATTTTTCTAATTCACCCTCTTAAAAAAAAAAATGCAGATAAATTCATGTAAAAACGCAAGAGAGTTTAGCTCTCACACTATTATTCCACAGAAGGGTCAGAAAAGTCTTACAGCATGCTGACATATTGGATGATCTAATCACGTCGTAACGCTTCATTTGTACCAGGTCAAGTATTCTCATGCAAGTGTTCGAAAGTGACTTTTAACACTTCAAATCAAAACTACTGCATACACAGCAAAAAAAAAGGGGGAGCAACTCCCAAGGCATATATAAATAAGCTGCCAGATAGGAAATACCATTACTCATGATTTATGCATGAACTTCATTTATCAGAATGAGTTTCTGTACCTCAGAGAAAACGTGGTTTCCAAATGCCAAGACATCAAAGTTTGAAAAAAAAAAAAAAAAAGGCGGATACCCAAATAAAGTTGGTGATAAATGATGAATTAAAAGGCTCACGTTCATGCCATTTCAAAGAAAGAAAGAAAGAAAAATGCCAGATTCACTCATTCCTCTTACTGTTTGCAATTAGCTCGGATGGGGTTCCGTTAAAATGAAATAAAAATGAATACCTGCAGTTCCAGCCTAACATATTATTAGAATATATATAAAAAAAAAAAATCCTCAGGTATTATTCCCAACCGTTGCTTCTTTTGGTTTAGAGCATTCGTCCATCATTTATCGCGCCTTATATTTGTGACTCAACAGACGAGATAGCATATCAATCCATTGAGATTTTGTTGCTCGCGTTTTAAAGTAAAAAAAAAAAATGTGTATCAAACCTCATTGTGCAAAACCATAACTGTGGTACAGTTGGGGAATTGTTCATGTTGAATATTGAAGCTCGCTCATACTGCCTGTATCGGTCTATCTATCCAAAAAAAAAAAAAAAAAAAAAAAAAAAGCCTTTAGGAATGTATGTGGTAGTTGCAAAAAAGTGATGTACCACCCTGAGCTACACTACTTATAGTAATTTCTCTTATACTATTTCAATAAGGGGAATAGTGCCATCTTTTAGCGTATAAAATAAACAGTCCTTTGTTTAATCAAAATCAAAATTGGCTGTACCCCAACAAAAAAAGCGTATAATATAAAAGATGCAGTTTTTTTCCTTGTTTTTTCTTCCTTTTTTTTTTTTTTTTTTTTTTTTTTTTCCAAAATACGTTACTCAACCATGGATAACCAAAGCCTCATAGCATGACCGAGCCAATGCACCTTCAAAAAAAAAATGTGAGAAGAGCCAATGACAGGTTTTATCAGTAAAGGACTTCGTTACATCAACCCCTTTTCGTCTTTGCTCAAAAAGGGTATACAACCGATGAACAACTTGCGCCTACTGCCATTGAAACAAGTGGTGGTGAGCCAACTGGTATTGGTAGTGAGCCAAGTGCTGCTATTAATAAACCAAGTGGTGGTATGGGTGAGCAAGGTGCTGGTCTTGGTGAAAAAAAGTGGTGGTATCGGTGGTGCTACACTATGCGGCGGTGTTATTGCTAGTGAACCAAATGTTAATAATAGTGGTGAGCCCAAGTGGTGGTATCAGTGTTGTTACACCAAGCGGTGGTATTAGTAGTCAAACAAGTGCTATCCATAGCAGTAAACCAAGTGGTGGTATTGTCGATGAACCAAGTGCTGATAGTAGTGGTGAACCAAGTGGTGGTAGTGGTGATGACCATATTCATGTAATTAATCATTCGTCAGACGATGAAGATCCAGAAACTGAAAATATATCTTTCTTTCGGTTATCATGACATGCTAACTAAAAGTAAATAGCCGACTTTTTCAATTACCACAGAGTCTGTTTCTACAGCATGAATTTGAAGTGTCTGAGACCGGGACAAACGGTTAAATGACAGCGTTGATCATTCATGGCCGGAGCTTAGATATCCTTCTTGTTGGGCAAGTATAAACAAGGAGTGAGTATTGTAGAATAAAGCTTACTGCTCTTGATAAATGAAGGGCAGTGCTTAGGCATCCTTCTTGCTGGTCAAAAGTCCGTTCACTATGCGCGTGTCTAAAAAAAAAAAAAAGAATGGGAGCAGTATCCCGATAAAGAGTGGTTTTTTTTTGAAGGAAAAGTAGATTTATCATGCCATAAACAAACTATCGGCTCTTCTGAATATATCATTATGGGAGTTATAAATTTATTTGGAATCGAATTCTTAATAATCATTTGTCAAAGTAGAAACAAATGCACACGATTTATCAATGTGAAGCATTTGATTAGGTACCTTTTATTTAAGTAGCTAAACAGACGTGATTTTACTATCGGTTCCCCCCTTTCCCCTCGTGTCATTGTCTCACTCTCTGATACCGTAAGAAGATCCTGAACAGCACATAACATCCATTTCAACCGCCTCTGCTTGATGGAATCTCTAAACTCAAGTTGATCATGATACACGTGAGATTATTGCAAAGAAGAAATTTGCAAACAAATGCACGATAAATTATACTTTTTTAAGATTCTCTGCTTTTATCCCCCATCCACTATCTTTTTTTCATTGATCCACCTTTATAAAAGATCTTGGATTATTAAGTCTCAAGAAACCTCTTTACTTTTCCTGCGAATTCCGTTTGTGGTTCAAGTCCATTTGTTGTGGTTAAGTCGAGTTGGAGTCTATTCGATTTTTTTTTTTTTTTATTTTTTAATTTTTTCAAATGATATGATACTGCTGTCCAGGATGGAAAAAATACAAATTTGTTTTTTGTTTTTGCTTTTCTTTCTAAACGCATGATTAGATTTGCATTCCCTTTGCTCTCAGCTCTGATTTTGCCTGTGTAATTTCCTGAGGAAAGATAAATTTTAGTTATATATATAAAGAGAGCTCACAAAAAGAACTACTTACTCCCATTAGTTCATGATAGGCTTCAGGACAATCACGGAATGTATACATTGCAGATCCGATATTTCCCAAACAATAACTTCCAAATGTCACAAGTCCCCACCAAGGAAGCTACAAAAGTTTTTTTTTTTTTTTGTGAGCATATAAACGATATAGAAAAAAAAAGGGGGAGGGGGGGAAACGCGTGAAAATGATATCTATCTTACAACAGGAATAATTTTTTCTTGTACAGTTTCAGGTAAGGGAAAGATTCCCAAATAAAGAATAATATATGTGGCAATGACAATGGCTCCTACTGTATAAGCTTCTGTTGCTCTCGTCATGGTAATGTAGATGGATGTTTTTTTTTAAAAAAAAAGGGAACGATGATTCACACCTAAAAAAGAGGCACGATTTTTTTTTATTTTATAACTGCGATTTTGGGCTACGGTGAAGTTTTTAATTGGGCAAAAGGTGTATTAGCCAATGACGGACCCTGTTTTGCCATCAGTAAATGAAAAGGGGGCTCCCCCTCACCACTCCTCCCCATCATGAAACTCCATCTGCTTATTGAATCGTATTTTCAGACCTATTTCCCTTCCAAAAAAAAAAGGTGATGCTGCTGAATTTGGCTTACCTGTCATTTTCAGTTAAAATCAATCCCACCTTTTTTTTTTTTTTTTTTTTAGCTCCTCAAAAGCTTATTATTCTTCAAGCATGTTTCTCATGTTGATAAGTTTGAACAAGTGGTTAAAAGTATCATGATAAATCAATCCCTTCCACCTTACTTTTTTTTTACCTTGTTCGATGATCGAATGTTATTGGGGGATAGGTTTAACCTGTAAAAGAAGAACAAAAAGGTCACATTTTGCACAACAAATCCTGTTTACCAACTCAGAACCTGTCTGTGTCCTCTTCCCCACTCAATGGAGAAATACTCTCTTTTTCTGAACATTGCGAATAATCAATGGTAATGTCACAATTTGATGAGAAGCATCATGTTTTAACAGTGTTAAATTTTTTTTTAGGCAGCAGATAAAGCCGTAGGTGCTGTCGCATCATTTGCCACACTAGGCCTATTCGTGTATTATTCCACATGGACATTAATTATGGTAACAAAGAAAAACAACAAAAACGTGGAGAGAGAGAGAATAAAAAAAGTACTGATTTTATTGTAGCCTTTTGTGGATGAAGGACATCCATCTCATAATTATTTTCCAGCATGGAAGTATGCAGTCAAGATACCTTTACTGATTGCTATTTTATTATTTACTATTGTTTTCACATTTTTATCACTCATCATGATTAAAAGTAAACGAGACTAAGTTGTAAAATAAAATGAAAAATTGCCCTCCTTAATCGCCCTTTTGTTTAATACGTAATGTATCAATCATTTGTGCTCCATGCGCTCTCGTTCTCTTCTTTTCCATAGAGATCAAGCTCGGTTTAACTGTAAAATAAACCGCAGTACCGATAGCGATGATCACAAAATGACAATAGTAAATTTCACGCCAGACATGCATGATTTTAGAAACATGGAGTAAATCAAAGCAGGGGACAAGCATGTTGAGTAACCCCATGGATGCGATACAAGTACTCACATCATAACACGTCTTTAGGTAGGGTATTGGCTTGCCTTCCACTGTTAGAAACAAGGGGCGAACTGTGCGTCGGATCTGCCTTGATAGGACTTGAAGACTGGATGAAATCAAAAAGAACACTAAAAAAAAAAAAATGTAAAATCATGCTTAGTTTTTTTGTTGTTGTTGTTGTTGCTGTTGTGATCCCCCCCAGCAAGGGAAGACTCCTTACGGTAGAAACCCGGATGAAACCCGTGCCATAAGGAGGAAACAATATAGGTTTTCAAGGTGGTGCTTAGTGTACCGGGTGGATTAAATCTTAGATAGACGTAATGTCGAAGCCAATGATTGGCTCCAATGTTCCAATTCTCTGTCAGCATTTTGTAGGATTGGGCGAATTCACACGATAACACATTGACATTGGTCAACTTGTTCCATAGGGGATGACCATCCCTATCATAGCCATTAAATCCAAACCCAGATAGGATACAAGCTCCTTCGGCCAAGTACCAGACGCTGTAATATTTACAGCGCGTCAAGATAGCTGATAGCTGTATAAAGAACATTCTACACTCATCTCTCATCCGTTAGTTTTTTTTTTTTTTACTGTAAGGTTTTTTTTTTTGGGGGGGATGTTTACTTTACTTGTACAAAAAGGAATGAGAGGACCATTCAGGCTTGAGTGCTTCAAAATAATTAAAAGTAGGAGCCAAATAGATTAATGCGGCGATAAAAAAGCAGCTTTTGACGAGCCTCTGACATGCAGGACCTGTTTCATTTAAAGGGGATGTTCTCTTTGATTCGACGAAACGGAGATAGTCCATGTATTCACAGGTAGGACCTGTTAAGAATCCAGCAAAATAGAACAACCAGCCGAAATATTGTGTCAATGTGGGATATTCTGCAATTTTCATTTGTTCGTTATGGGCTGTCCATTCCGTCATGCGCCCATCCGCGACGTTAAACCCGTAGGAAGATAGTTTTATCGTGATGATCATGAGAGCCCCTGAATAATCTAGCTCGGTATCACCTTCAAATCCTTTGAATTGACGACCGATATGACTGCACAGCAAGTTTGAAAGAAAAAAAAAAGAAAAAAGAAAACATTGGTAAATATATATAGATTGGCTGGTGGGAAGGGCCGTTGTTCTTACCAGATGGACATGCTTATCATGACAAATGTAAAGTTGATCCAAGCAGCATATTGTCCCTTGTAATACTTCATGAGCCAAAAAGACAAGAGGCCAATGGTGGTGATATGGATAAACCCATCATAGAGTTTAAGTACAGACAACATGACGACAGAAGAGTAGATGATGGAGAAGACATGCTTTATCCACTTTTGTTCAATACGTTTAAAGAGGAGCGCACAAGGATAGGTTGATAAAATAGAGAATGCAAGTTTGATATGGTCTGGAGCTACTTTATCACCAAGCATAGCAGATGCTTTAACAAACAATGCTTCCATCTTTTTTTTTTGTTTAATTTAGGGGGAAAAAAAAGAAAGAGTGAACATGAAAGGATAAAATGAAATCTTTATATAAGACAGGCTCAGTAGTTGTGTGTTACCAGCCACAGTCGCCCAACACACATAAAAAAAAAAAACTTGTAGGGATTTAATTTAAAAAACCACCCTTTTCCTTTTTTTTTTTTTTTTTTTTTTTTTTTTTTTTGCACTAAACAAAATGTCTCATAAACCTTTAGAATCGAGTCCTTTTGAAGATCCCTCCAACCCTTTCCAAGACCCTTCCATTACGTCTGCTTTAAATTCGAGTCGGGCTGTTGAAGAAACATCGTTTACACAATCCGAAGATGTGCCCTTACACGATACGAGTTTCCATCATGTTTCTGACAATCGAGACCCTTTTGGAAGCAGTACAACTGTGAACAAGGGTTATTCACCACCACCACCGGCTAATGATGAGTTCCAAGCACGAGAAGAAGCACTCCGTCAAAAGGAACGAGAATTAGCTGACAGAGAGAGAGATTTAGAAGAAAGACAGCGTACGGGAGGCTTTCGGGGTGCTAACAACTTTCCACCTTGTTTCCCCATCTTGTATTTGAATATCGTGACAGAAATCCCTGCTCAACATCAACAAACCGTCATGTGGCTTTACAGAGAATGGTTATTGTTCCTCATTACTTTGCTCTTCAATTTCTTTGCGTGCCTCTATGTCCTCTTTAGTCACCCTGATTCCGTCAACAGTGCTCCTACGGATATGGGTATAGCTTTAACCGAGTTATTTACACATACCTTGGCAAGTTTCTTTTTATGGTACAGGCCTGTTTACAATGCTTATATGAAGGACACTTCATTGTATTACTGTAAGTTACAAAAACAAAAAAATAACGTCGTACAGACCAAAAAGAGAGAGAGAGAAAGAGAAAAAAGGGCTGAAGATTTCTTTATATCTGTTAGACTTTTATTTTGTTTTTAACGGGTTCCACATTCTTTATTCATTCTATATGGGTATTGGTATCCCTTCAACGTAAGTGTGAATATGTATATATATATATGAAAAAAAACTAACAGTATAGGATAGTGGTGGAGCTGGATTGATTTTATTAGTGACGTTATTTTCTGAGGATTTTATTGGACCTGCAGTATTGACCTTACTGGCTACGATTGGATGGTTAACGATGGGATGTATGGCTACTTATCTTTACTGGAAGACGTATAATCATTACAAGGCAGCAGGTCATACATTTAAGGAAGCAAAAACCGAAGCATTCTCTCACATGGGACGGTCCACGGTGGTGCGTGATGCAGCCGTAAATGCCGCTTGGAATTCGGCTGGTGGTGGTGGCAGAAGATAAAGAAAAAAACCCCGCCCAATACAAAAAAAGGGGTAGCGGGCCAACAGGGGGATCACATGTAAAAAGGTCTTTTCATGTGAAAATAGTCAATGCAATAAAAAAAAAAGAAAAACTATCTCTCTCTCTTTTTCATTTTCCCTTTTTTTTTTTTTTTAATAAAAAGCTAAAGAGAAATGCACACTTTTTCTAAACCATTGGAATATTCCTGGTTTAGACAAAATAAGCTGGCTAGCACCAGTTTGTTTGCAGCTGTGATCATTGGATTGTATCAGGCCAAACAACAAATTCAAAGGACTGCGACAGAAGCCAACAAAAATAAGAAGCCAGCCAATCTTTCTTCCTTCTTTCCCATTATTGATTTTAATCAGAAAGTCGGCGTCAATAAAGAATTCAGACGTCAACTTACCTCCATTGCTGCCATCTTATTTCCTAGTTGGCATACAAAGGAAGCAGGTTTACTGATCCTCCATTCCATCTTTTTGATCCTCAGAACTTATCTTTCCGTTGTCGTCGCTCGATTAGATGGTCGCATCGTGAGAGATCTTGTAAGTTTTTTTTTTTTAAAAGGGAAATCATTTCTTTGTTTCATTAACTCTCTTTTTTTAAAAATCACTTTTTTTTTTTTCCCCCAAAAAGGTCAATGGTCATGGAAAGAGTTTCTTGACTGGTCTTGCCTACTGGTTTGCCATTGCTGTACCTGCAACCTACACAAACAGTATGGTAAAGTGAATTATCCTCTTATTTGTAAGCACCTCTATTGACCTCTTTTTTTATTACTGGATAGATCCGTTATTTACAATCCAAGTTATCTATCGGATTCCGAACTCGTTTGACCGATTATTTACATAAATTATATCTCGATGACCAAAAGACTTTTTACAAGGCGATTAATCTCGACAGTCGTATCCAAGGCGCTGACCAGTAAGTAATAAAAATGAGAGAGGGTATGGTGTGTAAAACACAAATAAATGACTTTTTCTGCTCTTTTTTTATAGATTTATTACAACGGATGTAGCTAAATTTTGCGAGACATTAGCGTCGCTCTATTCGAACCTGGCTAAACCGATTCTGGATACGGTGATTTTCAATTACCAACTGACGAAATCGATTGGTTTAGTGGGTATGGTAGGACTCACGATCAATTACTTTGTCACAGCCAAATTATTGCGTGCGGTGACTCCACCCTTTGGTAAATTAGCTGCGTTGGAAGCCAAATTGGAAGGTGATTTCCGTGCAGCCCATACCCGCTTGATTACGAACGCTGAAGAAATTGCTTTTTATAACGGTGCGGAACTCGAGCATTCGATCTTGAATAAGACTTACATGAAACTTATCAAGCACATTAACTCAATTTACAAGATCCGTATCACCTACAATATGTTTGAGGATTTCTTGATCAAGTACGCTTGGGGAGCCTTTGGTTTGATTATGTGTGCTATTCCCGTATTCACACCTCACTTGGTGGGTCAACAACAACAAGAAGCAACAACAATGAGTGCTGCTGCTGTTGTGGATGTAGATGAGAATGCAAAGATTGGATCCCGAACAAAGGGCTTTATCACCAACAAACGATTGATGATGTCTTTAGCTGATGCCGGTGGACGTATGATGTATTCATATAAGGAGTTGGCTGAATTAGCAGGTTATACATCCCGTGTCTACAACCTTCTGTCTGTCCTTCACGCCCTTCATGACAATAAATTCGACGGTCCCACCGAAAAGAAAGCTTATACCCTGACCAACATCCATGGTCAAATCAGTTTTGATGGCGAGAATGGTATCACCTTTGAAAATGTGCCCATTGTTACCCCTGCTCCTGGTAAAGACCGTGTAGGTGAAGTACTTGTCAAGAATCTCAATGTTCAGGTCCGTAAGGGAGAACATTTGTTGGTGACAGGTCCTAATGGTGTTGGAAAAACTGCAGTTGCACGTGTCATTGCCTCATTATGGCCCGTCTTTGGTAAAAAAAAAAAAAAAAAAAAAAAAAAAAACTTTTTCTTATGCATACTCAATTTTTTTTTTTTTTGTTTATGCAGAGGGTAAATTGACTAGACCTACAGATCGTGATATCTTTTATATTCCCCAACGTCCTTATTTAAGTCTTGGTACATTAAGAGATCAGTAAGTATGATAGAGTTGAGAGCCTATGTGAGTATTTTTTTTTTGTTAATAAGCCAAATTAGGGTAATCTATCCTCACACAAAGGAAGACATGATCAAGGCAGGTCGCACAGAAGCCGAATTGATGAGCATTTTAGAAATTGTTCATTTGGCCTATATTCCTGATAGAGAAGGAGGATGGGAAACCGAAAAGGAATGGAAGGATGTGTTTTCTGGAGGAGAGAAGCAAAGGATTGGAATGGCACGTTTGTTCTATCATCATCCCAAGTTTGCTGTCCTGGATGAATGTACCAGTGCTGTTTCTACGGATGTGGAAGGATTAATGTACTCGCATGCGAAAGATATGGGCATCAGTGAGTTTCTTTTTATGTTTTTATTTTTAAAAAAGAACATGCGTCATAAAGAGGAGGCTAATCTTTTCTTTTTTTTTTTGTGTGTGTGTTTAGCACTCTTGACTATTTCTCATCGTCCTGCGTTATTCAAATACCATCGATTCTTATTACGCCTGACGGGTAACCATGGTGAATGGGAATGGGAAACTATTGGTACGAAAGAACAATTACAATCGGTAGAGAAGGAACTTTTATCTTTGAAGGCAAAGTTACAAGAAGTGGATGCCTTGAAAAAGAGATTGGCTGCCATTGATGGAGAGCTTACCTTGAAAATCTAAAAAAAAAAAAAAAGACGAGTCACAAAAAAAAAATATAAATTTTTTTTTTTTCTCTCTTTGAAAAAGTATAAAATCCTCCCCCTCAAAGAAAGACTCTTTCTTTTTTTTTAAATTACCCTTTTTACCCCCCCGGGAAGGAATCATTTGGGAACAGTAAGTACATCACTCAAAAATAATAATATTGAAATGTTTGAAGGGAAAAAAAAGGAAGAAAAAAAAAAAAAGAGTGTTGATGATAACCAATCACTTCTATAACGCTTTATTTTGGTCGACCGTTTTGGACGACCGGGTGTCATGTTAGCTTATTTATGTCATAGTTACACTGAGCTGTTTTTTTTTATACATCCTTTCTTTTTTTTTCTTTCAAATGTTTATTTCATTTGAAATCTCAGTTTTCTAATCTATCATTTTTTCTTGCAGGTTATTTACATAATGGCTCGTTTTCTTATTGTTTCTTTTCCGAAAATAAAATAACTCTTTTACAAAAAAAAAAAAAAAAAAAAAAAAATTATCTGGGGGACTGTTGTGTGGCTTGTCCTCTTTTTTTTCTAAAAAAAATTTGAGTCCCCATGCTATGAATTTTAAATTGTTTTCGATTTCCCTGCTCCCCCCTTTTTTTTTCCTTGCCTCCAAAAAAGATGTCAAATGATCCATGGGATGATTGGGAAACTGCTGCTGATGCTGGCGTAAGAACAACTTTTTTTTTTTTGATTTTTTTTAAAAAAAAAGTCATTTTCCCTAACTGATGAAAAATCGTTAGTTAATCGATTGTAAAAAAGCCAAACCTACTACTGCTAGTGCAAATCAATTACTATGGGAAAAAGCGTAACGTCTAGCTTCCCACTATCTATCTCCCCCCCCCCCCCCACTTTTTTAATATATCTTTTTTGGTTGTAGTAACGCTTACGCAACACCAGTGATTATTCAATCCACCACTCACACTGAATACAAACCAGAGGTACACTTAAAAAAACACGAAAAAAGAAAAGGGGGGCGGAAAGCTAACTTTTCTATATATATAAAAAAAAAAAAAAAGTTAAAAATTCTCAAAAGACCCCAAGACGCTAAAACCAGAAATGATGTGGTTGTTGAGAAACCCATCAAGGCGCTTGCCGACAGAGAAAAAGAGTACATGGAAGCCAGACGTAAAATCTTTGAAAAGTTTGAAAACAAGAAATAAAAAAAAATGATTTGTAAGTTCTCTCACACACACACATGCTGCTTTTTTTTTTTTTAAAAAAAAAAAAAAATAAGGGCGCTGTCATCTAAAAAAAAAAGCTCGTTTTTTTTTTTTTTTTTTTTTTTTTTTTTTTTTTTGATGAACCACAAATTACAACACAATACCCTTCCGTATGTATCGATCTACTCTCACCATAATGTGAAAAAAAAAAACTCCTTTTCAAATTGTCCAACATAATACGCCCAAAACTTTTACTGCTCGTTTTTCTAAAAAGGTGGGTGGGGGGGGGGGACGTCTGCGTAAACCCTCTACTCAACAGCCATGTTGCTTTCTGGGATCAATGGGCCCAAACCCTACCTTTTTTTTTTATTCAAAGGAGGTCCCCTAAAGAAAAACGTGTTTCATCATGACAGGTTTACCTTATTAGTTGTCTCTAATCTTTCGAAACACATTTTACACTGTAAATAAAAAATCACAAATGGGCCTTTTCTCACCGCCCCCCCCCTTTTTTTTTAAACGGGTAATGAAATGAGAATGAAGGGCTCAATTGATAGTGAGCCATGAAATAAAAGAGTGATAGAGTAATGTGAGTGACATTATCAATAGATGCACATAATAATCAATAATTGCATAATCATTATTAATTTAAATTAACCAATACTACAAGCTCACAGCCTTCCCCCCCCCTTTTGTTTTTTGAATTAGCTACATAATGCGGATAACGAAATCAAAAAGGGGTAAGAGGGAATTGATTCCATGTGCTGCTGCTGCTACTGCTGCTACTGCAAAAAAAAAAGGATGCTATTCTTTATGGCATGTTTATTTCTTTATTTTACAATATATAGATATACTATTTTTATTGTCCTTCAATCCATGTATATATACTCCTCCACATGAACAGACAGTCATCTTTTATAAAAAAAGAAAAAAGTACACAACAATCTAACTTATTTGCGAAAAATGAAACTCACACTCAATTGGACACTCTACTTGATTTCTTTGTCAAGCCTATTTGCCTCTTTATGCACGGCTGATCCACACGGAGAACTCGATGAGTGTCGAAAGGCATGCTCCGACTTTATCCCACAAATACAAAAGTTTGCACATGGAGAGGCTCACCCACGAGAAGAGTATGAAAATGTTATCAAGTATGCTTGGACCACCTGTCAATACAAGTGTTATAAATGTGCATTAAACGATGGTATACGTGTCATGAAGGGTCTCTCCGGTATCTTTTACACCTTGAAAAAGGAACCGCCTTACGATCAAAAGTATACCAATTCATTGACTCGGACGTTGGAAAACACGACCTCCGATTGTTATAATCGATGGGATGCTGCGAATCAAGCTGGTGATACCACATCCATATTTTTATAGGTTTTAGTTAAATAAAAAAAAAGAAATATCGTTATTATAAGAGCCTTTTAAGTAGTGATACAATCAAAATAGCTTAAAATGACAGGGAGCTGCATTTAAAAAATAATTCATAGTATATATACTGGCATTTAAAAGCACCTTAGTTATTAACATCTCTCCCCTCCTCCTCCTCCTCCTCCTCTCCCCCCCCCCCTTTTTTTTCGCTTCTAAATGAGATTGAATGGATTAGTAGGGTGCGTTATGTCAAGTCTTTTGATGATGGTCTATGCTTCTACCTCAAAAGAAGACTACGAGGTGTGTCATCGTGCTTGTAGCACGGATTTTCTACCACAGATTAGTGGACTGGTATCCCGTGAGCGTGTTTACTCAGACTTTGAAGGCTTGCTTCCTTCATGGTCCACATGTCAATACCGATGCTATCGATGTCGTATCCCGGGTGCTAATCTCGCTATGGAGAATTTTAAGAAGATGTTTGATGAAAATCGACAGAATGCGCCTCGTGTGATTGTAGATATTGCTCGCTTTCAATGGAGTATCACGCGTAGTTTGGAAGATACTTGTTATACACCTTGGCGTGCTGCTATTCGGTCAAATGATACGGTCTCCACATTTTAAATTTTATTTTATTTTAGAAGTGCTTACCACTACTCAATTAATTTTTTTTTTATATATAAATCACTTGTTTAAAGGAAGAAAAAAAAAAGGTTTTCTTTGTCATTTTTTGTTTGAAATGCAGCATGATTGTGCAAAAAGGTGTGGTGAGATGAAATCGATTTTATTATGCTCTAAATAATATACCTTCATTGTTATTAATTTCTCTAACAATCACACTCCCTCATTTAGATCCCCCCCCCCAAAAAAAAGAAGAAAACAATGAAACTCGTACATGTATATCTATTATTATCCATGTTCTCAATGGACTTTATTATAGTGATGGTTCATAGCGAGCCAAGTTGGGAATGGTCAGCATGAAATGAAAGAAATAATGAAGCTTAAATAGCAAGAATTGAAACTAGCTATGATCAGTGGGTCGAGGACCCATCAGACCGGAAACACTGCATCTACATTTTATTTATATATTCAAAATAAAAAATAAAAATGTATGCCTCCCATCCCCCCCGTGTCATTGTTGTCACGATGGATTTTTTTCGTTTAAAAAAAAAAAAAAAAGGTGTCTCTTTGTACCCCACCATTCTTAAATGATATCAATTGTAAATGTACAGCTACTATCGAATGTTTAATTGTAACATGTTAATAAAGAGGTCTGTCTTTTTTACAGATATATAAACGCACAAGTTTTTTTTGTGTGTGTATCTACTTTTTTTTAATTATAACAGACCTCCACCACTTGTTTCTTGACAACGCAAAAATAAAATAAAAACTCCCTTTCTTTAACGATGATAGACCTTTTTCTCGCTTACACTATTTTCCCAACCGTATCCTTGGGGGTATTTGTTGTCTATCGTGCTACTCAGTCTTTAGGTAAGTTGCTTGGTGGACGCAAAGAAGAAAAAGAACCCGAAATCGACAAAAGGAATCCCAATTGTTTTGCGGCACTGTATAAAGAACACGAACAGGGGCAGTTCAATTCTGTTCAAGAAGACTTTGAAGATGCTCCCCATCTTACAATTGCCGGAGAGAATCCCATAGATGTAAATGATATCCAAAGTTCTTCTTCGGACTACCATGATACGACAACCCCATCTGAATCAGACAAACAGACAAACTCTACAGACGCTCACATGATAGACGTAACATCCCCCGTAGATACGGAATGCGTTCATAAGGCCTATGCTGAGATTGTAGAGGCGCAAAAGTATCTTGAACAATTGATGGTTCGATTCGCTCATATCATTCCTCACATGGAGAGTCAACCTCAAGCGGCGAATCCCCCTCCACTCATGGTTGCTCCTCCTGCAACCAATCAACCCACATCTCATCAAAACGAACAAGAAGCCGATACGTTTTTACAGGAAAACCACCCTGAAGAAGTGGACAATGTGACTTTACCTCAATTAGTGTATAACCATCCCTCTGTTTGTTATTACAAGATCAATCGACAGCTTCAGGAGGATAGAATAGCCGAGATTGACGGTGAAGTGGATACTGGAGATAATCAAAACCCATTTTATACACCCATTTATCTGGACCGTAAGACGAGCGATGGAGAAGAGGAGGAGGAGGAAAAAAGAAAATGGCTCACACTTCCAAGTTATGCACAACATCTCTCCATCTTGGGCTTTGATTCAAGGATATTTCGATTGCCTTTACCTGAGAAAGAGTTTAAAGCGGAAATGGCAATTGCAACGTATTTTGCCAATAAGGAAAATACACAGGCCAAATTAACGCGTCCATGGACTACGGAGGGAGAACCCCATTTTTCACGCTATATCGATATCTCACCTCAGGATCTCCATTGCTTTCATCTCTATCATTTGGCGCTTTTGAGAATGGTATCTGATAGTTATGCCAAAGGAGAGATGCGAGATTATATTACTTTATTTGACAAAAAGTTGGGAAGCGGGTAAGTTCTCTCACTGACCTTTCAAAAGAAAAAAAAAAACACGAAACCCAAAGCTCACACATTCTTCTTCTTTTTCTTAGTATGAATGGGCAAGTTTTGTTGGGAGAGTTCAAGGATGAAAGCATTTATGCGGACCATGTTGCTGTCAAGAGTCTATCTTCTTACCAACCGCACAGTATTTTTGACGCGTACTTGATAGTCCAAGAAGCGTACGTGATGACGCGACATCCTCATCAGAATATCATCCGAGGTATTAAGGTCTTTTGTAGTCAATTGGGACAACCGACCATTGCCATGGAATTAATGGACTGCTCCTTGTTTGAATTTATTAATCTGCATTATGTTCTACGTGGTGTACCTAAAAAAATTCCCGTAGACATTGTGGTCTACATCTTTCATAACGTAAAGTAGTTTGCTTTTATATTTTATACGTTTGATTTTTTTTACTAACTAACTAGAAAAAAATTGTACAGATTGTAAATGGTCTGGGACATCTTCTTGATATATTTGGTCTGTTCCATGGTGATATCAAGCCCGAGAATATCTTGATGCATGAGAATGGATCGATCAAGATTTCTGACTTTGGTCTGTGTAAGCGTGCTGGTAGAAGACATCCAGGTGGTACTGGTACCACGATGGTATATATATAATTTTTTTTTTTTGAAAGATTTTTTTAGCATTCCCCCCCCCCCCCTCACACATTCAACTTATTTTTAGTATATGGCACCTGAAGTTGCATCCAAGATCGTCAATTGTTACGAAAAGTCCGATATATGGTCCTTGGGAATTCTCTTACTCTTCTTACTGGATATTACGCCCCCTTATTATCACCAATTTACCTTTTCCACTAAAACAGAAAAAAAGCGATATTTGGCAGAAGGCACCTTTAATTATGAGCCAACAAGAGAGATTCATGCCAAATTTCAAAGTCTGATAGCACGTATGTTTATTCTTGATCCAGCTCAACGTATTGGTCTTTCTGAATTGAAAAGTGTAAGTTTTTTTTTTCGGGGGCCTTGTTTTCGCGCACGGATTTGTGTGCCGTGGGGTGGGGGGGGGGAGGCTTTTATTTCATATATTTTTAGTTGCTCAACCCACCGAATTTTTATATGTCATAGGATCTGGAAGTACTTATTCGAGCCAAGACAATTCCTTGTTGTACTCAAGATCAGTTTAGTGATTATTACCGTATGCGCACCTCTGGAAGTGAATAAAGCCCTTTTAAAAAAAAAAAATTAACTTTTTAATAGGGTAGTACAAATGATGTAATACCCTTTCTCTTATTTAAAAAAAGTAAAAATAAAAAAAAATAAAAAAATCGATTCTTTGTTTCCCTTTTTATTTTGTTTCTAAAATAAAAAAATGTCTTATACGAAAAGTAATAATTTTTTGGAGTAGCTTAAAAATAATCATGCTAACCATAAAAAAAAAAAAAAACCATTTTTTTCTTTTTTTTTTTTTTTAAATGGTTTGCTTTTAGAATACACTTTTGCTCCACTTCCTCATACGAGTCGTGGCGAGTCTATTAAACTTGATGCAGACCCCAAGGGAAAATCTTTTACTTATACCAATGGAAAATCCGTTTTCATCCGAGATTTGCAGGTAAAATTATCATTATCCCAAACGCGTCTTCAATGAAAGGGACTAAACGTTATTTTTTTTTGGCTAGAACCCTTCTATCGCAACCGAATATGTAGGTCATAAGGCTCAAACAACCGTCGCTCGTTTCAGTCCAAGTGGTTACTACATTGCATCTGGAGGTATATATAAATAAAAAGAGAGAGAGAGAAAAAAAAAAGGGGGGGGGGGTTGGTGGGTTGGTTGTTGACATTACTTTTTCTTTTTCTTCTGCAGATGTCCAAGGTAACATTCGTATTTGGGACACCGTGAATGAGGAACACATTTTAAAGAACGAGATTCGACCCATCTCTGGCAAGATGAGCGATATTGCATGGGACAGTGAGAGCAAACGACTGATTGGTGTAGGTGAAGGCAAAGAAAGTTTCGGTCATGCCTTTTCATTTGATACTTTATCCTCGGTAGGTGAAATCACGGGTCATTCCAAGATCATCAATAGTGTCAGTATCCGTCAACAACGTCCGTTCAAAGCCGTCACGGCCTCCGATGATATGACCGTGGCCTTTTTAACCGGCGTACCTTTTAAATACGTCAAGACCATTGCCGATCATACGCGATTTGTGCACGCTGTTCAGTTCTCCCCGAACGGTGATTTCTTTGCAAGCGCTGCTGCAGATGGTAAGATGTTTTTATATGACGGTAAAACCGGTGACAAAATCGAAGAGTTGACCACCGCTGAAAATACACACACTGCTGGTATCTTTTCTATCGCTTGGTCACCTGACAGTACCCACATTTTGTCTTCTTCGGCGGATTGTACTGCCAAGATTTGGGACGTGAATGCCAAGACCGTGGTCAAGTAAGTGTGTGTGTGTGTGTAGGATGATGGGCTTAGCCCTTCATTTTTTTTTGTGTAAAAAAAAAAAAACAATTAACCTTTTTTGCTTAGTACTTTTGAAATTAATTCGGCTGTAAACACAGTAGATAATCAACAAGTGGGTAATTTATGGTCCGGTGAGCATTTGCTTACGTCTTCCTTATCTGGCGAATTCAGTTACCTTGACAAGAACAGTGGCAAGGTCTCTCATCATATTGATGGACACAGTAAAGCCATCACGGCACTTGCGATCTCTGAAGAGAACACCTTTTTCACAGGTTCTTATGATGGTCGTGTCTTTGATTGGAAGTATGGTGCGGAGGGAGATAAGACAAGTGCTGAACGTATCGATGGTGACGGCCACAAGAACCAGGTGACGGCGATTGCTTCCAAGGACAATGATCTCTTGTCCGTTGCGATGGATGATACCATGCGTCATGGATCTGTCAGTGATTGTAAGTTTAGTGAGAAGATCATCTCTACGGGATCTCTTCCCTCGTCTCTCGCTGTATCGGATAACAAGACAACGGTGGTTGCTACGAATGAAAGTGTGTTGATTTACAATGATCAGCTCCAAAAGATGGGTGAACTTGAACATCCCGGATTTACGCCTTCTGCTGTAGATATCAGCCCTGATGGTAAAACTGTGTATGTTGGTGGTCAGGTACGTTTTTTTTTTTTTTTTTTTTTTTTTTTTTTTTTTTGGTTTTTTTAGGAGAAAGGAGAAACTCATAAGTGTGATTTGAATAGGATAACAAGGTTCGCGTATATGAATTAAGCAGCGGTCAATTAACCCATGTGGGCGACTTGGACCGAAATCTCGGCAACATTAGTGCGTTGGCAGTGCATCCTGAGTTAAAGCTAATTGCGGTAGGCGATAGTGTAGGCAAGATTTTTGTGTATGATACGGAGAGTAAGGAACCTGTGATTCAAAAATGGGTCTTCCATACCAGTCGTATTACGTCTTTGGATTGGTCCCGATGTGGCGGTTATTTGGTCAGTGGAAGTATTGATACCAATGTCTATGTTTGGAATCGAGAGGTACCTACCAAGAAGGTGGTGATCAAGAATGCTCATGTGGATGCTGTCAATAGTGTCAAATTTTTAAAGAATACCACCACACTCACGGTTGTCTCTGTAGGACAAGATGCTGCAGTACGTGTTTGGGATATCGCCTTTTAAGTCACCCACCGCGTTTCCTTAAATAAATAAATAAAAAATAAAAAAAAAAACGCCACTTTTCCCCTCTTCCTTTCTTTTTTTTTTTTCCACTGTCAAAAATATAAAAAACATGTCCAACAAACGATCGCGAGACAAGGAAGTAGGAGAAACCTCCAACAAGAGACAGACCACGCTTACAAGTATGTTTAAACCCGTGACAGCTGTACCCAAATCAACGACGGGTGGAGTTGCTCACATCGAGTCATTGCAAGTAGCTAGCAAAGATCCTCGTTCATTGTTCAAGGGCGTCAATGAAGAAACCTTGTCATTATTGGAATTGGAATTGAATACCATGAATTATGAATGGTTGAAAGCACTTGCTCCGGAACTTGTCAAACCTTCCTTTTTAAAGGTACCCCCCCCTCTCTCTCCCGATCCACCCCACCACCACCATCTAAAATAGAACACTTTTTTTTTATATAGTTGAAAAATTTCTTGAAAGCGGAAAGGGACGCTAAAAAGACAATTTTTCCTCCTTGTAAGTATCAGGACTTACTTTATTAGAATGTGGGGTAAGGGTGGACTAATAAGATGTTAACACATGTAGTGGAACAGATTTACAGTTGGTCAAACTATACTCCCGCATCCAAAGTAGAAGTTGTCATTCTCGGTCAAGGTACAAACAAAGAGAGAGAGTTTGGTCCCTCCCTAAACAACTGACAAAGTAAACATTGGGGGGTTCACATTATTTTTTTTTATGATTAGATCCTTACCACGATAATAATCAAGCGCATGGACTTTGCTTTTCCGTGGTGAAAGGAGTGCGAACCCCACCTTCTTTAGTCAACATGTATAAAGCACTCAAGATTGATTATCCTGATTTCGTGACACCAAACCATGGCTATTTGGAGAACTGGGCTAAACAAGGGGTTCTTATGTTGAATACCAGTTTAAGTGTAGAAGCGCATAAAGCAGGAAGTCATGCAAAGCAAGGATGGGAAGAACTGACAGGTAAAAAAAAAAAAAAAAGGGGCATAATTTTTTTTTTTTTTTTTTTTTTTTTTGTTTGTTTGTTTAAAAGTGTATTAAGGCTCCCCTTTTTCGTAGATGCTATTATTAAATACATTAACGAGAGAAAGTCTAATGTGGTCTTTATGCTTTGGGGTGCCCATGCACAAAAGAAGGGTTCTACCATTAACCAAAAGGTAAAAAAAAAAAAAGAAAATGTTATGGGAGACTTATAGAAATTAATGATTGACGTTTTTTTTTTAAAAAAAAAAAATAACAGAAACATCTTGTGTTGAAGAGTGTACAGTGAGTGGACAAAACTGTTCGAGTGTTTTTAAAAAGCTACATTTTCTCTTATTTCCATATCGTAATAGCATACAAAAAATCCGCGAAAATTACGTACAATAGTTAATTGACTATTACAAATAAAAATTGGTTTTATTTAAACTCAGGCCCATTTTTGGTGTAACGAAAATTACATAAAATTTTGTGGACACTCGAACAGTTTTGTCCAATGGAAAATTTTACGACTAATATTTGGTTCTTCCTCCTTTGGCGTTGATAACCGCTTCAATCCTTTTTGGCATAGATATTACAAGGTCTTGGCATAACTTTGGGGCAATTTTGTCCCATTCCTGGGTGATCCGGTCGAATAGCTCGGTTAAGCTTTTTGGGGCCGTTTCGTAGGCGCAAAGTCGTTTTTTTATTATCGCCCAGAGATTCTCGATCGGATTTAGATCTGGGGAATATGAGGGCCAATCTAATACGCGTACGTCATTGTTTTGAAACCAGTTTTTTGCCATTTTCGAGGTATGTTTTGGGTCATTATCCTGCTGAAATACGACATCCTTGATACTTCGATTGTAGTAACTAACACTGGCCGTTAGATCGTCGCTCAAAATATCACAGTATAACTTGCTGTCCATAGTACTATCGATACGAACAATGTATCCAGGACCTTCCCAGAGAAAACAACCCCACAACATTATGTTTCCACCACCATGCTTGTACAAATGTTGGAGATGACAATCTCGGATCTCTTCGTCTGTGGCATTCCAAAACCACTGAGCTCCGTCAGAGCCAATACGGTTTATTTTCGTTTCGTCACTAAAAACAACATTCTTCCAATCATCAACAGTCCAGTTTTGGTGGACCTTGGCCCAAGAAAGTCTCGCCTTTTTACGGCTTGGTGTTAATGGCAGTACTTTAGGCTTATGTTCAGCCTTCATCCCGGCCGAATTCAACATGCGGCGAACAGTCCTTCCGCAGACAAACACTTCTTCCTTTTTTAGAGCCTCAACAGCATCCTTGACAGTCTTGTTCACATTTGTTTTGAAGCCTCTAATCAATGAGCGACCTGTTGATGTTGAAATCTTGCGAGGTGCTCCACCAATTTTTTTGTGAATGTCGAGATTAGCTTGTTTTTTTATCTTTGCAATGGTTGACAAACTAACAGACACTTTTTTTGCTATTTCTCGAAAAGAAAGCCCGTCGTTTAGTAATTTAATGATCTCGTTTTTTAATGTCAAAGAAATGCTTTTTGTCATCTTAATGAGTAAAGTCTTATATTACGAAAATAAAGAGAAAAAAATAATATGTGGACTAGCCACCAAAACCTGTCTGAAAATTTTTTTTGGGGCTTATATGACTGTTTTTTCGAAAGATTTTTATGGTTTTCTAAAAAATTTCAGCACTGGACATAACTGTTCGAGTGATAAGCAGTTTTAAACCCAGAATATCCGCTGTTCCTGTGACGCAAAAAATACAAAAACGTTATTGCTGGTGTAGCAACGCGTGCACTGGTATCTGTCAAAATTTGAAATTATTTCGAGGAGTTTACACATTGTTGACAAAGATGGGACTGAAATTTTCTAAACACTCGAACAGTTTTGTCCACTCACTGTGTACATCCTTCACCTCTTTCAGCCCATCGTGGATTTTTTGAATGTGGTCACTTTAAAAAGGCAAACGAATATTTGAAGGAGCATGGTAATAAAACCATTGACTGGAATAATTTATAAATGTGATTCACACGCTCCATTTATTTGAATAAAAAAAAAAAGAAGAAGAAAAAAAAAAAAAAGAAAAGCAGCAAAAAAAAAAAAAAAAAAAAAAAACGGGAATATACATATAAATAATAATACAAAAATATAAGAAAAAATGCCTTTTTTCTAAATGTCAAACAAGACATCTTTTCCCCCAAAGTCTTGTTTGCATAAGGGACATCTACGGTTTAATATTAACCATTCCTTAATACAAGCTCTGTGAAAATGATGTTTGCACCACAGTCGTGAGAGCATATCTCCATTTTCGTACGTTGAAAGACAAATGACGCACACCTGATCCTGAACATCCAGAATTTCCATCATCTCGTATACCGGTTCACTTTCACAAGGGGGTTCCATCAGACCCAAATACAACCATAGTTTATCCAACATCCCTGACCTTCGTGGTCGTCCCTCTCCTTTGACATGGTCCATTGTGATATGACAATCGTCCTCCAGCATCACAAATCCTTCATTGTCCACAGCTGTCGTCGTCTTTTGTTGCTGTGTCCGTTGGAATTGATACGTTGGAATCAAGCCAATTTCTTCTGTTGTAGCTCCACCCATATACACTCCATCATCTACATGCAATAGTCTCATACCGACTAAATTCCCCCAAAAGTAAGTCATCATTTTTGTTATATATATATATATATATATTTTACCTAGCACACACGGCAGACAGAAAATCACGGATGTACACAGAAATACGGGAACGGATAGCATGAAATAACCATATATGGTTAGCACCAGTGAGAGATAATAAAGCGGGACTGCCGTATCCGAACAAGTAGAAGAAGAAAAGAGCATGTAGTTTCCAATGATAAACCATAATACAGCAAATAAATCCAAGCCAGATTTCGCTCTAAATAAACAATCCCATAAGAATTTTTTTTTTTTGCTTTATACTAATAAATAATCATTGACAAACCTATCAATCCATTGTCGCAAGACATTTTCATCAAAGGGGTCATCATGTAAAGCGGGTATTGGAGGTTGCTGAACGGGGGTCATCAATGCCGGATACTGTTGCTGTTGTTGTTGTTGTTGTTGATAATGACGATGATTTGTAGGGGTGGGTAAGGCGGGAGGAGGTACCGATAATGGACGGTTGCGTTCACTCATGGCATAGGCCTCTGCCAAATCTGACCTGGCACTGGTACGTGGCGATATCATCACGGTCGACCTGCGACGTGGAGGGATTAAATGGGTATAGATGACAATGGGTGCGGTGAGAACCAATCGAACAATGTAGACGGTCACAAACCATCGTAGTGGTTTATCACAGTACATCTCCCACGATATGAATAAGACAGTGATACTAGCCATGACCTGAATGATGAGTAAAGTCATGGAAAAGCCCAATAATAATTTCGATGACCTTGAACTTCTGCGCCAATTTAATATGAAGTGGGTAAACCAGTGTGTACGTACTCTTCGTGAGGTGGGTGCTGTACTTCTGCTGAAATTGACGGCGTTGGAAGCGGAATTCGAGAGGATTTGGGGTAGAGCAGGTCGTGTTGAAGAAGAAGAAGAAGAAGAGGAAGAAGAAGAGAAGGACACGTTGGAAGGTTGATGGCGATGACTTAATCTTGTTGAAGGCATTTCTAATTACAGCTCAACAAAAAAGACTCAACAACCGACATGTAACAAGTGTGGTTATGCAAAAAAAGAAAAGAAAAGAAAGAAAGAGTCAATGCAATAGTTCTACCCTCTTCTGTGTAAAAAAATAAGAAAAAAAGGAAAAAGAAAGAAAAAGAAAGAAAGAAAAAAAAAAAAAGAGAAAGAAAATAAATATATATAAAAAATGGCACTTGTGAATTATTTGGGGGAGAGAGAGCCCGTATTCGTATTTTATTGTTACATCAGTTTTTTTTTTTTTAATCGATAAAGTACTTGAGAGGCTCTTCACGAGACCAGATGGCAGTGCCTTCAGTAAGGATAGAGTAAAAATCAACATTTCCCTCAGGAGCCTTGAAAACTCTAAAAAAGAGAGAGAGCAATTTAGTTACTTTATTATTGGGAGGCCGTTATTTTTTTACTTTTTATTACCTGACATGAATATACTTTTCGTCACCCAAATTAATCTTGCCAAAATAGTTGGTTCCGTAAGCAAGTTCTTCAGTGGCATATTCCACAAGCTTATAACAGTCAATACGTTCTAAATCATCCAACTCATGGAGACCGTGAACATTGTCTAAATGGTTAAGCTAATAATATCCAGAGTCAGTCACTGGCTTAGCAACCAAAAAAAGGTTCTTCCTCCACCCTCTCTCTCCTTTGATTGTATTACCTCGTGAAGCTATACCATACGTCATTAGTAAAACTGTTCGTTTTCCTTTTTTTAAAAAATAAAAACAACATACCTTATCAACAACTTGTTCCTTTACTTGATGAAATACCTACACACAACATCATTTTTAACCTCTACTCCCTCTCTTTATTTTCCTTTTTTTGCATTCTTTCCTCAGACTTACTTCCTTGGCCTCATCATCAACAGGGCGAACAGGTCCCATAGCATTATTGTTTACGTCAGACATGTAAGAAAATTTAAAAAGAGTAAAGAAGAAGAAAAAAAGAAAAAGGGAAAATCTCGAGATTTGGTTTTTAAAAACATCTTGGTGATTTCGTGTTACTCTTTCCATTCTTAAATGAAAGACCTTTTTTTTTAAAGTTCACCGTCACGCATAACAAAAAGTCCCCCCACCCAATTTTTCTTCTTAAACGGCAAAGGGAAAGAGTACTTTTACCATCATTTGATATGCAATACATCTTTTTTTTTTTTTTTTTTTTTTTTTTTACTGCTGTAACATATCACAACTAACTTCACGAAACGGTAAACATCAGACTCCCGATTTAAAAAAAAAATGGAGCGCGACTTTCTGCATAGAAACTCACGAAATTATCCATTGAGGGGATGTGACACAACGAATTTCTTTTTTATCCTGCTTAAAAAAAAAAGCCTAAACAAACAGGACCATCATGAACAAAAGGCTTTATTAGAACAAAAGATCGAAAAGATAGAGAGAAAGAAAGAGACAGACAGGGGAAGCTCATTTATCATACTTTTTTTTTTTTAAAAAAGGAAACAGGATTTGCTTGTGATTGGCTTATTGCCGCAAAGGGGAAAAAAAAAAAGTACGAAAATCGGAACAATTGGAGCTTGTGTGCCTATTGTCTTGCGGAAGGTAGTTATAGATATGTCTGATGAAAAATTCTATGCAGGCGTCTCAATAAAATGTATCACTAACGTATATGTTCATCAAATGATTATCCTATAAATGACCTTATTCCCAAGTTTAAAAATAAAACACATTTCCATTGAATTTCACCTTCTTTTAAAATAGCTAGCAGTATAAATTACTATAAACATTGTTTTGAAAAAGAACAACAGGGGGATGTATGATTCCTCCATCTATCAATGCTGTTACAAGTATCAACCAATAACAAACCTGTCAAGCATTCACCCATTTTTCTCATTGACTCAGCCAAAAACACTGCCTTGTACTTTTTTCTTGAATAACACTCCCTGACTTCAATTGTAAATTCGTTTTTTTTTAATGACTGAAGAGGACTCGACTTTACCCCCCCCCCAAATATTCTGTATAACTAGCTTTTTAGACATTTCCACTACGAATATATGAAAGAGAGATTCACCTAGTCTTTTTCTTTAAATTTTTATTTGCTTAGACTACCGTTGGCTTAGTGACTCGGGAGAACACGTTTTGAAACGCGGATAAAAGGACCTGTTTACTGCAGAACAATCTTAAAGAGAGAGAGAGAGAGAGAAATAAGTATGCTTAAAAGAAGAAGAAAGAGTCTTATTTATGGAGCAAGAGCTGGTTTAAATGTCAGGATCTGATCCAAATAAAAAAGAGTGTCTGAACAAGTTTTCTTTGCGTATGTTGCTGAGGGGGTGTATTTATTTGTTTGTTCAGTCACCCATCATGTTTGAGTCTTCACTTTTTAATTTTGTATCAGTAAGAGCATGTACCTTATTTTTTATATATATAAATTAAATCTATTATCCCCCACGAAGACTTGAAAAGATGTAGGTATTCCAATTGGATACAATGTTACTGCCTGGGGCTCTGCTCATCTTTGCTAAATATGATTTTAGTTTAAGAAAAAAAAAAAAAAAAAGAGAAAGACCACGTGGATTTAAAAAAGGACAGAGTCGTAAGTCATGCTTCTAGCAAATCCAAAGTATTTGTAGGATCCAATCATTTCATGTGTTGCATTCAATGTTACTATTTGCAGGAATTATCAAACTTTGTTTTTTTTTTTGAAGGATATTTTGGAGAAAGCAACAGTGATGCACTTTTTATTTGACGCATTTTAGAATGGTTTTTAAAAGCTTCACTATAACAACAACAACAACAACAATAACAAAAAAGACATTCATCAATGCTATCTTTTGCCAGTAACAGAAATAATTTTGATTCTGGATTTTCTTTTTTATTATATCACTGTGGGAGACCATGGTGCCATGATAAAATGGGTTTAAATTCAAATTCAGCATGTTTAAATGAAAAAAAAAAAAAAAAAAAAAAAAAAAAGATATCAGGGGAAGCCCCGCGTGTATTTTTTTTTTTATTTTACCGGAGGACACCATGAAAAGGGAAACGAGATCAGCGACCCGAGGTTTCTATTTTTTTCGAATGAGGCTGGTAAAAAAAGAGTAATTTACGAATAAAAAGTCTGGCATATCTTTTATAAACGCATTTACCAAAAATCTATTTTTATCATTCAATACCCCGCCCACCCACCCCCCCTTTTTTTTTACGAAAGAAAGAAGTTGCCCGAGATCAGTTTTTGGGTTACGCATCAATTGACAAATCGATATGCAATTCATAAATAATTAAGTGCATCAACTGTGACCAGTTAATTGATCTTGTTGCTTCTGTAAGAAATAGATAATGAACTCTCAAGCACTTCTTTTTTTTTTTTTTTTTTTTTTTTTTTAAAAAAAAAAATGAAATAAAATAAATTAGCTGGCTATAAAGTTTAAATTGTTGTCAAATTGGTTTCTTTAATAAAAAAAAAAAAGCTGTACAAGATCACTTGAAGAGAAGGGAACGTCTTGTACTCCAATGCAAAGTACAATAGGCTTGGCCTTTTAGGCTTACACATATAGTTTTGATGTTATTATAATCACAAGTTTTTATTTTTTACTTTAGTAGGTGTGGCACCAAATGAAATTGATTATTGATACACAAAAAAAGCTTGAGTTTGCTAAAAGACAACCTATAAAAGGGCAAAGGAAAGGTTGTATTTGTTTTTTTTAAGCTTTGGCATAGAATAAGAGGATATCCAATACGGCGGCGTACCCTTTTGCTCGCGGAGACGTAAACACGTGTACTGTATCCCACTTGGCCTTTTGCCACAGTCAAAAAAAAAAAAAATTTAATCAGTTAATTACAGTATGGAGACACGCCCTATTAAGTTTATTAATACTTTCCAAACTTTCGGGTGACATCACATCTATTTATATAAGCTTTTTTTTTTTGTTACACATTTTGGAGCTTTTTTTGTTGTAATTGCCCTGAACGCCCTTTTCTCTTTCTTTTTCAAACAGCAACTCTCTCCCCTTTTTTTTTTTTTTATCTTTGCATTACCAATGGCAGAGCAATATCAACCATCTGCACTGGATGTAGGGTCTCCTACTCTGGAAGCACTGTATAACGACTTGGACATGTATATAAATGAATTGAGCGTGTCGTCCAGAACTGACACTCCAACAGAAACCACACTCTCCAAGAGATGTAATAAAGACATTACTCCCTTGAAGCTTGATAAGACACTGGTAAGAAATAATAAAAGAAAAGGTAGTCCTTCTTCTTTTTGTCGAGGTTAAATGTTTCTTGTATTCAGGATGAACAAGATTATGACTTTGATTATTATACGCCAAAAGACGATGAAAGAGATGACGAAGAGGATAGCCCTGGGTACTCACCCGTTTTGGAGAACTATACACGATTCAGTGCAGCGGAAGGGAACTTGATACTTGAGCAACCAACGATAGCTGTTGTGAACCGCAATTCATCTTCTTCCACTGTGGGTATCAGTCCCTCGGCACCCTGTTCACCTTCCTTTCTGCGAGTAGGCAACAGCAATGGGGATTACTTTCGACAGCAGTCATCCAACAAGGACGAATATGTATTCACCACACGATCCAGTTCGTTAAACCGTGCCACTGCTGCCTCATCGGGTAAGCCTATCCTGTCTCCCAAAATGCTTTTTTCAAACCCAACTTCACCTCTTGCCTTGGGAATGTCCACCGTGCATGAATCTTCTTTCGGGGATCTTCACGGGGAAATTCCAAATATCGCCTTCATCTCTTATATCTCCACCATGTTTATTAATGAAGTCGCCACATTAAATCAGCATCGAAAAATATTTTGTACCGAGGAATATCCTCTCAGTTTTAATGGCGAAGAGGCACTTGTATGTGTGTTTTTTTTATATATATATTTATCTTAAAAAAAAAAAAAAAAAGCAGCAGCAGCAACAACATTTATATCGCATCTTTTTTTTTAGGAAATCATCCGGTCATTCTTACCCGAAGGCTTAGGCAAAGCAGTTTATTTAGATATTGCGCAGTGCCTCATGTACTGCAAACCTCCTCTTATTGTCCCAATTGCCTATTCAGAAAAATCCTTCCGAAAAAACAAAGTGTATGACTCGGCTACCGAAATGTACACTTTGGTAGAAGAAACCTTGGATGTAGAAGAAATCCAAGGTATTTATACCCCTTTAACTCAATGTTATTCCATCAGCTGTTTGCCTGGTCAACCCGGTTGTTATTCCGCTTATTGTCCCAACCGTGTTTACCCTCTCAACGGTCATATCATCAAAAAACCTGCCATTTCTATCGTCTCATCCACCTCGCATGACTCTGTAAGTTTTTTTTTGAAGTCTGTCACACGGGAGACTTACCACTAATTATATATATATATATGTAGGCTATGTCGCGTGCATGGTCAGCCACCGTAGCTAAGGACATCTTAAAGTCTATGCCTTCACACGAAATCAGTCGACAAGAAGCGATTCATGAGCTGATCTATACCGAAGATGACTATGTTCGTGATTTAAAAATTTTAGACGAGGTAAAAAATCGCATAAAAAAAAAAGTGTAGAGAAAAAAGGTTTTAGTGCTTGCCAAAAAAAAAAAGAAAAGAGATACTTATTTTTTTTTTTTGGGGGTTTGGGCTGTAGGATTTTGCCAAAGAGTTACTAAGATCACAATGTATCGAAGAGTCACGAAAAAAAGAATTCCACGATAAAGTGGTTAACAATTACCAAGAAATTTTAGAGATCCACGACAATCTGTACAAGGAACTGCGTGATCATCAAGCGAACTGTCAATCCTCTAGTCGTATCGGTCTCGTTGATAAGATTGGTGACATCTTCTTGCGTCATATTCATTTGTTCATGGACGCCTATCTTAAATACGGTCCCCAGGTTGTCTTGGCTGAATACACCGCTAAATTAGAAACCGAGAACAATATGGTCTTTAAACACTTTATCAAGACAAAGGAACAATTGGCTCAGTGTCGAAGATTACCTTTCCGTCATTTCATCATCTTACCTGTGACTCGACTCCAGCGTTATTCTCTCTTACTCGACGCCGTTTGGAAAAAGACACCCGAGGAAAACCCAGACAAGGCCTATCTGGCTCAATGCGTCGATACCATCAAAAGCATCGCGGCCAAAATGGACGAAGGCACGTTAGCCACCAAGAACCAGCTACGCGTACTGGAGATTGAAGCCCGAATTCGGTATAAGCCTGATGAACATCACGCCTTAGACCTCCTCAACCCTACTCGTAAATTAATTTTCGAGGGCCCGCTCTCTCGCAAATCTCATTTGGTAGTGGAAACCATCGAACTCCATGTGTTTTTATTCGACCACTTGTTTCTGATGACCAAAGTCAAGAAATCATTGACCAAGGAAGGTGATGTGGAATACATGATCTCCAAACGTCCTATCCCCATGGAACTTTTACATATGCAGGAAGCCACGGAAGGGTTTTCGATCGGTCTGCGTAACATGAGTAGCACTTACTCTGGTCATTCTTCTCCTACCACCATCCTGCCTTCTTCTCCCTTTGGTGTCAGTTACCCTATCCTTATCCAGCATTTGGGTCGTCATGGCGCTGATTATCTCCTGTACGCTGAAAATGCCGCTTCTCGTATTCAATGGAAAGAAATGGTCGTCAAGGCAAAGGCAACAAATGAAATGGCGGATATCGATAAACGTATCTTTGAAATTCGATCTCTGTCAGATACAACGTTTGGTGGCACTAGTTCCAATATACACAATTACGGTAAAGTGACATGCACAGTTCCCTTTGGTAAGTTTAAATATATATTTGTATTTACAAAAGAAAAGAGAGAGAGAGAAACAGCATAATAACGTACTTTTTTTTTTGGACTGGGTTACAGTGGGAGCGACAGGTATTCGAATGATTGCAATTGGTACTCAACAAGGCATTTGGATGGGTATTGAAGGAGATACGAATACGATCAGTCTTGTTTTGGGAATATCGGACGTGCAACAGATCGCTGTATTAGAGGACGAACATATCTTTTTGATCCTGGCGGATAAAACGTTATACGCTTATGCCTTGGATGCACTGGCCTCGAAGGATGCCAAGGATGCTCGAAAGAGTACGGACCGACCTCACCAAAAGATTGCGCAACACATTTCGTTTTTCCATGCGGGTGTCTGTAATAAGCGGACGATTGTGATTGCCATGAAGAAGCGAGGTGTCGATAGTCATTTCAAGGTACTGGAGCCTATCTGTGGCGATTTACGAAATCCCAAAAGTAGCAAGTTCTTTACGAAATCGGGTCTGTTTGGTAAGATCCCTTCGTGGTTCAAATCCTACATGGAGTTTTATATCGGTACGGAATCCTACGCCATGCATTTCCTGAAGGCGCGTGTGGTTGTGGTATGTGCGCGTGGATTTGAGATTATCAATTTGGATGCGTTGAACATGAACCGTAATTTACCAGACCCCACGAACCCTGATTTTGCATTTGTACAGCAACGAGGGGATGATTTACGTCCGTTGGGGATGTTTCGATGCAAGGAACATTATTTGCTTTGTTATGACGCTTTTGCGTTTATGGTCAATGTGCATGGTAATCTGGTGCGTGAATCACCCTTGATTGAATGGGAAGGTGTACCTCAATCCGTAGCCTTTTATTATCCTTATGTCGTTGGCTTTGATCCACGATTTATTGAAGTGCGACACGTTGAAACTGTAAGTGGGGATCGCCTCCAAAAAAAAAAAAAAAAATAGTATATTAATCACCCAGTGGGGGATAATTTTTTATTTGTGTAGGGCGAATTGATTCAGGTATTGGCAGGTACTCATATGCGTTGTTTGCAATTCATTCATCAGACCTTTGCTCCCGTTATTCATGGTTGTATGGCGCATCCTTTTAAACCCGACTTTCAATACGTCTTTCAACTCATGGGCACATTTGAACCACCTCTTTAAATTATTTTAACGTTCCCTTCTTTTTTTATTATTATTATTATTATTACTATCGTCTTTTTTTTTATCATTATTGTTTATACTCTTACTACTAATACTAACTACAAAACTTATCTGGCTGGTTCCTTTTATTACAATTTTCTCATTTCTTTTTTTTTAAAGCAGAAAGGAAAATAAATTCCAATTTTTTTTTTTTATCAAGTCTAAGAAAAATGTTATTACGTCGATTGACATGCCCCCAAAAATATGTTCAATTCATAGGATGATCGATTTTTTGGTTTATCCCGCTTCCCCGGTTTACTATCAGTTTACATACTACTACTGAAAACGCTGATAGACAACTACCGAACTTGGCTTGAGGGGGGTAAATTTGCAAATGCTTCCATTTTAAGTAGATGTCAAGGCCATATCTCTCAAAATTATAACATCTGGTCTAAAGCAAGAGATAAAAAACCAACATAAACTCATGATAAAAAAAGAATGCAAAAGAGGTATTGTAATTCTTTTGTTAAAACTTGTAATATTAGATACCTTTATATCTTTTGTATTTCAAAAAAAAAAAAATACACTCATCTCAATCCAAAGCTTTTTATTCAAAAATAGTTACTATCAGATTCTACGCATTATCATTGAATAATAATAATAATAATAATAAAAAAAAAAGGATTTCGTTCATGATAGCTTTGGTAAATTTAAACAATTATGGTACACGGTTGTTCCTTTAAGAGGTTTTTTTTTTAACTTGGAATTTTCCCAAAACATTAGCTTTTCTCTCTTTACTTTAGTTGTACATGCCCCCTAAAAATTCCTGTCCTTGAGTTTCTCCCATATCTGATCGCTTCAATGGTTCAACTTTGATGGTTCCAAAAAGAAGAAAAATACAGCTGACAATTGTAACATTTTTGCTCCGCACGTCTGCTGTATTTAACTTGTACAATCATAGTCAGGTTCGCCTTTTTTTTCTTAAGACTATGCACGATTTCCCATTATTGGAGTATGTGATCCGGCCTCATCAATAAAATCAAAAAAGTTCTTTTGAAAGTCATTATGACACGAAGAAGAGTTTCTGACTTGCATTGTTTGAGCGGTTGCAATACGACTATTAAATGTCCGATGCCAAAAGGCGCACTAGTTATTGAAACGGCGTATGAAATTACACAGCAGAGAGTTTAGGAGGGGGTGAACTTCACACAAAGTGCTGCGGTGTGTGCGTGTGTGTGTGTGTGCGGGGTGTGTGCGGGGGCGGCGATAAGGAGTTGGGGTAAAGGGCGGAAACAGATATCACTTTCTCTCTCACTTGATCATTACAGAAATGGTAAGAGATATGAACATCAAAGAAACCATCCATTCCCTCCATCATGATTGAAATCTACACATCAACTGCAGAAAAAAAAAACCAGCGAAAAAAACAAAAGCAGAAAGGGGACAAACAGTATAGATAAACAAAAGGACTTTTGATTGATGGATGGGATTTGGGACTGGATAGAGAGAGAGGAGATACAATATGCTAACACCCCAATTTTCAAAATGTGAATTGATAGCCTTCTCAAAAGACATTCATCACCAAGGTTAAGCTTGGCAAGGCTAAGAAGCAAAACCGTCCTTTGCCTCACTGGTTCCGTCTCAAGACCGACACCAAGATTCGGTAAGCTCCCATACACATGCCGAAACTCAATTGTCATCTTCTAAACATGTCTTTTTTTTTTTTCTTCAATGTAGTTGGAATGCCAAGAGACGTAACTGGCGTCACACCAAGTTGAACATCTAAATCATCGATTCCCCCATTCTACGACATTTTATTTGCTTCAACTTTTTTTTAATTTCTTCAACAAATTTTAATTCCTTGGATGATTAAAAAAAAACACACACATTATTTTATAATGTGTAAAAAAAAAAAAAAAAAAAAAAAAAAAAGTTCTCGCATGGAAGTCAACACGGTCCTTTCTTTTTTTCTTTCTCTTAGTATTTCTTACAAAATGTTTTATTTTTTTTTTCTGTTTCTTTTTGTGGTTGTTAATGGGGGTTGTAAAAAGAGGAGTTTTAATAGCCAAAGGTATTTTCACCAGAGTACCTAAAAGATAAATCATGTGAGTTAAACCCCAAAGAGATAAAAAAAAAAAAAAATCCACACAACAGCCTTTTAACTTACGTGATGTACAGGAAACCGTCTTCGTCCTTGTGCTCTTCGTAAATAGCACTCATTAATGCTAAGTTAAAAAAAAAGTAAAAATTGTAAACCATCTTTTGTTTTTGATAAGAAAAGTGATTAATTTTACCTGCGGTGGGAGGTAATATTTCATTCACAAAGATAAAGATGGCCTTCTCTGGACTCAACTTGATTCGTTTTCTGATCACATACACAAATTGTCCCACAGTTAAATCGGCAGGCACCAAGTATTTCTTTTTATCGATGGTAGGTATATCACTCTTCTCCACCTTTTCACATATAACCGGAATACGGTCGGGATATTTCTGTCGAATTCGTTCTGCTTCTGCTTTACGTTTCTCTATAAACACACACACATGCTTCTTTTTTAGCCTTTTTCTTTCTCTCTCTCTCTCTCTTTTTTTAACTTTTGTAACTTACCAAAGGGATGTTCGTCTTTAAACTTACTACGCATCTGGGTCTTATTTTCTTGTTTTAATTCCGTACTAGATTAAAAGGAAGAAAAAAAAAAAAAAAAAAAAAAAAGGGAGCCCGCATAAATATTGGTATAAATAGTTCATGTGATCACAACCATCTGACGCCCCTCCCCCCTCAAGCTACATTACTCTTCTTATTGGCTCAATTCCTCTGTGTTCAACTTTTTTTTTTTTTTTTTTATTATTATTATTACACCTGCTTTCTTTTTTTTTTATATTACACATTACAAAGATGCTTCCTCCTGTCACTGACAGCATTGCTGACAGCATTGGCTCAACCCCCATGATAAGGTTGGCACCTCAAAACAAAGGTAAAAAAAAAAGAGAGAGAGAGAGAGTCATTTATTGAAAAAGAAAACCCTATCAACACGTTCCCATCCTATGACTTAGTCTCCATGCTTGCCAAGCTTGAATTCACCAACCCTACAGGCAGTGGTAAAGACAGACTTGCAAAGTACATTCTCGACGGTACGGTAAAAAAAAAAAAAAAAAAAATCTTGCAGAAAGAGGGTGCAGAGTAAAATAAAAACTTAACACGGTTCTAATAGAGCACGAGAGAAAGACGGCTTTCGAGTCAAGAGATAAGCAGACAAAGAGAACGTTAATTATCCCTACCTCTGGTAACCTAGGCATATCATTAGCCACATTAGCAGCTCAACGTAATTACCGTATCATTGCCATCTTACCTGAACGTACCTCCAATGATCGTATTGCGCTCTTAAAAGCGTTGGGTGTTGAAATCTTGCGTTCCCCTAACGAAGTGCGACCAGAGGCACCCGAAAGTGCTTACTCTGTCGCTACCAAATTAGCAGAACAATTAAAAGACGCGGTTGTCATGGACGAGGTAAAAATAAATATATAAAGATATGAAAGGGCGGGGGGATGATGATAAGGGATTTGGGAAGCTGAACATTTTCTTTTTTTGTTGTTGGGCGTTTTTGCAGACAAAATTACGTGATTTGACAGCCTATCATCAGTTGGCCGAGGAAATTCTTCAACAAACAAAGACAGCGGTTGATTTCGTATTTGTGGGTGTGGAATCCGGTGCGACCTTGACAGGTATTGCTCAATACCTCAAAGAAAAGATCCCGGGTGTCAAGGTGATTGGGGTTGAACCCACCGAATCCATCTTGAGTTCAGAGCACGCCCATTCGCGTAGTGATTGGAAAGTAGAAGACATGGGCAACAATTTTGTGCCGACCAGTCTTGACCTCCGGATGGTGGACGCATGGATCAAAGTGAGTGATAAAGAAGCCTACTCTGTGGCCCGTCGATTGATCAAGGAACAAGGGATTCTTTGTGGCCCATCATCAGGCGCTGTCGTAGCCGCAGCTGCGCGTCATGCGCACACGATGTCATCCGATCACAGCACACATACATTTCAGTCGGTTGTCATTTTAAATGACGCTTGTCGAAATTACACGAGTACTTTACTGTCAGATGATTGGCTCTTTGAAAATGATTTGGCCGATGACTTGATCACGCACGAATTAGAATATCTGTCTCAAAATAGATATCGTGCTGCGTCGGTAGAGGATCTTCAGTTACCTGCTGCGGTCACTATCCCACCCAAAACCTCTGTTTCTCACGCTATGGATCTGATGTTGGAACGTGAGTACTCGCAATTACCCGTCATTAGCAGTCACAATCGAAAATTAGTGGGTTATGTCTCGCTGGCTTCGTTGCAAGATAAGTTGGAGCATGGTCATATTCAATTGTCGGATACGGTGGAATCTTGTATGTTCTCATTTAAGAAGGCAGCTGGTGTGACCCTGAACAAGTATGAAGTCATCACACCTGACACTAGTTTAGCCGACCTTGGTAAAAAAAAAAAAAAAGAAATCCTTTTACTTTCTATATCTGATCTATTTTGTCCTGTATATGCTAAAACTCTTTTTTTTTTCTTTCTAGCTAAATTCTTTGAAAAGAATTCTTTTGCAGTCATCACCGATCAGAACCGAAAATGGTGTCTGGGTGTAGCCACCAAGTATGATTTAATTAGTTTCTTGCATCGACGTCAATTTTTGTAATAAGGAAAAAAAAAAAAAAAAAGGATAGTACTTTATTTATAAAAGGGGGAGTATATAAAACGAAAAAAAAAAAAAAAAGAATAAAGAATAAAAAGTTATTTGTCTTTGGATCGAAGTCCTTTCAAAATATTAGGTAAAAGTTCTCTACGCCATTGATCTTTACAAGCCTTCTTGGCCCTTCCCACAGCCAAAGAAATACGATCCCAGCGAATGGTGGTCATATCATCCAATTCCTTTTCTTTGACAATCGCCTCTAATAATTCCAATCGTTCTGCTTCTTGCCATCTGGGCTTGTTGTTGCAGCTAGGCGACCCCTGATGATGGCTGCTTTCGTTTGCATAATTATACGTCATATCCACAATTTTGATTTCATTCTTGTCCACCACCGCCGTCAAGGCCGATTTCTTGGGTCTACCACGACGACGCGCAGTGAAAGTAGCAGCACGGGATAAGAGACTGGCCTTTGGCGTACCCGTGCTCTTGATAGAGGAAGCGCTGGATTTGAGCGAGGAGAAGGAAGTGGAGGTTGAAAGAGGTGGGATCAAGGACGGTCTCTGTGTAGAGTAAATACTGCTACTATCATCACTGTGATGATTAAGGTTGGGCGAGTATAATAAATTAGATCCAGAAGCCCAAGGAGAAGAAGAAGAAGAAGCGTCTTCAACCAACGACAAGGAGGACGAGGAATAATGATGAGGTAATAATAAATTTGAGAGAGAAGGTAGTCTTTGATGATGACACGGATGACGATGCTGTTGTTGTTGCTGCTGCTGTTGTTGTAAAGGGTGAATAGGCTTTAAAGTAGCATGATGTTGTAACTTTAAAAGACCTTCCACTGCTCCTGTTTCGTAATCCATTTCCTCTTCACAGTGCCTGTGATAATTTGACATTGAATAAAAAAGAAAGAAGTATTGAACTCTTTTTAAAATCTAAAAGAGAAAAATTCATTCTCTTTATATCCTACACTCTTTTTTTTTTTTACTTTGATTGTTTAGGTATCCAAGAATAAAAAAAAATATTTCATTATCATTTTAACATGAAATTGTCCAAAAATATCTGGTCCCCCCTCTCATTTTGGAATATTCGTTTGTGTAGTGAGACAAGAGATGTGTCCAAGTACAATACCTCGTGTCAATGTCATGTTCTCCCTTTCTCTCTCTCGCTCTCTCTCTCAGCATAATAAAAATAAAAATGTTATATTTATTTATATATATATAAAGAAGTGGGGGAGGAAATTTAAAGTAATCGCTTGATGTTAAACGTTAAGCAAACGGTCATTACCATGATACCATAAAAGGTTAAAAACAAGGCTGCCACTCGCTTCCAATGCCAACTATCATCACGATACAATCTAAAGTAAAATAAACCAGGCAGGATAAATGAAATCGTAGTGGATCCCGTTGAACCCACAAACGATAAAACCAAATCTAATTGGGAAATCGAGATAGCTAAAAAGTAACTGGCTACCACAATGAAGCCAGTCACCAACGCATGCTTCTTGTCCGACATGGGTAAAGGATTGGAGTCAAGGATCTTTTCAAGCGAGGCACGGCATGGATGGGCTTGAAGTGGGTAACTAAAGATAACAAGTACTACAATAGCGAGTCTACCAAACGCAACAAAATGACTTTGAGGGTCTTTTTTTTTTTAAGGTGAATAAAAAAAAAAGGGCTTGCAAAAAAATAAATAAAATATATAGCTTACATTCAAGGATAATGTTCCCTAAGACACCTTTACCGAAACTGAGATAACCCAATATAGCAACTATTTCATAAATAAATCCAGCTGAACCAATGGACATAAAGATCACTTTTACAATGGATCTTTCACTGTTGTTTTCTAATTCATTGTAAACTGAAAAGATCTAGATTCACCCCCCATAGAAACATTTAGCATCCTTAATATATAAATAAAATAAAACTCACATTCTGGTGACATGTAAAGGCAAAGATAAAGACGGGCAATTGACTAAAGATTTTGGTGGTCAGGTGAAAATATTCAATGGATTCGGGAGGAGGAGGAGGGAAATTAGGTGTGATATAATGATAGACCACAATGACTACAAGATAGGCTACAGCAAACAAAGCAATCAAGCTTGTATATTTCAGTGAATCCAATTTCCGCAAGAAACTGAGGGGTCCTACTGCAGTGAAAATAGAGAGCGTAATCCAGAAACGACGATCCATTAAAATCGCATTCTCCTCAGCACCATGGAAAAACGAACGGATCACCTACGTATAAAAAATTCTTTTGTTTTAATAACTCACTCTCTCTCTCGTACACATTTTTTTTTTCTTTCTTAATCTTACTTGGGGCATTAGGTCTCCCAGGATAATGAGATAACTGACCGCAACGCCAAAACACTTGATTGCGATAGCCAAATCAAAGAAGATACCTAATTTGGGCCAAGTTAATTTTGATAGGGAAGAGAATGATGCATTTCTGCCCCCTACTTTTTCAGCACATCGGGCTAGAAAATAAAGGCCGAGTCCCGATGTCACTCCCGCATACACGATAATCATCATGCCCGGAATCAATCCCACTGAAGCAATGGCTGCAGGCTTAAATTATATATATATATATTTTAATACGATTGAAATTTATATACAACAAACTTTCCAAGTTAAGTTTACCATTGCCAGCATGCCTGTTCCAAGAATGGTGTTGGAAAGATTAATAGACGCACTAGCAACAGTGGCTTTAGGCTCCTCAAAATAAACACAGGAGGAATCTTGCGTTGAATTCGTTAGTAAGGGCCTTTGTTCATCAAGTGAGGCTCCAATTTCTGAAAACACTGACAGTGCGGGTATAGAGGAAATAGAAGACGCTGAAGTGTCGTTTTCTATAATGGTCTGGTAATTGGTCATTGATGAAGGAACAAAAAAAAAAAAAAAAAAAGAGAGAGAAAGAAGAAAATAAAAAAGTTGACCCCGTTTTTGCTCTATTTATATCCAAAAAAAAACACCTGTGTACACACACACGTAGCAAAAAAATAAAATAAAAAAAGATAACAATTCTTTTTTAAAAGTCAGTGGGTAAAGAGACTCTTCCGAACAAGTATGAGAGAGAGAGAGTTCAAATGTATCCCCAACGACGTACAAGAATATATGGACGACTGCCTTTTTATCTTGAATCGGAAATTCACATCAATCTACAATCCAACTAGCAAAGGGAAAGTAGTGACATATTTGAAATAAGGGGTAATTTATATTCATATATTTGAAATTCTTGAAACACTTTTGGTTATCTGTATATATCAGTCTCACTTCTTCTTTTTATCATAACTATATATTGAATTAAGCAAGTTCTTTTGACAGAAACCTACTATAACTGTTCCTCATGCTACTTTGTAACAATTCATTAAACACTGAATCAACTTGCAATCAGAATACACACACACGCAGAGGAAATCCTTGCAGAATTAGGTATTTATCTCAGGTTAGTTCCTGTATCAACCCCCCCCCCCCCAGTACAGAAGAATCATCGTATTCAGCTATCACCGCTTAAAGCCAAATAAAATAAAAAAATACTATGGCTTAAATCTAACGGCTTCTTTCAGCCAAGTTTTTTTTTTATGCTCTGAATCTGAAATGAGCAAATGTACAATGTACCTGATATTGAAGGATTTTGAAACACCTTATTTACGGATACCCTTTTCAATGCTGAACACGTCTAGGCGAATTTCCCCACGAAATAGAGGATTTCCACCCGGCTCCCACTAGGGCCTCCAAACATCCAAATCCGTAGAATGCCTTGTTTTTTTTAAAAAAAATAAAAACTTCAAAATGTCTTCCTATGATATGGTGATCATCATACACGCCATCACACTAAAAAAAAAGTCATTCATTCTTATGAAATAAATAAAACCTGATCATGAAATATCATAGGTCATTATAACATATCAAACAATACAGAATATGCAATGAAAACACAAAATTTCGTTTTAATTAACAAAAAGAGACATTGATTCAACATGGGATGGACAAGTAAACCCAATAAACAATACATAAGACTTATTCACTAAACTATTTAAAGTTGAACTATTTTATCGTGAAAAGGCCCACGAAAGCTACACCTGATCAAAACATGAGTCAGAGTCCAAAACCAAGATTTTTTTTTAGATATGCACAGAAAATCAAATCTTTCTCTCTCTCTCTTTTTAGACTTGTGCGAGAAGGTTCTACTAGCATATCTCATTGACTCTTAGGAGATTTCATAAGTCGACACAAAATGAAAAGTGTGGGCACACTATGCTTATTGACCTAGATATCCAAGCCTTTACAACCCCTCCCAAGTGATCAGAAACCCTAAAATATGTCATCTCTTGGATCATTCATTGAGAGATATCATCCTCCCCTCCCCCCTTTTCTTTTCTGTCTAGCAAAAGCAAGTGAAGTTTTTTTGTAATCTTTTGTTCCAAGAGCAAAGGTAAAAGTCCTCTCATGACACCCCATCATCTCTAGATATATAATAAAAATTAAAACGCCAACTATATATTTTTTTTTTTTTTTTTAAAAAAACGAAAATCAAAAAAATCTTTTATTACAAAAATATAAGGTTATTTATTTTACACGCAAGACGGCACGCACATCCATCAAGAAAGCAAGCAAAGCCTCCTTAAAGCCAGGCACATTTCTATTAGGTGGTTGTTGAGGTGTTGCCTGATCTAATTTTTGAAATGCCAACAATAAACGTGATTGAATTTCCGCAGATTGTTGTGAAATGATTTGATTTGCCAACACCATATAAACATCCTGTATAAAACGTTTAGATATCACGACCCACATTTTTTTTTTTTCATAGTTATTTTTTTTTTACCCTTTGTGTGCAGACTAATGCAAGTAACGCATCTGATGCTGCATCAATAACGTTTGTATCTAAATGTTGGAACAACAAACAGTCTAATAATGCCTGCAGGAACTTTTGCAGGGCTTCCTTCAAAAAATCAATATTGACTCCATTGCTTTGTTGTTGGTACGCCCAGATACATAAGGGCGCAATCGCATGTAATGTAAGGATATTCACATCGGATATATCATGACGGATACCATACTCTAAACTGGCCATCAAGTTGTTAAATAGAGGTGTTGGTAAGCCTGATAATTTGTCGGGGAACACTTCAATCATGTGAGAAATCAGTTGGATATATTGCTGACATACACTGGGGATCTAATACCAAAAAAGATTAAAAAATCTTTCTAATAATGTGAGACACCCCCCCCCCCCTTCTTTGAATTTTTACCTTTAACATTTCCATATCAATCATGGGGATCACAATATTAATACCGAAAAGTACAACATCAGCAACATCAGATGCATTTTGTTCCTTTCGACTGAAATCCTCCATACCCGATGCCATGATATTAGATAGCATGACCAAGACAGTAGAGATATCCGCATAAGGTTTATCCTCCTCCTCCTCCTGTGAATGTAATCTCTTTTTACCTCCGTTGGATACACCAAATACCTTCATGATCTCAATGATCGTACCAAACAGCAATTGTTTATCCTCTCCACTCAACAATCCAAAATCAAGTCGCTTACAAAGATCAGAAAACAATTGAAGAATAGACAGTTGGACTTCGGGTGCTTGTTTATACAGATTCATCAATTGAACAAAACTCTCGAAAAATCGGGAACAAAACGTAAAGATTGTTTGTGTATTGTTGTATTGACATGCAAGTGCTAATCCATCAAACATCTCTAAAGCATTGATCACTTTGTTAATAATCTCACCCCGTTGATAGCATTGTTGAAAGTCAGGACGGTGTAAAAGCGCACCCAAACAATCCTAGAAAAAAAAAAAGATGTTAATCACTTCATAAAAAAAATAAGAGTCATACACATCCATACCTCAATCATTTTAAACATGAGTCCAAAATAATTATTTCTTGTTGTCTCGTCAGCTGCAAAACTAGAAATGGTAGCAATGGTTTGAATGAGCGAATTATGCACGACTTCAGGTAACTGCTCGAGATTATGTGTGACAAATTGGACCAATTGAGGAAACTGAGCCGATTGTAATAAACCACGCTTAAGATTATTTGATGTACCACAGGTATGAAGCCAGTTCACAAGTTGGTTCAGGACATCAGGATCCGCATTCCAAAGGATAAAATTGGTCTTCATTTGCTCGATAAAGAAATCAATAATAGCAATACCTTGACCATCCGAGGGGCCAGGTCTACCAAATGCCTTGGCAATATTTGGACTGATATAACCGTACTCATTCTCATCCAACAACAAGTAAGATTTACTCCATCGTTCCATGTACCAAATAAGTGTCTCTGCAACACGAGGACTACAATTGGATGCCTCGACTGAATTGGAGCTGAAACTGGAACTGAACTTGAAAATTTGGAGAAATAAATTCGAAAGGTTGACGACTTGATCTTGCTCAAATGGCTGAGATCCCGAAAGTTGCATCAAGGACTCTGGGATCATGGGTTGTTCCCCCTTTCCAGTATCCGCAAGAATATGTCCCGTAATCAATATAATCCAATGAAGTTGTTCGTGTAAAAATGTCAAATCCGCCTGTCCATTCCCATTGTTGGTAAAGAAACTCTTGAAATTTTCAAAACGCTCCACCGTCAATTGTTGGATACGCTGCAAACAAGGTTGAGGGTTTAATCTACCCAACGTACCAATACATGTCAATTGATCTGCAAAAGTATCCCAATCCTTAAATCCAGCATCAATTTCGTCTTCTTCGTCCTCCTCTTCCAACACATTCTTGGCGCGCTCAAGACGGGTATTGATGTAGGTGTCTACGATTTGAGAAGCGACGTGAAGCATATATTGAGTCAAGTGTTGGGCTTGTTCAGCAGTCAATCCGGCTTTCGCATCTCCTCCACGAGGATCACTTGGTTGAACGATGTCGGCTAACATTTACAATAGAATAAAAAAAGTTAAATATTTACCACACCCGGGGAAAAGATATATATATATATATATATATAAACGCTTACCCATTTTAACCCACGTTTGAAGACACTCATCACACGCCTCACTGATCCAACCTTCATCCACATCGGTAACAGTACCCGCTAAACAACTTACGGTGATCACACCTACTTCGTTCAAGAATTGAAAGAAATCCGGGATAGAACAGAGAATAGGAAGAGAGGCATTCTCTAATAAGCGTCGAATCATTTGAATTGTACCGAGCATTTGAGGTCCTTGCTCACTTAATGCATCAGGACTGGTACCGAAAACAGTAATATCGTTCATCATCTTTCGAATGCCTTGAATCATGGTGGTCGCATAGGATTTAATCGTATTATAATCGTTGTTGAAAAAATCTTGTTGAAATCCAGAAAGTTGAATCAAACATTGTCTACAACGATGTCCTAAACGATCATCATCTTGTACAAGAGCATAGGTCTACAGGAAAGAGCGTTAAACCATTGTAATATTTCAAAAAAAAGATATATATTTTTTTACCATGAAAAACAACCACAAAACTTCACTGCTACCAACAACAGGTTGCCAATTCTTGGGGAAAACAACATAGGTCTTTTTGGCAGAAGAAGGACCATCCTCTCTATCAAAATCATCTAAATCCGACTCCTTGGCAAATGTGCCGGGCAAAATGGGTGTGCTGTTGGTGGCCTCAAATTCCCATTGAAGGATCTTTTCAAGCAGGAGCAACATTTCGACAAGGATAGCAGGTACATTGTCAGGCAGCTGTTGCACCTGGGATACAAATCCGTGAAGTTTGGTGATGACTTGTTGGAATAGAGGTAAAAGAAGGTTGGATTCGAAAAAGAGCTTACAATTATGATGGTGTTCCCAAGTAAGCCCAATCGTGGTGGATTTTGTGTTGGAGAATTGGTCGACGAGAGCATTCGCAAGGGCCAGCCCAAGAACTTGCTACAAATAAAGAAAACACAATAAGTCGTATGGCTTCTCTTCATATCTTTATTTCTCTCTTTCTCTCTCTCTCTCTTACTGCATTGTCTGATTCCATTTGTAATAACTGTGTAATGTGAAGCATAATGGACTCTCTATCCTCATTTGAAACGTCAAACAAACTGCGCTTGGTGATCAATGCGGCTGCTAATACAAGTTGATCACGTACATATTTAGGTAATCTATAAAATTCGTTAGATTATGCCCCCTCCTCCCCGCTTCTTCCAAATTAGAATTCAGTTCTATTTACGTGGGTCTTTGAAGGCAGTATTCAATCATGTAATTCTTAAGTCCAAGTAAGTCGCTCTTTTCATAAAGTGTATATTCTCTAACAGCAATGTCTCCGATCGCTAAAGACACTTGAAATTGAACCATGGATGATTGTGCATGTTCTAACCACCCAGAAAAAAAAACTATTTAATCTCGGAAGAGTGAATCGCGATGCGCTGAAAAAAAAAAACGTTACCTAAAATGTATTGACAAGCAGGCAAGACTTTTGGGATTTGACGAAATTGGGTCATGACTTGTTCAGCAGCTGCTCTAGTTGCAGGTACCTGATTTAAAGCATTAAAAGTCTGGGAAAGTGTTGTTTGCATATAAAAATCAAGTCATTCTACCTGAAAATCAGAACAAGCTTCCTCAAACTGCTTGAAAATAGCAGCATTTTCTGGGTCTTGTGCTCTATTCATTTCTGTGGTCTTTGTCAAGATTCAACAGAGGAAAAGATAGAAACAAAAAAAAAACTGTTTGCATTTTTTTTTTTTTAAAAAAAAAAAAAGACAATTGTGACTCGCATCCTCAGATTAAAAAATAAATGAAAACTGAAACAGGTTTGCATAACGTCCCCTCAGGGCAGCCTTACGAAAGTATTACATTTATTTTTTTGCACCTATTTTTTTTTTTTTCCTTCTTTTTTTTTTTATTCATTGTTGACAGGAACAAAAATTGACAAGAATTGCTTATTTAACTACTTCCTGATGCTACAGATGGCTTCTTCTTCTTTTCAGCCTCTGCCTCCTTTTCCTTTTCAATCTCGGCAACAACACTTTCAACCTCTTCCTGTTCTAAACGCTGTATGTACAAAAAAAAAAAAGGACATCAGATTAAAACAATGAATGCGTACAAAAGAAATGATTTTGTTTACCTTGACGGTACTATCTGCTGTCATAACGGCAATCTCAATATTTTTGGCTCCTGTTTGGACAACCTCCAATAAAGATTTGATGGCCAACTTGATGGTCTCGTTCTCATTCATTTCTTCATTGTAATTCTTTTCCAAAAATTCACGTACAGTCTTGGAGCTTCTACCGATAGAATTAGCCTAGAATTGGGGGTTGGGGGGTTGGGAATTAGTGGGTCTTCCATGTTAAAAATTGTTCTCTGCTGTGTTTTACCTTCCAAGCAGTATAGATACCAGATGGCTCAGTCATGTATAATTTGGGCTCCTTGTTATCAAAACCCACAATTAATGTAGAAATACCAAAAGGACGGACACCACCACTTTGGGTATATTTCTAAATTAAAAAAAAAAGGGTCAATTCTCTATTCTCTCACTGTTCCTTTACTATCTTTATATTTACTTGTTGAATTTGAGCAATATGGCGCGTAATATATTCAACAGATGCAGGATCTTCAACAGTCAAACGATGACTTTGACATTCGGTTCTAGCCTTATTAATTAAAACACGAGCATCAGCAGTTAAACCTATATTTCAATGTTTAGTATATCGTCCTCTCTCCCTTCTCTACATTCCCACAAGAGTTCCATCCCCTCCCCCCCTCGCTTTACCAGCAAACGCCATGCAAATATGGTCATCAAGCATGCAAATCTTGCGAACAGTTCTAGCGTCTTGCAACTTTAAAACAGACTTCTTTTCAACACCGAGAACAACCACATTCTTTCCACGAACACCAACCTAACAGGAACATCAACAATAAAAGAATAGAAAATTAACACCATGTTTACCCCTCTATCTATTTTTGTTTTATTTGAGGTATACGTACAGCACAAGTACCCTTTCTGACAGCTTCAGAGGCATACTCGACTTGGAATAAATGTCCATCAGGTGAAAAAACTGTTAAAGCACGATCGTATCCAGACATTATTTATTGTATATGTAAGAACAGAGAAATATATATTTTTTTTAAAAAAAAAAGCTCCCAAAAAAAAAGAAAAAAAGAGTACGAGAAATAATACGCGTCCACTGTTGTGCCGTAAACGTCATCATTCGGAGTCTGCATTAAAGACAAAGCTGATTGGCGCAATGCTGACAAGTTATCTTCTGGTATAAAATCCTTCCGTATTCGTGACAAAGAGATTCCCATTCGTCACAGTTACAAATGGATTAGGTGGATATAGAGGCGTAGGGGTTGATGTAGTCATGATTGTTGTTGGATTTACAGTGGTGGTTCGAGTAGGTCTGAATTTCTTGTAGGTTGTACGACCTTCAGCAGGACAGGAACAGAGAGTGAGAGCGATCAGCATACAGATAGAGACCATAGTGTTCAAGATATTTACCATTTTAAAAGTTATTTGGATGAAATGCTTTTTATTTTATTTTATTTTCCCAAGGCAGATCTTTATATATACGTGGTTCAAAATAATGAGGCAAGACTATGGACAATGGTCATTTTTCATTATCATGTCGTACATATTGTTCTTGACCAAATTTACTGTCGGCTTGTTTTAATAATATTGATACAATGAACGTTTCATTATTTATGGTTCCACTATACATGTAAAGCTTAAGTGAAAAAGAAGAAAAATGCACCGGGGGATATGTGCTTTATTTTAATGATTTATGAATATTATAGATGAATGAAGCCCAAAGAGAATATGTTTACTTTCTTCCCATATACTTCTTGAAAAGGTTATGATGTTCTTTAGGAGGAGCGCCGCCATTACCACGACCACGACCAGAGAATTGGCCACCAGAGCTTCGATTGTACTCAAGATAAGCCATATTATCACCACCAGCCAAAGTCTTTGTGGTAGTCACCTGTCTCTTGACAAGACCCGAAGTACGATTCTTTGCTGCCACTTTACGATCAGTAATTTTACCAACATCATCCACATTAATCAGCTCCTCGTCTCTCAAATCAGTATCGTTCGTCAACAAGACCGCCTTTAAAAGATCCATTTGTTCCTGATGGGTTCTGAAGACAATGTTGGGATCCGTGTCCATACCTTCCAAATTTGTAATCACTTTGAAAGCATAACCTTGATCGATTAAAAACTGTTGACGTTTTGTGGAGTAATACATTTCTTGTGTGTCACGAGAAACAAGCGAATAGAAAAAAGCATTGAAACCTTCATCGTTACGTCTTTTGGCTCTCAAAATACGACCCAGACGCTGGGCTTCCTGACGTCTTGAACCATAATGGGAAGAGATCTGGATTAAACAGGTAGCTTCTGGTAAATCAATACTTGTATCACCGACTTTGGATAAAAAGATGGTGCTGACGGCTGGGTTATATTGGAAATTCTGTAAAATTCGCATACGTTCCTGTTGTCCTGTACCACCATAAATATAAGGCTTTCCTAACTTCTTTGCATACTCAATGAGAGCATACACATTATCCGAAAACACAATGATTTTATCTCCACGTCTTTCATGGTATCCAATCAAATACTGACAAGCTTGGAACTTTTTGGGATTCATCACATAAAGCAATGTACGCTTACGTGAATTTTCATACAAGTATTCCTTGTAAAATTCGGGTGTCATTGGACACCATACTTCAGCACACTGAACATTGGCAATATGACCACGACTAGCCAAATCCATCCAATTTGCCTCGTATAATTTAGGACCAATCAAGAAATTAAGATCATCAATCTTTTCATCCTCACGCACTAAAGTAGCTGTCAAACCTAATTTAGCATGAGCAGCAATGGTGGTTACAACAGTACGAAACATATTTGCAGGCACAACATGCACTTCATCCAAAAGCAGGAAACCCCATTCTCTGGATTCCAAGAACTCCATCATCTTTTGAGCATCATAAGAACGCTTACGCTTGTTGGCAACCATCGAATAAGTAGAAATAACAATACCAGATGCACCTGAAAACTTTTCTTTACAATCCGATGTAAATACAGCAACTTGGTTCTCCTTGATACTACTCCATTGCAAGAATTGCTGCTTCCATTGCATGACAGATACAGAAGAAGTACACAATACCAAACAACTCTTCTTAATTGTACATGCGGCTGTGATACCCACAAGTGTTTTACCAGCACCACAAGGCAACACGATAATACCAGATCGAGCACGACTATGTTATTCATATTAATACACATCCCTACCCCCCCCTTTCATTCCATATTTTTTTGGGTTCTTACCCGTTACCAAACATTTTGGAAAGACTCTTTTCTTGATAAGGACGAATCGTTGTTGTAGGTTTGAGATCGATTTCGAGATTTGCATTAATAGTATCATTACGGAAATCGTATTCTTCCAACATGGGATAATCAATATCGTTACATCTTTTCTTGATATTCTATACATATATATATATATATATATAAAAACAGGTAACAAAAGGTGAATAATAAATTTCTTTTTTTCAAATCATCATACAAGATGCTCTACCTCAACATGTTCAGCAGCAATTTCAAATGAATGAACTTGTTCTCCACCAAAATCATCTTCCTCATCCTCTTTATCAATCCCGACTACCGCACCAAAATACTTTTCCTCGTCTTTTTTACGCTCGACTTCTTCGGCCGTCAATTCCTTGATCTTTTCTATGCTAGCATCATCCACATCCTTTGTCTTTGATACACCAGGGATCGTCAGATCCTTTCCTGTGGGTTTGGAAGTGGTCAAAAGAGCTGAAGAGCCAGCAGGCGCACTGATGATCAAATCGTTCTCGTCACGCACAATACGTCCTGAATTGATAACTGGGTCCTTTAAAAGCATCTGTAGAGTTTCTGGGTGGGAAGATTCGACAAAGTAGCGATTATGCTTCAAAACGAGTTTCACTTTACCATAGGATAAAGTACATTGTCGAATAAATTGCGTGATTGAATCAGGAACGGGAACCTTACAAAGACGATTCAAGACTTCAATGATATCTTCCGTTTCTAAACCGACAGACACAGCAGCATACAGTGAATAAGGTGTTAATTTGTATTCATGAATATGAGCAGGACTAAGAAAGAAAAAAAAAAAAGATATTCGTAAATATAAAAAAAAAAGGGATCATGGAAGTCATATCATGCAGCTTATTTTACCGACTGACAGGCTCACTGATGGCTACCAAGAAATCCTGTGCTTGTTCAGCAATAGGGGAAAAGCCTTCCAAGATAATATGGCCATCCTCAGGACTGATCCACAAAGGTCTCGAAGCATGATCTTTCTTTAATGGAAGGTTGGTATAATCTTCACGACCAAAAATGTGGGAAATAAAATCCGACTTATTTTCGCTGATTCCTTCATGGTTTTTTAAAGAATTGATTTCGAGATTGGCATTCTTTGGAACTATGGTTGAAGAAAACAAGACATGAATACAACTATTATTTAACAAAGAAGAAGTCGACAGAATTTACCATAAAGTTTAGACTGTAAAGTGTCGTCTAATTGAATATCACTATCTTCCTCATCGCTATTGATGTCTAAAAGGTTACATGGTTAACATGAGCACTATTCCTCTTTTTATTCCCCCACAATGTATATTCTTTTTTCTTTCAAATATGAAAATTAAAAGAAAATACTGAATGAATAGCTACCGTCGATTCTTCTTTTATTGCTCATTATAAATAGTTTTTACGTGGTAAAAGAAGAATACATTTGACCGCAGTTTCTAGTTCAGAATTTTAATCCATTCCCATAACCAGTCACTCAACAAAAAGAGCATGATTACTGCAAATTATTTGTTTGCCCACTGCATTTTTTAGCTTTAAAAGTATCATTACAAGACATGAATAAGAGCTGACTGTGTTCTAGATAGGTATCGTATAAATCCTCTTTGTCTCAGTTGTTTTTTACTTTTTTCTGCATGAAGGAAAAAAAAAAAAATTCAGCAGAAGCCAAGCATGGTATAATAGACTGATTTATTATATATCATCTACCCAGCAACTTGTGCAAACACATTATTCATGCTGTTAACACCCCAGCTAATATTTTCTGCTGTTTCCACACCTTTATCCATTTTTTTATCCTCTTCTTCTTTCCAAAAGGCAACTTGTGTCAACACATGTCCCTTTACAATGTTTGTGTAAATCCAGGTAAATACAATAATTGTCACTGACGCCAGACCGAGGATAACATAGCCGATAATTTGCGCTTTACCAATATCTGTGCTTGTGGTAACGATGATGACCTTGACAACAAAGGAAGTAATTAACACAACTCCCCAAGAGACTGTCATGAATCTCATGTCATGCCTAAACTTGGCCATGTTATGGTAGAGATAATCCAATCTTTTTTGACCAGAGGGTGGAGATTTTGATGTCAAACGAAGATCATCTTGTTTTTGAAGGTCTTCATTTTCAGATCTTGGCATTATTTGGTTTGCCATTTGAAACACTAAAGGCTTTAACTCGAATGAGCCAATTTTGATTGGTATGACCGAAATGATGCACATTACGCCAACTAAAAGTGGTACAATGGATTCACAAATGGCCGCTGTTTTTTCATCAGGCTCAGCAATTGACTAAAAATAGATGTTTTAAGAAAAATATCATCCGTATTGTTCTAGCTTGTATTACCAAAATACCGGATATGAGAAAACTGATACCAGCCACACATCCAAGAGGATCAAATGTACGATCCTTTAACATGCGTCTATAGCCCTTTTGTTGTTAGTTTTTTTTTTTTTTGTGAAAATCTTCAACACCAACTTAATCTTTACACTATGACAATACCCAAGGGTGGGACAGACGCAACAATCATGGCCAGTACTTGTCCAATGTATGGCTTCAAAATATTATATATAAGAATTGGCAACCCTATACTCCAAAGGATAGCTAGAAAGAAATTAAGAATCGGACGTCCCTTCATGAATCCAAAGCTAAATATATCTGTCAATGTGCCTAAATCCATCGCGATATCTTCATTCTGACGTTTCGGCGCATATTTGAATTTATTCTTGTATCCGTCCTCTTCCTCTTCTTCGTTTTGTAGTGTGCTTTCAGTATTTTGCCTCGACTCGAGTAATTTTCCACGAGATTCGCCATTGCTGTCCTGGGCTACTTTTTTATTTTGAAATGGCCAAACCATGAGAATGTTTCTTTTGCTGCAATACAAAAAAAAAAAAAGAAAAAGATGTAATTTGGCGGCCTTCATTTTTTTTTTTTTAATCTTTACGGGACGGGTATATTGTTTCCGGGAACACTTTTTTTTTTTCTCTTGGTATTTCACAAACATTCTTCAATTGGCTAGAGACTCTCAAGCCATGAAAAAAAAAAAAGTTGTACGATCCTGAATTTTAGATTTGCCACAGCTTCTTTTTTTTTCCATTTCGAATTTCATAAAAATGAACCTGTAAAACTTACAGCCTAAATTTAACGTGCCAAAACTGTATCTGCCCTGAATTTATCCGGTTCAAAATTCACTCAAAACAATGTTGTTCATCTTCAAGATTTGGCTGACAATTTAAGCAGAATTTGAGTGATTACGTAATTTCATTTGTTAACAAATTTTTGTATAGGTCTGCATGAAATCCCCCCACACCCACATTCTTTTCTTTTCTTTATTTCTCAAAAATGCTACCTCATTTATCACTGATTCCCTTCTTACTTGGAGTAAGTTTTATCCAGAGAGTCATGGCGGATACAATCAATCATTCAAAAACCTTTGAAGAATTTCCTGATTATTCACTTAGATATACTCACCCAGATATATGTGAGTCGAAATCGAAACATGTATGCTTTATAACATGTACATAAAAAAAAGGGATAGTAACCAATCCTCACAAGACGTCTGGATATTTCGAGCTGCCTGACGGTAAAAACTATTTCTTTTGGTTTTTCGAGTCAAGATCAGAACCTGCTAAAGATCCCTTAGCCCTGTGGCTTAACGGTGGTCCTGGCTGCTCTTCCATGCTGGGTCTTTTTATGGAAGTAGGGTGTGTATTTCCTCATTGAGTCACAAAGTACACAATTTTTAATCTTTTTTAGACCTTGTCGCGTCAATGCTATAGGAGATGGGCTTTTGAATAACCCACATTCATGGACTAACAAGGCCAACATGCTGTTTCTAGATCAGGTATATGGTTTTGGAATGTATATTAATTACAGACCTCTTAAGCTCGTTTTATTTTAGCCGGTTAATTCAGGATTTTCGTACCATAATGGTTCCACTCCTATTGCTGACAGTAACACAGCATCTAAGGAGGTGTATGTTTTTCTGCAATTGTTTTTTAAAGAGTTTCCACGTAAGAGACATAGATAAAAATTTATAAATCGAAGCACTGAAAATTAAGTCTGTAGAATTTGCTGGGTCTGACTTTCATATTGCGGGTGAATCATGTAATGTATTTTAATAAAACATGGTCCAAACTTAAATTCTCATGAATGTTCCTCGAGAAAGACGCAGGCCATTTTTTACCAGCTATTGCAAACACAATTTACAAAGAAAATATACGTACCCGTGGGCACATCATACCATTAAAAAGTGTAATCATAGGCAATGGATTGACGGATCCGCTTACACAGTATCAATATTTTAAACGTATGGCCTGCGATAACCCTTTTTACGATAACATCATTACATCGTCTCAAAAGTGTCAACAGCTCGAAGATCACCAGAAACATTGTAAAATTGCCATTAGCAGCTGTTATGAGCAAACAGATTTCGCATCTGAAATAATAACCCCTTCCTCTATTGCTGCATGCAAGATGGCAGCATCTATTTGTAACATAAATGTTGTAAAAGCAGTTATTGATGATACCAAGCAGAACATCTACGATATCCGAAACAAATGCGAAGGTAAAATTTATGTGTTTATTCATTATTTAAACCCCAATTAATATTTTGTGCTTTCAGACGGACCCATGTGTTATGATTATTTCTCTGCTGTCAGAAAATACCTCAATCTTCCTGATGTTAAGCATGCTTTAGGTGTCAATCCGAACTTAACCTTTGAGCTATGCAGTAACACCGTGAATGGAAACTTTCAAAATACAGGTGATTGGATGCGGCCTTATGTCCACCAGTTAGCTGGTATTTTAGAAAATGGCATTCGTGTTTTAGCATTTGCTGGGGACACGGATTTTATGTGTAACTGGATGGGAATACGAGCATGGACTATGGATTTAGCATGGCAAGGACAAACAAGCTATAATAGCCA